ACCCCGTTCACACGTCCAACTTCCAACATTCAACCTCATTGACCTCACAGAAACCCCGCCTCGCAACTCCTAAACTGTGAACTCCTTTTCTCATTCATATCCACATCCACATCATATCCACATCACATTCATATCATTACCAATCATTTATCATTAATTAAATGCCTAATACCTAATCTGTACATATGCAACCATTTCAGCCATTTCCATCATTTCCATCTCGAAAACAAAAGAACATGATGAGAAATGAGTAATGAGTTTACCTACCCATCTACTCATCCATTCATCCATCTCTGTTCATATGTACCATTCATCCAATACAGCAAACCCATCCTTCCACAATACAATCCTATGCAAAACGCAGTAGCACTATCGTCATCATCATCATCATCATCATCATCATCATCTCAATACCGATGTGAAAACGGTATTTCCCTAACGCCATCCATTTACAAATCCATCCCTCCATCCCCCCATCCATCCAAACCTTTTTACCCCTCAATCCTCATAAATTTCATCGTTCGCTTCTTAAACCCCACCATCCATTACTAAATCTCACTCAATATATTTCCCATTCCCACTTCCCCCACTCAACCAACTAAAAGTTTTCTTCTTTCCTCCCGATCTCTTTTCACTAGAATTAGGGCGGATAATTCATATCTCCATTTGCATTCGCATTCGCATTCGCATTTCCATTTCCATTTCCATTACCAGTTCCTCTAACTCCTCCATTCATATTACCTCCCATCATACCATTCGCACCACTCATATCCATACTAGTAGTCCTACTACTTTGCGGTCGAACATTATTATGCGAAGTCATGGTATCGGATTTATGGAGATTATTCGGATTTTGAGCAGGACCTGGGGCGTACATATGAGGATCTGGACCATCTCGAAGTTGATGCGATGAGCGGGATGAGTTGGGTCCGTTGCTAACAGGCGCGGGAGTTTTGAATGGTTCAGTGGCGCCAAAAAGGTCGCCGGATTTAATAAGTTCTTGCCAGGTATCAAAGGAGCGCTAAAAAAAAAAAGGGAGTTAGTGGTTGATTTTTGGACTTCGCCCATCTGGAATATATGGCGCCGCGAAAAGAAATATGGTGTACAAACCTTGTAATCTTTCTCTGCGAGCTTAATTTCATATGCGCACTTATCAACCTCTTTTTGATACCAAGCATCCAATGCCATGATTATTGACTCGCTCAAAGCATTAACATTTTGAAATAGAGCTTTCGTGTCTAATGCTACGGAATGTAGCTTTCCATTAACTTCGGTGTAATCTGGATGACTGTCGAATGCTGGGAACTGTTTTCAAGATATCAGCACCTGCAAATATAGTGTTACATACCAAGTTGATTCCAACGAATCGTCAACTATCCCAGCTCCTTCATCTTATCATCATCAAGATGCTTACCTCATTAATACTCTGTATCTGTTCCTCAGTACTAACAATCAACCCCTCAAAACTACTCTTCGTCTTCTGACTCCTCTGATCCAAATATTGTCTCTCATTCTCATAGATAGTTTTAATTTGAGCCCTCCTCTTATGCAAAGACTGAATCCTCTCAATGGCATCATGCAATTGAGATTTAGGAGATTCGCTGGGTTCAGGAATGGAATTGCTGTGCATCATTTTCTGAGCCGTCATTGGATCCTCAATATTATCGCTGGAAGAAGAGGAATTTGTTAGAGTGTGAGGTTTGGAAGGTAGAATTGGTTCTCGTGGAGAAGGATGTGTTGAGGGTATGGACCCAGTGGTCGTGTATTTGTTGCGTGGCATTCTGAAGATGTGCCAATGCATACAGCAGATATTCGTGATGCGAATGTGTGTTTGTATGTGTGTGTGTATGTGTATGTGTGATGTATTTGAATGTGTAGTTTGGAGATTGAAAGTTGAAAGTATCTGGTGATAAATGAATGAAATTGAATAGAACTTACTATGGTGGGGATGGAGGGGATGCCATTGTTATCGGATGGATGATTTGATTGATTATCGACAAGTAAATCAAAGTAAATGGATGTACGAGAGATGAGTTTCACTTTTAATCAAAAATTAATTTCCTAGTTTCTGTCTGCCAAACCAATTGATTTTAATGTTGTTGCTTGAAAAAAGTGATAGGTAGATGCAAATGCAGAGGTAGAGGCAGAAGCAGGAGCAGAGGATTTCGTACTTCGGAATTCGGATTTTGTATGGAGATGGAGGTGAAATAGAAATGGAAAAACAAAAAACGCTGGATGAAAATATATCAATAATAAATATGATAGAGAACAAGTCAATGAAAAGCTTATTATTTTATTTTATTTTATTTTATTACTCCTTCCTCCGTACAGACCGACCGACCGACCGACCAGCCAGCATAGTAAAAGACAATTCAGACCTGCAATCAAGAGCAAAGATCAAATAAATCTTTAACATGTGGCTGGGAAAAGGAATAAGAAAAAGAACTGGGCTTGATCTTTTAGGCTTGGCTCCACTAATAATCCTCGATTCATCAAATGAAAGAGCCTATCAGTGCCCTACAAAATGTGACAAAGCCCAATGGAGAAAGTGTCGAAATGCCTAATTCAGGAACAACGTTTCGGCTCATTCCCGAAGCACGGCGCGTTCCCCAACCTCCGTCTTTTTTGGACACGATATTCATTCAGTTCATTCATTATCATCATCATCATCATCATACCATGTAGAGTGCTTTTTCAATGGATGGGGAATATCCACCATGATTTTATTTTATGCATGATAATCGTAGTATTCCGTAGATGGGGGGGATAAGAAATGATCGAAGGGGATGTGTTTATTATGCTCACTAGACCAGCCTTGTTATTTTATATGTACAGTACCTAGTAGATAATACGAGTCATCATCTCATGTCTCTCTGGGTCATCGGCTGCACGAATGTTTGCATATGCACAATTGGGGATCTCCGAAGACCGTTAACTGCTATTTCAGTAGCTTTATCCTTCTACTACTGAGGAGTACAATTATTTATATTAGAGCAGTTTGTCCGAATGTATCCAAGAGACAGCCTCAGTCTTTGAATCCATGAAGATATACATGACGAACCTAGCTAGCTAGCGATCGATACCTGTCAAAACGTAAGTACGTCGTATGAGTATTCGCAAGGTCTCTCAATCATTAATTCTATGTGATGCTGAGGAAGCATTCATTTTATCTACTTATAGCTTGCTGGCTGCATACAAGAGTCCGAATTTGCACCTTTTAACATTAAAGACGAGCAATGTTCAATATTTAAGCGCATCAATAATATTAAAATGGCTTGTGTTGAGGTTTAGTGCCTGGAGATTTTGTGATTACAACAACCTGCTCGTATTATCAGTTCCTGATTTAACATCTGTTTGAACACTGCAAACTCAAGTGGTTTACTTTCTTCAACTTCGAGTATCAGTCTCTCACACACGAATGTGTTTAGCCGAGGAGAAATAAAATCTATCCACAGTAGGCTTTTGCAGCTTTCGAAAGTCTGTCATAGAAATGCCAGAAAGCCATTCAGTAGTTCTTATACAAACGCAGTTGATACAAACTATCCTTATTTCCCACTGTCCGCATCCTCCAGGTCGTCCTCAATAGTAGCAATCAATTTCCTCAATTTCCGAAACCCTATGCCAAAGCAAAAATTCATCTTCACTACACTGTCTCACATACAAGGCCGAGCAGTTTTTTTTCACGCCTCGACACCATCAACCTCCTCCCCAAAATCACACAATGACCCTAGTCTACATTATTGTAATGCGTCTTATCGTCACGGCGATTAAATTCCCCCATCAATTTGATTAATGATTTATTTAAAACAATTTGTTTTTTATTAGTAATTTCTCTGTCGATTTCTTTTATGTTGATCCGCGCAACCCCCATCCATACGCTCGCCATCACCATCATATCCTGGACCATGTATTATCAAATACCCACTCCAATCTGTGATGAGACTTATTCAAGTAGATAAGCGATCAGAATGCATATAACTAGGGGATACAAAAGTTTATTGTCCGGGGATGAAAGACAAAGGAAAGAACAAGGAGAACAGGAAAAGGAAGAAGAAAAGAAATATGAACAAAGACTAATACATCAGTTAGAATACTTGCTGAACAATCACATTATTATCTTGCCTATTACGATCACAAAAGACACAAATGAATCAGTAGCGATTAGTTTATCCGCAATACATTTTTCAATACATACACACACATCTCGTTTATTCATTCACTCACTCACCTTCACAAGAAATTTATATTTATAAATTTTTTAGATAATCAAATTGAAATTGAAATTGATACTGATACTGAAATCCACACTGAAAATGAAATCAATACCGAAAATGAAATCGACACTGAAAATGAAATCGACAGCAAAATTGAAATCGACACCGAAATTCAAATCGACACTGAAAATGAAATCGACAAATGAAAAGGAAATCAACACAAAAATCCAAACAACAAAAACTCTCCATCCCAAAACAATTCAAGAAATTGCACAATCTAATCAATCGGGACCAGCCTATCTAACAATCTAATAATCCAATAATCCTCAAAACCATCCAAGTCACTTCCCATACCCAGAAGCCGAGCTAGAAGAACTACTAGAACTATAAGGACTATACTCCGTATAAAGACTACTGAAATCATCAGAGAAATATCTCCCATTAGAAAAAAGACTCCGGTCATCATGAACGGTGACGAGAGCAGTAGCTGCAGAAATCGCTGCTGAGGGTAATTTGAATTTACTGCCGGGAAGTTCGAGGCTATGGTTTGGAATTCTGGGCGTGATGGTGGGGGTTCGGGGGATCATGGGCGCGGTAAGTGCTCTGTATGTTATAGTGGTGGGGGTTCTGGGGACCATGAGAGATGTTGGTGCTCTGGATGGTGTATTGTTGGAGGTACTGGGGACCGTGAGAGATGTAGGAGCTCTGGATGATGTACTGTTGGAGATATACGTACTGGGGACCATAAGAGATGTAGGAGCTCTGTATGACGTACTGTTGGAGGTACTGGGGACCATGAGAGATGTAGGAGCTCTCGGTGGCGTAACAATGATTGGTGTCATAGGAACCGTTGGAGTCGTAGAAACCGTAGGTGTCATAGGAGCGCTTGGTGTCATCGGCACCATACTCCCATCAGGAAAATAAGCTCTATCATTGCGATAACGAATATTAGGTCGAGGAACTACTGGACGATTAATATTACCACTTGGGCGGTACATTCTCCCATTAGGTAAACGAATTCGCCCATCGGGAAGAAAGATGAATGGCGCAGCTTGGCCGGGAGCATTGGTGAGAAGAAGTCTTCCGTCGGGAAAAAGAATACTACGATCGGGAAGTAAAACGCTGCCTTCAGGAAGTCGGATGTTACCTGCTGGAAGCCGAACACTACCTTCTGGAAGTATCATACTTTCATCTTCTTGTGGCTGCATTTGCACTTGCACTTGTTCTTGCTCCTGCACTTGCTCTTGCTCTTCCTCTTGCTCCTGTTCAGGACCATGAACAACACCCAACAAAGTCACAATCGCCTGTTCTACCTCCAAATTCTCGCCTACGGGAAGTCTCGGATCAGTAAGAACAATGTGAGAAATACGTACTCTTCGAGGCCAAGGATCCGAACGGTAAAGATCACCGCCGGAAAGATGACGTGGTTGTTCCATGAAGAATTGATTGATAATTACCTGCCACATGGTCCCTGGCATTGGTTTTGCCTGTCCAGCACAAAGGGTGTCGAGGAACTGGAGCTCGGAGGCTGTAAACCACGGTTGTGATGTTTGAGACATGGTGATGATTGGATTTGAAGTATGTACGATTGTGGAAGAAAGCTCTGAATACTGAGTGAAGAGATGCTTTCGAGTATGTTGTTTGAGAATGATGATGTGTTATTGTCGAAGAATCTCTCCTAGTTATATGCAAGAAATGTATATTGTTCAATCATTGTTCCGGGTAAGATTTGGAACAGCATTTTGCTGGGTATCTAAGATTGGTCGGATCAAAGTTATTGACATAGCAATAAGTTATTATAAGTTGGAACTCAAAGGAACAGACTCTATAATTGTTCTTGGGTCAATGATGGAAAATTCTGATACTGAACATTGCCATGTTGCAAGTCATCACGCTCTCCTGAATTAAGCGAGTCAACAACACAAATGAGACTATCTACCAGAAACACCAACAGAACAGCGACGAAACAATCCATGCTAATGAAATAAAATAATTATGTAGAACGTGCAAATTTGATTTCGCACCTATCAATCTGTAAATTTCAATATATCTTGCTCCAAACTTTTGCACCACAAGATCGCGAAAAATAAAGTAAACAGACTTAATAATCCCCACAACTAACTTAACCTTCCTTCCCATCAAAATCACCACTAACCCTACCCTCAAATCTCCACCCCATGATCAACAATGTCACCACACTTCCAACCCACCGAAAAATCGCACATCCTAAATCTCTGCACGCAACACCACATCCGCGCCGGACAACGCACCCGACCAGGAACCTGGACGCAAATAATCCACGACATGGAACTCGAAATGCGGAAACATCTCCCAGGGGGCCAATACTTCAACACCGATCCCTGGCCTCTAAGACGCTATCAACCTAAAAGAATCTCTTGCTTAGCGTTGCGATGGATGCGACAAGAAGCGAAAGAGCCGCGGATTAGAAAGTTAGTTGACTTGCAGATGTATCGCGCGAAGGGGGGAAAAACTTTGACGGAGATTATTGAGGAACATGTTGCTTCTGGGTTGTGTGTTAGGACGGATTTTGGGTTTGGGGCTGGAAGGCCTGGGTGGGTGTGATTTTGTAGAGTTATTAGTTATTAATTATGAGATGAGTTATGATTTTTTAAGTTAGTTGTTTTGTTTGGATTTGAATTTGTGGGTTTAGTTTTGGACTGGGTCTTGATGGGGTGCTATGAAATATGAGTACTAAGAAATGACCTTTAGATAGACTGGAGTGTTGTAGAATATATCTCCTTTTATTTATTTTTTGGAAAATCGGTTTAGAAACGTGATGAGATGAATATGAGTGAGCGAGTGAGTGAGTGACTGATGACTTGTGATGATAGAAAGATAAAGAGAGACAGTATATGATGAATGAGAGATATTATAATGAGTTTAAATAGAAGATAGGTTATATAATGAATTAAATAGTGCAAAACCTCAAAATCTGCGAAGTCATAAGGGTTTAAAAGGATACTCTTTATGATCACTTAAAACAATATATAAGATTAGACGATAGTCTAAAAGTAGTATCTAACATTCACTCATATATATCGTATTATTATCTGATAATATAAACATCACACTTGATGTTAAACCATCAACTCGTGATTTTCAATAAGTGAATCTCTTCACAAATCACTGAGATAATGCTATCTGGCCATCCCATCTTGCAGGTAAACTTATTCATATTTTACTCATGCGCTTCACATCTTGGAGAATTGGCTACGTACATACATTTCCAATACTGCTAGCCTACGGTAAATTTCCAAAACAATAATGATCAAATTCATTTACTGAAATATCCAATTAAACAAGCCGTTGACTTCCTCACGGCTCAGTAGGATCAATAAGATACGGTTCATGTTTTCACAATGCGGCAAGTTTAAGATAATGCTCCAACAACACGGTACTCCCTAAGATCATCTATTCACGTATATTAAAGAACTGAATCTATTGACAAATGTTCTGAACTAAGTGAATCATCTCATATACAATTAATACGACAGGAGTTGGTGAATACGGGTGCGGGCTAGATAAGAGTTAAAATTCAGATATCTCCATTCAAGAATCCGACCTGTTCTCTGCCACCATTTTATTTCTCACTCTTACAACACATTTTCTCCTCACCATCTCGTCGTCGGCAATATTTATCAGTTTAAATTTCCGTTCATAAACTTCTAAGACTACATGGAATTCTCCTCTATTATGGGAAGAAGACCTTTACGCATTATTCGTCTTCCTGAAAGATACCGCGATGGTATTGACGTAACCAATCCATGTACATCGAAGCCTGCCGCATCAGCCATTCTTCTTACTATTGAACCTGATCACAGCGCATTTACCAATTCTTCAGGTGCCGGACCATATCACCATAGTACCCCCTCGCCCAGTACCACGACCTCTTCTTTACCTAACGATACGCCAACAACTCCCACTTCGTCCACGAGAAGAGGTGGTGCAGCCTGGAGGAAAGAAGTTAGGGCAACGTTAAAGCAAGTCGATCAAATAGTACAGAACCGGCGTCCCGTCCAGGCAGCAAGTCCACCTCACATGCAAGCAGCGCGTCCTCTTCGTCGAACGGATCGGCACCCGGTCTACACAACTGAGGATGAGTACGACATCACATCTCCAGGGTTCGGACTGAAACATACACCAGAGTGGGAGGACATGGATATAGATATTGATGATGAGTCGCAACCGAGGTGGTTTCCTGGTGTAAGTTTTTAAACTTAACATCTATCCATTCCGTGCTAATTTTGTGTGCGACATAGGACGGTGTTTCCGCATCAACCTACGAAGATCTCACCGATGCTTGCAAGTTGATGATGGTCCATGAGCTCACCAAGCAGATGAGTTTTAAGTCGATGGTCTCTTGGTTGCAGCTTAGCGATACACAGCTGATCGACTTCGTCAGAATATATGAGATCCAATATCAGGGTAATATCGAGGAAGAGAGGTTGACATTAATCGCGATGAGTCATTTGAGTGCGATTAGAAAGGTGCGAGAAGTGAGTACTCGGGATTGGGACAGGATATTGGAAGAGGAGGTAGACTCGAAGCTTGGAACGTCGTTGATTGACTGCCCGATTCCTTTGGAGCATATTGATCAGACAATAAGATTCATTCGATCTTTCCATGTCCAGGAGCAGTTACCTGGTGGTCTCGAAATTAACAATATTGAGAGCCCTACTGTTATTCCTCCGGAAGATTTCCCACCATTCCAAGTCATTCAAGAAGTCACCGAGGCAATGAGTCGCTACACCAAGCTTGGAGTTGAATGCGAGTGGGATCTCGATCACGACATTGGATTGCGTCAGTACATTGAGCATGAGACCGAACTTGCAGCAGGTGTTAATGGGATTGTGATCTCTGATGATGAGGAAGTTGAAAAGGCCGAAGAGCCCGCTCGGCGTATTATCAGCCGCCCTAAGAAGAAAGGCCGTCAATTCGCCAATAAGCCAGTAGGGAAAAGGGCTGATCTTTTGAAATTAAAATTACCATCGAAGCTTCAGCAAATGGAGAGTGTTGACTGTGAGGACGAGGTTGAGTCTTGAGCAAGACTGGAGACGGTAGAAAGGGAAAGGGTCGAAATATTTACAATTTTATTCATTGTTTGTACATTGGCGTTTCATTTTAGCAGGTTACCGGGCACCTAGCATGATCATGCTAGTGCGTTTTTACAACAAAGCATCGATGGGGGTTTCAACTTATTAGACTAAGTTATATAAAATGTGACTTTTTCATAATCTTCTAGATATGGATAGTGTTTCAATAAATTCTCATAGCACTTGCAGATATCACAACTTGGATTAATGAAATGTAAATATCAATAATAGTTAAGAGGACCTATTAAGGAGATATTCCCTCTCAAGGCGATACATAAGTTAAGAATTGCGACGAGCAAGAATGGAAATTTATTCTATGAAGTTTGCATGGCGCTATTCAGAAATCTGGAACAAATTTGACTTGATCAAACTGGTGTAGTATTTTATTTTCTTCATTCCAATTAGACCTCTACTCCAAGTGATATCAAACATTTGCTGAAGGCGTGAAGACAGACAGGACTGGAGAGATAGAGACAAAGCTGCAGTTTCCAGAGTCATGGGTTTATTGGTAAATAAAAAAACGTCTTAGGTTTTTAAATTAGGTACTTATTAGATCATCATGTACTCAATCGGTAGATATTTTCCCGCACCGTATTAAGTTGCATGTTAGGGAGATATTGTGCTGTCACAGTGCTAACAAATATGTTATTAACAACGCACATCAAAAATACTCCTACAAATCTAGGCTCTCATTCAACTAAAAATGATTAAAAAAAAATTGTTTTCACTTGAGGGAGTAGTGCGGAAACAGCTACTCGATACTTGACGCCGCTGGTGTTTTGGATATATTAGCCAGCGACCACCCCAGCCTAACGGCATACCTGGCTCAAGGCTTGAATTAACCATTACAGTTGATCAGGAAAGTGCACCAATGAACTTTTTACCAAGGGTGAATCTGCTTAAAGCATGGTACGACTCATTGTTTCCGCGATGCTAGCAACGCTGTAGGTGTCTATTATTCTACGTTCTGTGCGAGCTTCAAGGGAGAGAAAGGCGGGAGACCCACGCACCAATCTCTCCTCCACTCTGCAGTTTGCACTGATACAGATACAAGCTTCAAGACAGGATCAACGTAATATGAATAATGATCGATGAAGACTGCCTCTTCAACCGGGTAACGCATCCTCTTGCAACTTAGGGTGTTTTCAGGCTCCCCCGGGGGTGATTTCGGTTCCCAAGATGCTCAAGTGTTACCCAACACACAAGCCGTTGCTAAACATTTGTTGAAAATACAAAGCTGGTGCTCTACCATTAAGCCAGCAGCCGGAGGGTGTTCGATGCCCTACGCAAGTCTATTTAATAATATATCTATCAAACATTTTTGCCGAGAAAGCGAATTGATCTGTCAGGTGGTGACACAAATGATAAACCGAGCAAACTGTTTGCTTCGGAGATCCTAAGCTTACAAGGAGGTATGTGTCCCTACCTGGATATAATAGAAACAGCTTGGGGCAACAGCATCAAAGTTCGAATAATGATGAAATGTGCAAGCGAAACATTCAGAATAATCAGAGCAATTATCATCCAAAATATCCATAAGGATAACTATCCTCTAATATCCCCAGTACATTCCATCTCTCAATCATCACTTAATGATCTCCACCTCCACCTTCACGATATAAACACTATTGCTACCTACCTAGGCCAGAAGATTCATACTATACTATAGCCTGCCAGCCTAGACATTTATTTGCCTCGTCGATCGAGATTCGAACTGCTAATAGCAAATTTCATTTTACTGTTAGCATGAAATACAGCCGACTAGGCAGGCATATAAGATCGTCTGAAGAGTGTGAAATAATTAGGATCTAAGTCAACAGCTGGGTACTACCTCAGCTGAACTTCATGCATGACTGAGAATATTCTTACACTAAAGGGAGGTCAGATCGAACTTAAGAGTATATACACTTTTTGCTAATCCCATGCATTCGCTATATCTCATCTCATCTTACAAAATAAACTCAGAATTCAGAAATCAAAGTCCTCTTACACGAGTAATTGAACTAAATCCATCCTCAACAACGAAGATAAAAGACTAAACAAAACACCAAAAAACATCCAACTAACCCTCAACTCTCCCATAATATCCAATATAAAAAACTATCAACACCCCTCCTAATGGAAAGAACTCTTCAGACGACAGAATACCTAGGTACTCTTGGATAGAAGTACATACTTAGTATGTCTAAATGACCAAGATAATTCAAGAAATTTCACATCTGGAATTATTCTCATCTCAAAACTAGGAGATGACTAACTTTAAAGAGAACAATTGCCATCTTGCTCTGTACTTTCTTTTAAATCCTATGAATCATAGCTACAACTAAAAAACACAGCTCACTTGCCCAATCATCAGGGAAAAAAGAGAACGAGGGGGTTAAAGTTAAAACATTTATAGCATTAAAAGTATCTAATTCTATTTCTCATCACTTTCGGCGGCAGAACCATCAGTTCGCTTAGGAGGCTTCAAGCTATCCGATTTTTCTCTGGTAGAGGACCTCAATGATCTGGTAGTCGAGGAATCCGCGTCGCCTAAGAGTGGAGTGAGGGGCCTCTCGCTATCTAGAGAGGAAAGACTTGTAAAGCTATTTTCCCTAATCAATGGTGATGGTACCTCAGGAGTAGTGGATCTAGAACCACCGGCGCCTACTCCAGAAGTGGGTGCGAGTCTAGTCGGGCCAGGAAGTGCCTTCTTTCTTCTGCGTTCAGAGATAGTTGATGCACTACTGCCTTTCCTTGTGTGACCGCTGCCGGGTCTTTCGTCGCTCCCAGTGGGTGTTGCGCTTCGGGATGAATTACGAGAATGGGAATGTGATCGTACGCTTGTACTCCTGTCGCGTTTTGAGACAGTATTTTGTCGATGAGTTCGGTGATGAATCTTCTCAACATCCGTGACATTTGCTGTTCTCCATCCACGGTATCCCGTCCACCATAACCATCCACCTTGTTGCTTTGCCAGTATTCTTTCCCGCTCCTTTAACTTCTGTCGTAATATCTTTCGTCGCTCGTTTTCCTTTTCCCAGTATTCTGTACGATATATATCCCAATTTTCCCTAAAATTGGGAGAAAAAGGTTTGGGAAGCAATAGAAGCTTCACGTAATCCCCGCCAGGTGCTAAGTCCTCCTCATAACCCTTTGTATCATCACCTTCATGTATGTTTGGTAACGCATGATGTCCCCCGCTCTTCGCTGCCTTTTCCGATTCCTTTAATAACGATTGATCCACAAAACGATATGAGCTTCCACTGTTGCCCGAGAACAATCCATAAGAGAATAGAAATGATACTGCTGATAGTAACTCCTTCCACCATGGCTGCTTAATAACCACCAGTTTGCAATTGAATCCTCTAAGTCCTCTGTTTGTAATCCCCACAAACCTCCTCGGCCATCGAATACCTCTTTCCCATTGTCCAGTTCCCCATATCAAGAGTGCAGTGACTATTCCGCCAATAAAACACATCTTCTCTGTCATTTCTACAACCCAATATACTGATCCTCCAACACCACTACCATCTTCCCTCGGCGCAAGAAACAAAGCATAGCCAAACCATATATTCCAGAGCCCCAGCAGACTTAGAAAGAATGCATGTTGCCGCCTTCGTGTGCGAAGTTGCAACCACTGTGCACGCAGTGAAGCTTCGAGAATCAGGAGATTGAGGTAGATCTGCGGGGGAGAGGAGGGAAGGGATGCGAGGGGATCGATGATGGAAGATTCGGATGATGTAATACCACTGGTTGGAATAGGAGGGACATGAATTCCTGGAGGCGGTGCGCCTTTGACGAGCTGATCGAGTTTAGACATCGGGATGGATGAATGTCTTGATTGTCTGAAGCTATGGAAATATCATTGTGCTATGCTCGTCGCTATGGTGGAGCTTTGAAATTGGAGGCCTATGGGCAAAGAAAGGGAAATGTTGAGAGTCCCTAGGTAATTTTGGAGGACGAAAAAATGAAAGCCGCTGTTGGTAAGGCTAAAGTCCAAGATCACCTGCCAATAGAATAAATTTGGAGTTGTGGAGCAAGAGGGAGGTGCATAGTTCACCGATAGATAATCGTATAATGTTGAGGTTACAATGTTCCAAGATTCTAGAAGCTCGGCAAGAACCTTATTGATGTTTGTTTCTCTGGGACCTTCCGACCCTCCAACCTTCAAGCAGCTAACTCAGCCTAACTGACACCTTCATCGGCCGAAATATCTTTGCATCCTTCACCAATTTTTGAGACAGACATTTAAAGAGCCTCACAACATTAATAATACAGATTAGTAATTTACGACTTAGGAATTTACTTGAGTAGCAATTTATCAATTTCCAATCAGAATGAAGCAAATGCGAATTGAGGAAACTTATAGACTTTTCTATGGACTTTTCCATGAGCTTCGGATTGTGGATGCTCCGATGACCGATTTGGTTGATCGCATTCCGTTCGCGTGGGATGGTGACCTCAGAAGAACAACTTCACTCATCCTACTGAATTCGAAGTACACTCTACTCTCAAAAAACCCCTTAAATATCTTCTCAATGACCTGATGATTTCTAATGCTGTCTTTCCCCTATAAAAGCCAAACCCTCCACGATATCTCTGCTTCTATTCAATCTCTCGTTACCTACATTTCATAAGCTTGCTGAACTTCAAGGGTGGCGTCTCACGGCCGTACCTATCTCACAGCCCTTAACTCCGTCGACAGTCACATCACTTTCTTTATAAGTAATTGAGAGGTGTACTAATCGCCTCACAATCATTCAAGTTGTACCAAACAAACTTCTCATCGCTATTACTGCGATCAGGACCGTTTGACACCTTTACTGGACGAAAGTCTGCTCTTCCATATCTCAAGCGACTCCCCAACATAACCACCTATACCACAATGGCTGCCTCCGATACCGAGTCCCCTCGAACCCAACAATCTCCGCTGGCTTCCCAACGCGAGCCTCCCAAAGGAGAACCTCCAGCAAGAGGCTTTTTCCCTTTAGGATATAAGCCTGCATTTAGTCAGTGGTGGGCAAGCGTTTCACCCGCTGTCGCAGAACACAATGTTTTGTCCTTTGTCCCATATCTACAAAAACCACCTACACATACGCAGACTGGTTCTGCGCCAGTCTCAGCCGGCACGTCAACTACAGCCGTAAACGAAGATCCGAATGCGTTATCAAAGCCAGTACGAACTAATTCCATAAACGATCCTTACGGTCCGAGGCAATGGCATTCAAATCTTGTGAAATTAAGTGGGAAGAACAGGGCAATAAATGAGTTCTCCGTGGAGAGGATTGGGGAAGAGGTCGAGGATACATTAGTAATGCTCCATGGCTACGGTGCAGGTCTTGGGTTTTTCTACAAGAATTTTGAAGGATTAAGTCGAGTGCCAGGTTGGAAGATATATGCCTTGGATATGCTAGGAATGGGACGAAGCACCCGACCATCCTTCAAGATCAGTGCCAAGGACCACGCTGGCAAAATTGCAGAAACAGAAAGTTGGTTTATTGATGCGCTTGAAGAATGGCGCGTTTTGAAGAAACTCGACAAATTCACACTTTTGGGCCACAGTATGGGTGGTTACATGGCTGTTGCATACGCCCTCAAATACCCCGGCCATCTTAACAAATTGATACTCGCCTCGCCAGTAGGTATCCCCGAAGACCCCTACGCCACCTCAGCGGCGATTCCCGAGCCCGAAGAATCTACTCTCGCAAGCGAATTTACCCAAGATCAAGAAACCGACATTGTCTCTGCATCCTCAAATCCAAGTAGACGCACCACCGGCAGCGACAACAACAATTTTGGAAATATGCGCAATAAACGCGAAAACAACAAATCCAAATCTGAACCAGCTAAACGACCCATGCCCTTCTGGCTCACCTACCTCTGGGACGCAAACGTCTCTCCTTTCTCGATAGTCCGCTGGGCCGGCCCCTTAGGGCCACGTCTAGTATCAGGCTGGACCTCCCGCCGCTTTTCCCATCTCCCCAGCAACGAAAATGAAGCACTACACATGTATGCTTATTCCCTTTTCCGCCAGCGCGGATCCGGCGAATACGCACTCCCCTACGTCCTCGCTCCGGGCGCCTTTGCACGCTCCCCCTTGATTCGGCGCATCCACGGCGTAGGCCGTCAACCCATCCCTCCCTCCACCACATCCCCATCCAATTTCGGACAAAAAGAACACGGATACCCCATCCTCCTCATGTACGGCGACAACGATTGGATGGACGTAGCAGGTGGCTACGCTGCCGAGCAAGCCTGCAAAGAAGAACGCGAAAAAATCCTCGCTAAAGCATCTCAAGAAGAGAAGGAATTAGAAAATGGAAGTGCAAAGGTAGTTATCATTCAAAAGGCGGGACATCATCTATATTTAGATGGATGGGAGGAGTTTAATGAATTTATGAGGGGAGAAATGAAACAAACTTCGATAGATGGGCGGAAGATGAAGAGTGTTTTGAAGAAATTGGGCGTAGAGGTTGTAGAGGAATAGGGGAGTTAGAAGAGATAGATCATGCTGGGATTGGATTGGATTAGGTTCTTGAGGGGATATTATATCGGTAGATTTCACTAGGGGTGCTTTTGCATTAGAGGCGCTGGATACTGGGACTGTATATAGTATTGGAGTTTGGAGAATCGCGCTAGATTTACATAGAGATTGACGAGCGAGCGAGCAGCTTTAATTTTTCTATAAATACTTGTAACCACTACCCGTCGCAATCACGGGAAGTATAAATTAGACAAGATTCACATGCATACGTAGCACCGCAGAGGCTCTCACAGCGAGTACATATACAATGTGAATTATTACTAACATTATAAAAAAAAAATATTTTCCCAACCCTCCCTTCTTTTATTTCCAATTAAAGCTTGAGGATATATCCAACCCATACGCGCCTGATTATTAACACACACATCCCATGATTATACTCATTATTACATCGCCATCTCATTACATAACACGTAAAATCTTGAGCCCTTCAAAATTTGGTACCATTAACATAGGGAAGTAAATTTTGCGTGCCAAGAGTGCGTCCCTCTGTAGAGTGAGTATGTTAGTAAGGGAAGGAGGGAACTGTGGACAGGGTGAAAAATACTCACTGACAAACCAAACAATTATACTAGGTAACTTGAAGTTTCCAGATCGGCCTGTAGCTCTACTGCGCCCAAGAGCAACGGCTAGGATGGGAGCGCCGTCTGTTTTATACACTGTTGGATTTTTCGACCTCAGAACCAAATCTAGGTTTTTTGCTAGCGCGAGGGCCTGTTTATCGGCGTAGACATATTGACTTGGTTGAGCATCGATGATATCACCTGCAGCCCATATATCCTCGTTTCCGTGAACTCTTAGATATTGATCAACTTTCACAAAGTTTTGTCCATCTAGCAATTCTTTTGGAATGAAGTCGCTGTTTGGGATAGTGCCGACACTAGGTAGATACAGGTCGCAAAGAAGTTTTTCGCTGTTAGAGAGTGAAAGCTCCGTTTGACCAGTAGATAGCAATTTTGTCGAGTTAATTCTCGTTCTAAGCCTCACATCAACGTTCATTTTCTCGAGCTCTTTCTGTGCCGACGAGGCTATAGGGCTAGTAACTGCTCCTTTTAGGATTTCGTCACTAGAGGTTATCTATTTCTCAGTCAGTACGCTTGTATACACCCTAGAGGAAATTTATGCATCAGTACGTACTAAGATAATGTTCTTAGTCTTCCCATATTCAAAGCCCAATTCTCCAACAGTTTCTACCCCGGTGGGTCCTGCGCCTCCCACCACAATAGATTTTGCGCTTCCAACTTTCTCTCGGTATTTATGAAGGAGTTCCTTGGTTTGTTCATATCCCGAAGGTGCTCCTTTCCACGGAACCTCGCCAATCGTATGGCTACCGGTAGCAATGACCAATGTTTCGTATGTTTGAAGCAACTCGGGCCCGGAAATAGTTTTGATCGTGACTGTTTTGGCACTTGTGTCCATACTCGTCGCTGTGCCTAGGACAAACTCGAACGATTCACTTGGATATTTGGAAAAGCCAGGCGCAATCTCTGCGAACATCTAAGGAAATTGTCAGTCATATAACAAAGCAACCCGAGATCAGTAAATAGTATCGGCATACCTTGTCATCTCCAAATTGACCTGGGATAATCGCTGTTTACATCTGTGAGAATTTGCTTCAAGTATGAATGGAATTCCGGTACAAACCTCGAACTGAAGCCATATTCCAATATAAATGTGTGGTAGGAGAGACTAAGACAATTTTGAGGTCGGGAACTGCTGGCAAAGTCGATTTGAGAAGCCTACATGATATTAGTTATTATCTCCATTTCATAGATAGCTGAATAAACTGACTTATGAGCAACTGTCAGGCCAGCATAGGAAGCACCAAGAATAAGAACTGTTTTCGACATATTATGTGATGGTGATCAGTATTCTCCGCGAATGATTCCCTTTTTTTTCTTGACTTTTTGAAACATAGAAGAGATAATACGAATAGTTATAAGAAATAAGCATAAGTAGATGAATTAATTAAATATCAGTGCTGAAACAATAGTTTTATGTCAAAGAATGAGTGGTAGCAAAGTAGTACGCTAGCAAAAGTAGCCGTTGGTCCATCATGACATGGAACAAGTCCAGCATCTAACAGTGTGTGTATTAATAGCAATGGTATTCCGCTACCTACCAGTAGACCAACGCAACGCCCCTAAGTACCTAGTTTTGGCTTCATATTGTAGTACTAGATACTTTGTAGATGAAGACTCGAGTAAGGGAGGCGATATGAATGAAGTTTGTTGTAGTTAGTGGGTAGGCTTTTAGAATGGTTTGGGATTTGGCTGAATAAGAGAGATACACTAAAAACCATTGACCTTGTAGATCATTGGCTCGGGAGATCTGCACGGATGGGATCTCCAAGAAAGCCGCCAAAGCCCTTACCCAATCAAGCAACTTCCGACCTTTTCAATGTTTTCTTTTCTTCTTCCCGCTGTAGGGAATACCGACTATTGTTCCTTTAGGCCTTCAATCACGACTAGAATCATACGACCTGTAGAGCTCAAAGCCTCAAACCGCAATTCTATAGACAGAGAATTGAAATGCTACTTTAAATGATTAATAGGAGAATACGAGAGGTCTTGGTGTTCATCTTCAAAGCTCTGTGGGATAGATTTATCTCAATTAAGCTTTTAAGCTTAGATCTCAGACGAAAAATCGTGAGTCTACCAATCATAGCGACGGATCTCAGTCAAAATATATAAATTACCTGATTCAGAAGTGGTCCAAGCATTAACCTTACACCAGCTAGGTAGCCCCAGCTAAAATATCGCCCACCCCACGTGGAAATTTGATAATGGAGCTGATGCACTGATACAGTACCCATACTCACTCAATACATAATCGGTCAACGCTGGTCCCTTATCGTAAGTCGAAGCTATCTCCGGACGATTAAGGTTACCTATATTACAACTAGCAGGTTTTTTAATCGTCGCTACTTTGTCTTCCCGGCATGTTGCTTGATCGCCATTAAATGGGTCAAAGGGGAGGAGTATATACAAACTCCCCGTCCGTCCGCTCCCATTTGTCCGCTCCCGCGGCACATCTCCCCGTTTCTCGGATAGCACTTTCAAGGTAGAACACATGCTAGTTATGAAGTGGCGCATATTTTATCGCCTTGCGAGCTCGGGAAATTACCTTCCGACTTAGTAGTTGTCTGAGGGTCCTCCGCACGAGGTGTGAGCCAGGGACCATCGCGCGATATGGCTACTTTGCTTTATTAATGAAGAGACTCAATTCTTGACACACCTAGGAGCTTGTCTCGAGAGGCCCCAAGGCATTATTCGATCATTTTTTGACCAGCGAAAACTCACGTGACGGCAATCGGAGAAGTGAGTAAGTGGTTGAGTTTCATCATGATCTCAGCTTAAGTGGTGCGCTAAGAGTTGAGAAGGTGATGGTCAACGGATGGCCATTGCACCATGTATGCTGGTTCTCTGCAGAGGCTTGTGGTTGATAAATAATGACAGTTGGGGGAATAGTACGACCGAAAATGGCAAGTGGCAAAGTGCTCCCAATAATCATTCAGGGGAAAGCGGTAATTGCATCAGCACATTATCACAGATCACTAATATGGTGATACTATAAAGCATATGCACTGGTTGGTAATTTGAAGGAACTTTTCTATCCTGGGAGTGAGGATATAGGGAAAGGTAGACGAACTACTTCTCTTTCAAATCACTCTTCGCCAGTTCATTTCGTTTCATCACTAACAACCAAAGCTCTCAAAATGATATCAACGCACACTCCATCAGCAGCCTCGTAACTCTTCATGATAGTCGATTCCACAGCAGTGGTAAATTCCATTGCTCACTATAAGTATGGAGAAGCGAGAGGCTGGAGGTTCTACGCCCAACAGCTTTTGAGCCCGCAGCCAATCCCGCAAACGAAATTCCCTCACGTCAAGAATAGGTTTACCGCACTACCTGGGAGCCGCGTTACTTCCGTTTGATCTTGATCGAAGACGTGCTGATGTGGTAGTGGAAAAGTTGGAGAATCAAAATATGTTCAAGAGGAGGCTAACTACGACACTGGTGAATTATACGGAGAGTTTTATGTATCGTTACGCCGCTTGCTGAGTCTCGTAACATTATCTCAAAGTTGGTGTCATTTCATCGTCATTTCTTCCAGAGCCTTCTGTAGAGCTCAGATTCCGTTGGGCCCACTACTTAACAAGTCATCATTTCCGTCACTAAATGTACAATTTTCACATGAGGGCACATTTCAAATGCAGGAAGTCTTTTGCTATTGATAATTATATTTTTAATCGAGTCAAATCTATCTTAAGAAAATTTCCTCACCTAGGAGCAGCCTAGGAACTACGTAGTATGCGGTCCTCGGTCAACAGGTCCATTAGGAAGATGATGTCTTATATCCGGATGCCTTAAGCCCAGCCACAAGTCATGAGTTCATATTTAGTCTTCATTAAGTATAAATCCCAACGCCATCCTACTCCACGTTCTTCTCTCTAGCAGCATCAAGCGCATTACGCATCTGGATGCGCCTAATTCTCATCCACCGTCTACAAGCGAAAGGGACATTCTGCCACGTATATTGTCTAACGGGCCATGGATCGCCATTGAAAAGATCACCACCTTCGAGGTGTCTTGGTGCTTCAGCATTCATGTCCTCGATCACTCTGTGCCATGACCCAGACGCGGCAATCAGATCTCCCTCTCCCTTGATTCCATGAACGTCACAGAGATGGAGGAGGTATTCTTTTTCGCTGGGTACGTAGAGTGTCATTTTTGTGGGTGTTTGTTTCGAGAATCGGATTTTCGATGGTTTTACTAGAAACTTAGTACTTATGATGTATCTGTGTGTATTTCTTATGTGTCGATCAAAAATATCTGGATATTTATATGTGCGAAAAAGATACTGTTTCCCACCTATTCTGCTGTCAAGTACCGCATTCATAGGATCATTTCGGGTCCAGAACAAATGCCACTTCATCAACAACAGCTACTTCATCACAACTCACTAAATAAAGGCATTGTTCATCAATCCGTCTGTATAGAACAGATATTTTGGAATCTCAGTAATACTTGTTTTAATAAACACTATCAATTCTGTCCATTTCAAACTAAAGTAAATTGGGGTACAAACCAACAGACTTATTTCTCTCCTATCTATCTATCCCCCTTCCTTTCTCACCATAATCATCAATGATTTTTCTACCCTCCTCAAATCTCTCTATAATCACCATAACTTCTTCTCATACGCCCTCCCTCACCTTCCAATCTATCTACATGATAATCTCTATTCATACTCACCTCATTAAAAGCATTTTCATATCTTCATCTTCACCCTCATCCCCCATACTATATTCAAAGCTGAACTGTTCCTTCCATGTCTCTATCCCAAAGTGCCAAAAAAAAAAAAAATTTTCATTCATCGCGGAGGTTTTGTAGAGTTGAGCTGGACTTGATATTTAGTAAACAATCGCTTAGTATAATAATCTTATGAAGGTGAAAATTGTAAGACTTAGAATGTTTTCGAGATGAGAGATTGAAGGCGTTGGATTTATTTATAAATTATAGATTAAAGAGTTTAAGTTTGTAGGTCTAGTACCTCATTTTCGGATCATTTTTAATTTAGAGTATCTTTTTATATTAAAAATAAAGATTTTTGTTTATTAATAATTATGAGATTTTATAATAAACGAATAGTGTGACGGAAAAGTCGTAAACGGAGTCAATTCAATTACTTAGAATCTAAAACTAAAGAACTAAGAAGATTCTAAGTAAGAAGGTCTTTATATACAGGGCTAGTGCACGTGAGCCACTAGTGGGATAATGTCACGATTCACCATTAGGATTGATGGTGTTACGATGGTAGCAAACTGATTAATTAGGAGAGCTTAGGCCGTGTGCAAACACGATCAGATTTCATCGAATTAGTATGTGATCTTGGTCACCTGAAGATCGTATGCGCACGCACCATCAGAAATCGCGTGATAAGGAGTCTTGAGGAGCCAGAAAGCTCCTAGGGGCCCCCTTTATTGTTCAGTATATAGTCAGAGTAGTTTCATAGTTTAGGAGCTTCGTGCTCAACTTAGTTATCAATTAGTTTACCTACATTCTACTTGATCTAGTAACGACTTCACTTCCAAGTGAAGACTAGTGATAAAGCCTTAACCCACAACTACCAATCAGACGAAACCTCAGGCAGCCGCTGCCTCCGGTACAGTATCGTTACATTTACCTACACTCTACTTGATCTAGTAACAAATTCACTTCCAAGTGAATACCAGTGATAAAGCCTTAACCTACAACTACCAACCAGACGAAACCTCAGGCAGCCGCTGCCTCCAGTACAGTATCGTTACATTTATATACAAATTTACAAAACTTGAAAACCGTTGATAATTTTTCAATAAAAATTATTAAAAATAAATCATAATTTTTAATTTTTTTTTTGAAATATTCAAATTACAATTGATCATTTAAATAAATTTATTTTGAAAAATATTTAATAATTATTGTTTTATTATCAATTGAATATTTCTCTATATAAAATTTTCTTATTACGACGGCCATCATCAAACGCCGCGTCACATGATTAAGCTAGGGTAACGTGACCCTAAGTCACGTTACGGACTGCTGAGGAGCGCCGGCGGTCCTAACTAGCCATAAGCACGAAGGTCTATATAATCAAGATGGATTTCTTTACTGTAGAACTTCGTGCTCAAGATCAATCATTTAGTATATTCTACTATTAATTACGAATTGCATTATTGTCATTACTTAAGTCCCTGCTTGATGCCTAGTTATAAACCCCTCGAGGATCCAGGCCACTTCCACGGATCTAGCTAAAGGATTCCTGGTGGTGGGCTGACTATTCCCTGTCCCGTTGTCTGTGCCTCAACTTTGAAAGTGTGTTAGAAGTGTATCTTTTGCATTCTACTACTAATAGATAGATCACGGTGATTAGAATCGGATTTTAAAGTTACATTTTCTCCAAAACTGATGATGTTTTTGGTGTCAAAATTGCATGGATGCCTCTGATAAGTGGGATCCACTTGGAGGCGAAGCTACAACCAACATGCTCCACACTCCTGCGGGAGCAAGGTCCATGGGTGGGACTAGGCCCATAAACCGATATGCGCCCCTTGATAATGTTCTAGTTTATCAAATCCAGGGTCAGGGTGCATGTACTCTCGTAATCTGTTGGAAGGCCTTTGCCGCACAGAATCTCATCGAACTCTACTCGCTTGACGCTCATGCAATTTTCTGGAGAAACTTCGCCCATTAAATCTAGGGGGAGAGTGAATGGTTGTTTGTCCAATATGACACAACATATATATCTTGTTTAAAACGCATTTCACTTTTTCATCTTTTCACCATTTGACTGATAGTGAAAGCATCATAGCAACAACAGCTCTCCTCAATTTTTCTGTCAAAGACATTTGTCTAATCTGTCATGCCTACTGCAATTCTTCCTTCTAAGCCAGACGCCCCTGTTGCGTATGAGCTCTTCCAAGGAGATGCAGAAAGTAGCCTCCTTGTAGTCTGCCTTAATGGTCTTGGGCTTGCACAAATCGGCTGGAAACCAACTGTTGAACTCATTCAGCAGTCGAGTATCTCTCCAAAGCCATGGATCCTTACTTACGACCGCTATGGCCAAGGCGCTTCTCCAAAAGATCCACGCGAAAGCTTGCCGAACAAAGAGCCTGGCTATGCGCACACTTTGGATGATGTTACCGACGATCTCCAAGAGTTGATTCAAACTGTTTCACCTGATCGTTCCTCTCGCATCGTTTTTGTGAACAACAGCATAGGCGCACACGTCGCGCGAAGATACGCTGACAGGTAACAGACGATAAACCCATATCTCTTTGCTAGCGATGTGACTAAACATTAGCGTCTGATCTAGATATCCAAAAATTGTCGAAGGTATCTTATTCCTTGACTCGAACCCTGGAAATACCGACTACGCCGAGATATGGCCTAATCCAAAGGACCCATCCTTTGATCTGGGAAAAATGGCTCCTCCTGGCACCCCGCTTGAAGTATACGAAGCCGCCTACACCAAGATGACATCAATATTTGCTCCAACCTCAAAAAACGGCGAAGGTTTTGACCGTCGAGATATCAAGACCATTCTGCCAGACCCATCAGAGCCCAAGCTTAAGGGATCAAAAACTTCAGACAAAGGTCCTTGGGTAACTGTTGTGGGCCATGAGCTCGAACAATTCTCAAAGGAGGAGTGGGCAATGTTGAAGGTTCCTTTGGGCATGGCTGCCATGTATACTCAACCGTAAGTGAGCGCTTATGTCTCAATCGGGCATTTGGCTAATACGAAACAGCATGTGGGAAAAGTACAATGAAGGACTTTGTAAGCTCACTGACCCGGACAGGGCAAAGGGGCCACTCATCGCATCAAAGTGCGGGCATTTTGTCCACAGAGACAACCCACCATTCGTTGCTGAGCAGCTAGAAGATCTTATCATGAAGGTTGAAAGTTCCAAATGATTACGTGAAAGGTTCTGAGAGCTTCCCTTTTGGTATTTCAACTACTGTAGAATGAACACATTTTCTTTGTAGTTTTTGCGATCTTTATCAATCATGTGGATGTGAAGATGGTTATAATGAAGCTTGTTTGTTGTCCACGGACGACTTTATGCACAAGAAAATCCATATTTTTGCATTTGACATACTTTAGAAAGTAGTACGCATTCGACACTTTACACTAAAATTATACAAACCATCGGCCGGCCTACTTTCAATTCATTATTTCTACGGGCTTGCAAAAGGACAAGTAATTTTCAGATAGAAATCTTGATATTCAGTAGATTGGGTAGTTTGTTGAAGAGGGGCTTCTAGGCAGAAAAACCGATTCTGAAATTGATGTAACAATGAAAAATGAAAGGAAACCCACACAAATCTTGATCAAAGAAAATATTTCAATATTGGATATCCCCCCATTCCACACTATCTCATCCTGTTTAGATCTAACAGGACAAATCCCTCCACAAGTCCGGTATGATGGTCCATCGAGGGCGCCCAACACGGGGAATAACCGACCAATGAGTACACCCTTCCCGAATCATGGTATGATATTACTGTATCCTGAGATATACATCCCTACTTGTAGTTGTATCAATTTTACTTCAATCGACCCACATCTGTACCTTTCAAGTTCATCATATCTGTGCCTCTCACCAACATCTGCGTCTCTCACCACATTCAGCCACTATCTCCGTCCATGTATGCAATGCTGTGTGAATGAAGCTCCCGATCTAACCTGCTTACTTTTTATATTTTGTGAGATGGTGGTAACAGTAGGTAGCATTGCATATTTCGGTCCGTATTGAAGATATCGCAGCGGGTAGTGCTAGGCAATACATCGATTGCTGTTTTAACGATTACAAGAATGGTGGTAGGTTGCGATCATTATAACCCAAATCTGACTTCTGAAATTTCTTTAGCTATGAATCCCTTCTACTGTGCCTCACCTGGTCTACAATCTTTTATTGATGGAAAGTTATGCGAAGCTTTTGTGTTCGACATGGGGTCTCCGAGTCTTACTATCCTACTTCATTAAAATCGACTCAAGTCACACTGAGCAGCAGATATCTTTTATTTCCAAGATTAGTTCTTCTTTTTGTCAGTCTGTTGTGCTATCATGAGCGCAAATTCTCAGTCTTCTCCAGATGGAGATGTCAACATTGGCTGGAAACTAGAAGTGGGTTCGACAGTGACATTTGTGAGTGCCGCTATCGTGGTCGCGCTTCGATGTTTCACATGAGTGAAGTACTCGCAGAGAGGATGGGATGACTACCTGGTGGTGTTTGCATTGGTAAACATCCTCCATCTAGACATACCTTTCATACTCGCAAAATTCTCACAGTCATCGCAGCTCCAAGCTCTTATCGCCACTATCATCGACTTTGTAGCCGTAGGTTATGGCTTGGGCCGACATACATTCTACCTCGCATACAATGAGGCAGTGCTCCAGCAATACTACAACCTTCTTGCGCAAGTCTTCTGTGTAGAGGCATTGAGCTTTGCCAAGATGGCCATTGTTGTATCGTATATGCGAGTGATTCATGGCTCCGGGGTCCGCATACACCAAGTCGTGCTATGGACTCTAGGTATCTTGGTCTTTATTGTCAACACTATGGTTATCATCGCCTTTTATACTGCCTGCACTCCAATCGAGAAATCATGAAACCCTTTAATTAAGTGTAAATGCTGGACTGTAGATAAGAAACTTGGTTTTTTTCTTCTTCAGGGAGGTGAGTCTTCTAAGTGCCAAGAGCCACTAGTCCATGTACCATCTACACATCTAACTATTCCAAACTTTCTCTGCGTTCTCGGATTTTTTCTTGGCATTTTACCCGTTCTTCTTCTTACACAAGCTACAAGTCAAAAAGCGAACCAAAGCACTCATCCTGTGTTTGATGGGTCTGGGCACAATGTACGTGTATTTCTGCAGCACGTTGCAGGCTGGTTGACTGACTTCTTGACAGGACTGGAATTTTTGCCATTATACGAACCGTTCAAATTGGCACGCAGCTCCACCCCCCTCCCAATAAAAATCCCGATACTTTCAGTACCGTCCTGGGCCTTACTTGGTCCGGCATGGAGAGAAATATCGCGATTCTTCTCGGGAGTGTGCCTGCGCTGAATCCGCTCGTGGCACCGGCGACCAGAGTCATGAGGCAGACTTTGGGCTCATCGATCTTGAAATTCAGATCGGCGAGATCTCAATTATACCAGCTATCGGATGTTCCCCAGTCCGGTAAGCTGCCAAATAATGATAGTGGACGACAAATTTCTGCGATTAAAAGCACCCGATCGACAGGTACACGAAACTACAATACGAGTGAAGAACGCATATTTCCTATGCAGAGCGGAGAGATTGCGTAATAAATAACTGTGCCAAAGGATTCCGGTCAGGAGTCAGACTACCGATCCAATTTTTTGAGTTGTTCAGAAACTTCACAGGAAATGTACTAGATAGTCAGAAATAGAGGGGTAAGACGAGCATAGCTTATATCAATGTACGATGATAATAATCATAGATGGAGAGAGCATTATCTCTTCTTTCCATGGGATGGATGCCTCAACGATTTTGGCTGAAGATGTCAGTTCCATAAGGATTCTTGTAATTCTATTACACTTTCGCTTCTACACAAAATTTTACGTCCGATCATCACCCTCGCTTGATATTTCTTGGCCGAAAACAAGCAATAATTTTGCGCTACGTATCCTCAAAAGAAACTTTTCGGTATTAGGCATGCCTGGACATGCATAAAAAATGTGAATACGTTTATCTTAAATCTGTGGTTTCTAAAAACAGCTAACAAACAACCAGGCAAAGCCATTACAAAACAGAAGGATTCTTCTTAATTTCCCTGTTTTTTCTTAGAATGGATGGTTTTAGAAAGTCAACTCTGCATTTCCACGCAATGACAATGTGACTCGGTGGTGTGCACGACTAAAATCAACTTAGACATTAGAGAAAAAGCTAAGGATGGAACTGAGAGCAAGATTGGAGGTTGTATTATAGTTTAGTTGTTGAGTAAAACAAGTTTTACTTAAATAGTCCCCCGCGAGCACAGCTTCACTGTTGCAGAGCTCGCCCCACGTACTCAGCCGATAGTCCAGCCAACATCGCCATTCCAGCATATTGAGAGTTTCCTACTTTGGACCACCAGGCGCAAGACTCCGGCTCTCCTAGGCGCACGCGGCTGAGCATGGTAGCCAACGTCGCTGCAGTCCCTGCGACAGCCAAAGCGTTGTAGCCAAAACCAAAGCCACCTAACGTGCCGGTCGCGGCCAATAACAGAACCTGAGTGAAAGCGAGTCGACAGAGTAGCGGCATTGTGCCAAAACGCTCCTCCAAATTTGGAGCATCAGGGTTGACATACAGCAAGACCAGATTCTTGACCCCGGCTGCTATATCTTCAGCGGCATCTTGATGCGAGTACACGAGCTCGTACAACAGTGTCCAGACCACGTTGGCTGCGTAAAAGGCGGCGATGGGCCAGTCGATTTGCACCTCTAGCAGGGCCTCTAGAATAAGAGACAGCCCCGATTTCTCCGTAGACTCGCGTCTGACTACACTCATCAATGCATAAAGAAGAGGTGCAAAGTTCAATAGATCCGCACCCATCGAAGTGGCACCTATATATACACCCCAGGCCATGGGGAATCCCAACACAGCCTGGGGATAGTAGGTGACACGCTTAGCGAGCGGGTAGCAGAACCAACCGACCACCGCTGGTACAACGTAGATGACGCAGAGCGGAGGCAGTAACGCTAGTGTGGCGAGAGAAGCAAGTGTCTGCGCAGCAGTGAAGAGGTGGCTTGTGTGACTGAAATTGCTCCACGTGCCAGCGGCCGGTCGCGGCACCGTGAGACCTTCCGATCAAAGTCAATGTCGACGGTGTCGTTCCATGTGCACGTTGCGCCTCGCATGATAAGATTTCCCCAGATTAGAATCAAGTTGACGAGGAAGAGGTCTTGAAGTGAGGAGCCCTGCTGTATAGCAGCCCAGAGGGTCCCATACGCATGAGGATACCAGAAGTACCAGTAGCCATTAGGACAGTCCAGACGCATAAGCTGTAGGTATGGAATATAGGCATCGGGAATATGGGAGTGCCACTGAGCTTTGGAGGGGGTAGGAGTTGAAATTTTAGCCATTTCGATGCTTGAAGAACTGTCACGAAAACCTGCTATCAATATGATGAAATTTCGTAAGCCTCGCACGCCTTTCTGTCACCTGCCTATGACCAGGAGCTTTTATTTATACCCCCTTCATTGGTTTTGGGTACCAGTATCAAGCCTTAGTTCCCTGAATAGTACTTAGAGGCTACTGGGTAACTCAACAGTACACGGGTATGAATTGCTCCGCTTTGATTACGTCCAGATACTCAATCGTACAGTCTATGGCCATGTAGAACGGTGAGATTACTCCGTGTTACAATAGCGATTCCTACCTGAAAATATCAATCGAATGCACTTCCAGTCTCAGTCACTGCGTAGGATCTTTCATGCAGGACGATAGCACATTTCTCCAAACTGTAGGCAATGCATACTGCAACCACACGTTTTGAGGAGGCTCTGTACGCTAAAGATGGAACACCTTCTTCTTTTAGAAGTAACAGGTGTGCAGCGGCGAAAAGTCCTGATTTTATACGAAACTCTAGTACCCACAACTGCATGTGATGAGTTCTTACCTCGGCATCTCCCATATTTGAATCAGTGTAGGATGCAGGACGAAAATGGAATAGTAATACTGAGTAATGAGTAATAGCTGCAAGGATTCCATGCATATGCACTTACATACTCTCCTCCCCTTGAACAAACGTAATTTAGTGGGATCTTCTAAAAGAGTAGCAAGGAGGTAAGCAAGTAAGATTAAACGATCTTCAGTGTGGCAACACTCTTAGAAAAGATTGCATATACCCTGCATTGATTGAATTGAGTAGAACTAGGGAGATGAACCATTTGTACGATCCTACGTTGCTTATCATGCGTCTAGCCTATCGAGTAGTATGTACTCGAGAGTTGGTGGTTGAAAGATTCCGAAAGTTCTACACGGTGATTGAAAGTAGAAAGATATCCTAGCCATATCCTTGACAGAGGATATGCGCAACACAACTGCATATGCACATGAATATTGGCATCGAGGATTCTATATAGCGGATGAATAGATGAACACTCAGTGTAGATCATTGATAGAGGCTATGCAATGCAGTGCAAGATAAGAAGCACTAACTATCAGATCTCATTGCGTACGCACGTAATTTCTTCTACATGTCTAAACGTATGTTGGAATACATTACTTCGGTCAAATATACAGTCTGCGGCTTAAGTTGGTTGTGCTTTGCAACCTCTGCATGCGGTATAAAAGTCCTTGCCTGATTCCTCGTATTTCTGCATTCTTGTCAGCATATTATTTCTCCCTAATATATGCACTTGTCCACTACAACCACAATATGACTGCACTTTCAAAACGAGGGGCCCAGAACGTGGGAACCTATGTCGGTCACCTTCCTGTATCGCTCACCGAGGTAGCAGATGACAGCAACTGGATCGACCTCTCCTTTGCCGAGAACTACACGATCCGGAAAGAAGCACTTATACCGTGATCCTTAGTGATCCTTAATGATCACTACTGATCACTTGTGATCACGTGCCTTGGTCATGTGATGGTAGTTGTGTAGCCCGTCGTAACACTTGAATATCTTAATTAATAATATCTTAGAAAATCTAAAAAATTTCAAAATTATTATTATATAAACAATCAATCTATGATTTCATTTTATAAAATTATATTTATAAATAAAAAAAGTTAAAAAGACAATCGGAAAAGAAAGTGATGTTACGAGGTTTGCCGTCTAGATCACGTGGAAGCGCTCTAGGCTCTCGAGGTGGTTTATAACTAGGCGTCAAGCAGGGACTTAAAGTAATGACAACAATGCAATTCGTAACTAATAGTAGAGTATACTAAATGATTGATCTTGAGCACGAAGCTCTATACAAAGGAAATCCATCTTGATTATATAGACCTTCATGCCTATCGTTCCTTCGGTCCCTTCGATCCCTTCGGTAAAGGGATCGAAGGGATCACATGACTTCGTACGTGGTCATATGATACGAGGCTAGAAGCCGTCGTAACACTTTTGGATATGATCCGATCAATTGTATATTTTTCTTTAAAAAAAATATGAATTGCATTTTTTCTTTCCTTTTGGATCATATCATCCATCGTTTTTGAGGGCGGAGAATGTTCTTGATGCATGGATGGATGTGAATGACCTGGTTCTGTTTAACCGGAAGTAAAATCTGGATTGGATTAATATATATATATATTATCATTTACCTGCAACTAACAACTTTCACCGGATCTCTCGAGATAATTTTAGCAAATACAAATGTCACGCTCCCCCGTATTCACATAAATTCAAGCTCGATCGTTTCAGCTAGATCTTTTAATTACTTAATTTGCATCGCTGTCGGGATAATAGCCTTCCTTATTTTGTACCTCCATCTAGCCGTCTCTAAAGTAAGATTATTTCAGAAAATCATCATCTAAGACGCGATAGCTTTGTAAAATTCACATATTTCTCCCTCGTTATCACGACCATTTTTTAATATTCGCTAATTTTCATGGGAACAGCGCGTCACGGATACTTATATGAGTATGCTGATTGTGGTTTGTAAATGGAATTAAGAGGGAGGTTGAAGAATAGTTGGGGTTGTTGATAGTGGGAATATGTTTTATTTGCAGAGACTTGAGAGGTTCTTGGGAAATCGGAAATGCCCTCGTCGACAGCTTTGAGACTCTAAGCTCAACAAAGGAAGTTATATATGGCAAGTGCACTTTGGAAAATGTCCAACGAGATTTAAAGCAAATAATCATACTCATTGTGCTATTTATTTCATGTACTGTGATAGTCTCGTATACTGACTGAAATTTGCATTCTTTCCCACAAACGCGATACATATGCCTAGTAAGCATTTTGTGCTTTACGTTCATCAAAAACCTTCAAAGCTTCTTCAGCAGCTTTAACACCAGAGAGTGCCATTGCACCGAAGGTAGGACCCTGTGGTAAAAACTCATGTTAAAATTGTGATGCGAAGTAATGATTGGTTGAATGACATACCATACGATTTGCACCATCAACCTCGGATAATTCCATACCTCCAACAATCAAACCTGGAACAATTTCTCTGGTTTTCTTGACGATGGCATCTTCAGCGACCTGTGGGATCAATGAGTCAATAATTGTCTACTTAGAACGGACTAAGGAGTGACGAGAGGAATAGATGAATCAGTGGTAGAGAGGTCAAATAGGAAATAACATAGTCCCCAACAAAGGACCTTATACTTACATTCATATCAAGGCCTCTCATTCCACCAAGTTCTTTGATTTGATTCATGGATACGAGACGCTTGACACAGAATGCACCGAATGGGCCATCATGGCCAGTGGTTGAAATGACGATAGGAGCATTGATTGTGTTTGGGTCCATGCAACTTTGGTCATCATGATGCATTGTAACCAATGTCCAATTTGTAACCACACCAGCGATTCTGATGTTACCATCGGCAGTTTGACGTGTGATGAGATCCTCAACTGAGGTTGCATTGAATAATTTGATGTTCGGGAAGGCAAGAACCTTGGACAAAAGAGTGGAAGTGAACAAAGCCTGTTGGTAGTCAATTGTTAGCGCCATCAAATATTTTCAGCGAAGATATAAAATCTTAATGATGCAAAAGAATGAAACATACAGCATGCTTGACCACAACAAAATCTCCTTCATCTTCGAATGGAACACCAAGATCAATCAAGAAGGCATCGGCAGGCTTTCGCATAACCATAGCACTGAATAGTTGTCCTCCTAACCAAGCTCCACCACCAGGAGAAACAGAAGCCTCGATAATGGCAATCTTGAGATCTGGACGAGCTTTGCCGAGCATATATGCAGTGCTTAGACCACATGATCCGGCACCAACGATGACCACATCAGACTCGGCATATGTATCAAGGTCCTTGAAGTAACGGCGAGTCATGGCACGCGAGACTTGGGACTCACGAATAGGAGCAAAGGTAAATCCTTGATCCCATTTCTCAGCAAGTTCAGCAAGTGTCTTGCCTTGGCTGGCAGTCTGAGCATGAACAGCTTTGACTTCAAAGGCGGATTTCAAATGAACACCGTCGATGGGAGAATTTGCCTCGACTGCGGATGGTGGTGCCATTTTCGATATTTTGGAAAGTTAATTTACCTGCGAGAGATTAGTGACGTCCATAAGGACGGAATAGAAGAGCATGATCCTTTCGCTGGTATTATCCAGATCAAGTTCATATAACCGTATAATCTCAGAACGACCCCTCACCAGCGGCACTCTCATTTCATCCTACTAATAGTAAGATGGTGAATGAAAGACAAGCTGATGATTTGTAGGATCGAACACCGGTTCATGCGAGAGTTACTTATACAATTGATGATCTACCTTGATCCGCAGGCGGATAATGTCCATGCTGAGGACTACATGACTTCCAACAGTTGGAAGTGAGTTGTACTTTGTACTTGATGTCGTGTGCTAACACACATAAAAATAAGGTCAGTATTGGTCCAAGTAGAAAGAAAGAAACACGAACGATTGTCTAGTATGTGAATGAAGAGCTTTGGCAAAGATAATGAGAAAAGAGGAATTATGTTGGGAATCCTACAAATAAATACTCCGTAGTTCATCAATCACGGCTAAGTGAGGGGTAGCTTTTTACGTAGTGCTCCCCCCACGTCTCCGGGATTTACCCTGTTTCACATGCAGTCAACTTCACTATCGCCGCTATCTGATTGAGTGATTAAAAGTCCTATACACTGAATATGTCAGAGGTTGAACCTGACTGGAGGGAGAATTTGATCAACAATGCGGACGGTTGAAGTATGTAACCGGCCTTCTTTCATTGGTTGGCTAGGAATGTTCTGGAATTTACCCCAATCCCGGAAACGATGCATCAGGGGACAAATAACATCAGCCGATTGGTGGTGATTAAACTTGTAATATATATTATTTTATGAAATCATGAATATTGTCTGTATATGATTTACAAACATATGGTCTTCTTAGTTGCGGGTATGAGATTTACATACTGAAATGCCTAGTATCATTATCTCCTCAAACGAGAATCAAATAAGCGGTGGCAATGAGAAAACACATAAGTTATAATGGTGATCAATCTTTCTTGCTAGTTATTGATATTGATACCTCAAAATTGCCTCTAATCTGTTGAGAATGGTGAGTATATAAATTATCACACAGAAGCCTTTCATCTTTACAGCGAGCAAATTCAGGGTTGAAAAGCAACTTCTGCAAGGCATTTATTCGAAGAGATGCTCCATTAAAGTACACCGAGGAGCTTTACCTTTACTACTCTTCCATACGTATCGTATGTATGAAGTTTTTAGCCATGATCTCGCAATTAATCCAAAGCTCACCAATTATTCATCACCTACCCTCAAATCCCTTGCAGCAAGAAAACATTTTTTCCATATATTTTCCTGGTGAGTTAAGGTTATAACAGTTGAAGACTATTTTATCCAAAGGCACTTCTAATTGTTCAAGTAACTGTCTACGGAGTAATACAAGCAAAAACTTTGGTATCTCGATTTTTTCTGTAATTTTAGATTTTAGCATCAATAAGTATAATAAGTATAATACATCTTGATTTAGTAATCTTACAATATACAGCGGGTTTTAAACTCGAATATGATTAAGGCTAAGTATAAGAAATATATAAGTCCTATAGTAGTTAAGCGAACGAGATATTTAGTCTAGGAAAGAATACCCCTCAAACCCAGTTAATTCAAAGATTCTCAACTAGCAGCTGTGCATTTCAATAGTTCTTAGTAGCGCTAGCGAGAATGCTTTTGAGGGGAAAGTTTTATGAGATAGATCTATTAATCTATAATTTGTTATAAATCTTACAAGATGGTATACCTATCTTAAAGATCAAGTGATATTTGTGGATTTGGGGAAATGGTAATTGTGAGTTTGCTTTGTATTTCATGCTGAAAGAAGGGCTGTCTTGGATTGTGTGCTGATTTCTTTCAAGCCCTTTGTATGCAATCTTAGATTTAAGATTGATAATGATTTTCGATTGACGCCGTAGAGACAAGGTACTGTGTTATGGCGATTCCGAAGTATTCATAAGTGTATGTTATCATTACCAGCTACATAAAAGCCAAATTTGAGATTTTATTTGCAGCGAAAGGATATACATTTCAACAAACTAACAAGAGCGACGTATAGCCCCTAGTCTACTTCCTTTCTCTGCAACTCTCATACCATCCGAATTTATTCCTCTCCGTATATCATCAAGCTCCAATTACAGATCCATAACACACGCCTAGCCTCTATCCCACCTCACCAAGGAGCACCCTCAAATATCTGCGCAAGTCCCTTATATTTATTCAACGGCGTCGCATCAGCATTAGCCGGTATCCAAGCATCCAAAGCAAAAATATAAAGTTTAGGCTCCGGCACACTCTTTCTACGAGCTTCCCAACCTGCATCATCATCAAATGTACAGTGAAAAGCAGCTGTATATTTAACTTTCTCCCAGAATTTCAAACATTCTCCTTTTCCTGATCTTTTGAGAAGGGCTAGATATCCTTGGTAACAATCTTCCATTTCCTTTGCGCCGTCAAGAACATATTCGATGTTTTCTCTATGTTCCCCTTTAATTGTTTGGTCATATTGATCCCTGTAATCCTCAACCCACATGTCTGAATCAAGATCGAGAACGTGATATTCCGGCTCTTTCTCAGACTTTGGCTTGCGGTAATAATAGTTGGCTGCGAGCATGGCTATCATTTGGAAGACTGTAATATCGGGACACTCTCGACGGATAAGCTCTAGGACCTCCTCGTATAATTTCGGATTAGGCAGACCATCTTCGAAGATGTCGGTTCCAAAAGCCGTTAGTGCAATGCGCTTTATTTTTGAGAGATCTATGCTGCCTCCGTAACGGTATAGTCGCATAAGATCCGGAATATTGAGCATTAGGGTTTCTCTTTCAGGGTCAATGTAGGTTTGGCCAGTGGGCGAGCCGACTTTCCAGAAATAGCGGATTGGTACCCCCTCGTTTGTCTTGCCTAGAATCAAACCTTGATTGCTTGGTGGTACTGAAGTTTTGACATGTTTCATTCGTCTGTAAATCTCTTTCCTTGAAGTGTCGCAAGCATTTAATAATGGCATCAAGTGGGTTGCTGCAGGTATCTCGGTCTTGATCTCAAGCTGAAATTTTTGGCGGTTTCTAGCAACCTCGAAGAAGAAATCGATTACTGGTGACTTCCGATCTGGGATGGCTTCGTTGAATACCATTCTCTGCAACTCAAGATGAAGACACTCAAATTTGGTGAAGGTAGATACATCTTTGTCAATTGTGGGAGACAGCTCTTTTAAGATCCTGCGGGTTGGTTGGAACTTTACATTATCGTAGTACTTGATGTAGAAAGCCGTGTTACCTGTCTAGAAGTTAACACAAAGCAGTTCTGGTTAGAATTGAATAGATGTAATACGCCGCAAATCCCTTAAATTCATATTTCAGTGCCAAATTTTTCCTTTTCGAATGTGAATGCGGACGAATTGGTCGAGAGCGATTGAGGAATCCTCCAGGCCTGACGGATTTTCGTGGTTCCGCGGGGTACGGATTTTATCGTTGAAAGGTTGAGAGGTTGAGAGGTTGAGAGGTTATAATTCAGAGGTTGGAAAGTCGTAATATTTGATTGACCGAAATGAGTGTCGTAATTCTGGAGTGTCCGAACTATGGAGTTAAGGTATTAAATATCTTTGACGTAGGCAGCAGCTACGTTGCCACGGCAGTGGTGTTGAATAATCCCAAAAGAATTATGACGAGTACGGTGTGGATAATCCCTATACTTACAAAATTCACACTTGCGACTCGATACGATGAAAGTGAATACTACCGTTGGCTTAGCCCCGATGAAGATGGAGGAGAGTGAATAGAAAGGTTTTTATTGTTAAGAAACTCAATCCCTTTCGATATATTCATTTCCTTAGCTTGCAGCAGTATGAAGAGAATCAATTGAAATTTAAACCTACGAAGGGCAATATAAGTTTGTTCTACGTTCATTGATAGACTGCGTAACGGGTAACCGCAGGGCGGGATTATCGCTTTAATAGATAATCTATAAATAGTCTACTTACAAGAATTCTGGAATTTACTAACCGTACGGAGTACACTAAGTGAAATCGTGACAAAATCCCTATAAAAACTATATTTTCTTTTAATCAATTAAATATTAAATGCATTTTTGAATATTGTAAAAAATCAATTAAAAAATAAAAAAATATATATAATTTATTTTAAAAATTTTATTCAAAATTCTAAAATTTAAAAACTTTTCAATTAAATTATAATATTTTTGTTAAAGTGAATGGTTCCTGCGTAGCACGTGCACAGGGCACTAGTCCTATTAGGACTAGATTGAGAAGCTCTCTGTAAGAGAGCTTCGCACTTCCATAGAACTGTTACGAGGTTTGCCGTCTAGATCACGTGGAAGTGCTCTAGGCTCTCGAGATGGTTTATAACTAGGCGTTAAGCAGGGACTTAAGTAATGACAATAATGATATGCAATTCGTAACTAATAGTAGAATATACTAAATGATTGATCTTGAGCACGAAGCTCTATACAAAGGAAATCCATCTTGATTATATAGACCATCGTGGCATGCGTCTCAGTGCTCCCAGTTGTCCCAGTTGTACTGGGACAGCTGAGCCTACTGGGATCCTCATATCACATGATGCTAATCACGTGATGTTAGGTATGTGAGATCCGTCGTAACAAGAATGTTACGAGTTTTGCCGTCTAGATCACGTGGAAGTGCTCTAGGCTCTCGAAGTAGGTTTATAACTAGGCGTCAAGCAGGGACTTGAAGTAATGACAATAATGATATGCAATTCGTAACTAATAGTAGAATATACTAAATGATTGATCTTGAGCACGAAGCTCTATACAAAGGAAATCTATCTTGATTATATAGACCTTCGTGTTCTAGCTGATCAGTAGGATCAGTATGGCTCAGTACTGAGCTTGCTGATCCTCACTGAGCCAGTCACATGATATTGGTAGCACGTGAGCGTTTTCTTGTTACCCGGCGTAACAACGAAGTCCCAAACAAAATCACAAAGTTGTCTGTTCAGAAGATGAAAAAAACAAAAGAAAAACAAAAAAGATATCAAGATTCATGTTAGGTCCTAGTACAAATGACATACTTTGTTGGTACTTCTAGAATCTTGGGATGACATGGTATATAGCTCGGGTCCAACAGGATCGCGGTATGAATAGTTGGGAAATCGATGTGGTTTGTTCGCCAAGAAGCATGTCAGCAATTTGTGTCAGCGCCATCGGATTAGCCCTGTTGCCTGGTGTTAATTAATATAGTAATATTCGGTGCTTGTAAATGGTTTATTAGTTCTTAATCGGGGTAAAGTAAGTATTTGAGGGAAGTAAATATTCCTATGATGTTATATTAGGAATAAAATAATTGGTTTTGAATTAAAATAATAATTTCCTTTGTATTAGTTTTTTGTGATAATATAAACTCAATAATAAAAGATTTATTATATTAATTTAAAAATTTATAATTATGTATTGAGAATATCATTTTTTTATATAATAATTGTAAGATTTTAATATATTCTACACTGTGACCAAAAGGGTGTTTATAGACCAGCAATCGTATTTAACTTAGAATCTACAGGTGAAGAGCACCTGTAGATGGGGATAGCTACTCTATATATACACAAATGAATGGCCTAGCCGCAATAGCTAGGCAAAAAGAAGTCATATTTATTCCTCCAATGATCTTACTTTACCGATAACCATTGATACCTAGTACTTGTCCGGATCTGATCCTCAGGTCACCTAAATCGCATACTAATCTCGAGTAATCGTATCATGTGTGGACATGGTTAATGTACCTGAGGTTTCTTATATAATAAAGGTGGGAGGAAAGCAGGGATTTCCGTCACATACACCAAAAAATATTACAGGGACATTTACTTCCCGGACACTTGCTTTCCCCGACTAGGAACTAACGGTTGTTTATAAGCACCGAGTATTATCATTATATATATTAATTTGAAATCCCTCACTCTGAATAAGCACTGGTCCAAGCTTGGAATATCACCCCTCATAAAGTTCGAATGATTTGGTGAGCTCCTGCGATTTTCGAATCTTGCTTTCTCTTCAAAACCTAAGCAAAAAGTGTTCTGTATCTTTCTCTATATCTCAGAACTTCCCCATCAATATCTTGAAAATCCAAAATATTTTTTATTTAGCAATTCGACAATATGCCTATTGATTTTCATCTCTCTGCGACCGAAGATGGCATTCGAAAACATGCAGCCGCATTGGCTACTGGCCCTCTCAAAGATATCAAGAAAGTTTATTCTGCAAAGAAAGATGAGCAACAATTTCAAGCATTGAAGCCTTTTTATAGTGATGCGACCGCCGGTGGCATGATCAAGGGCTTCATAGCGTCACATCTTGGAGGTGCAGCTGGAAGTTTGACTGAAGCAAGTATCTTGGTTGAGGAGATGTATGCCGCTGATCCTTCCGCATCTTTAACGATTTATTCCACTGCGTTGGGCTTGACTCCATTAAATTTGGCTGGAAAAGAAGAGCACCAAGAATTCTTGGAACCATTTTTGAATGGTGAAGGGGCACCACTAGCGAGTTTGGTATTCTCTGAACCAGGAGGAGTTGCCAACTATTTGGAGAAAGGTGCTCCAGGTCTCAATACAACTGCCACACTTGAGGGTGATGAATGGGTACTTAATGGAGAAAAGGTATGAAAAACGTGACGGAAAGTTGGCTTGATATCAGAAGTGTAGCTAATTCGGAATATAGATGTGGGCAACCAATTCTGCAGGCTGGGACTTTGAAGGTGCAGACCTTCAGTGTGTAGTCTGCCGCGATACAAGTATTACCTCTGATGAACCTACTGACGCTGTCATGATACTTCTTGTGACAAGGGCCGATATTGAACGAAATAAAAAGGGCGCATTCAAAACATTGAAACATGTCCTAACTACAGGACACCCCGCTTGTTCTGGTCCACATATTAAATACACCAATTTAAAAGTTCCTGCAAAGAACGTCCTATGTCCGGCAGGTGAAGGTGTCCCTGTGGTGTCGAGAGCATTCGATTTTTCGGCTATTTTGGTTGGTGCCATGAGTGTCAGTGTTATGAGGGCCGCCTTCGAAGCAGCTTTAGCATTTGCCAAGATTGACAATCGCGGAGGAGCAGAAGATTTATTATCAAGACAAGCATTCGCCGATCTCCTGAGTGGTATCAAAATGAAGACAGAAGCTTGTAGAGCTTTGACATGGAAAGCAGCTCATGCCCTTGATAATGGACCAGGTGATTATAATGCCAGGCGTGAATTGGCATTAGCAGCGAAGATTTATTGCTCTGAAGAGAGCGTTAAAGCAGTCACAGAAGCAATCAATGCTGTTGGGGTGTAAGTAGCCGGTCGTACTATTCCTCTCAAATTATGACAGTCACTAACTACTCATTATAGAACTGCCTACAGCAATGAGCAGCCTTTTGTAGACCTTTTGAACACGGCCATCGTTTTACCCATTTTTGACGGTGGTAATATAGGTATACGTAGAAGGCATATGCAAGAGTTAATGGCATCAAAGTCGTATGATCCTTGGGCTGCGACCTATGGTCCTTCTCATTAGCAATTCAAAATTGAGGTAATTTTGGAAGTATGATAACTGAAATGAACTTGCACGTGTCAGTCTTTGAATCCATATGCCGATGTTAAAGTACCATATTTTTTAATCTCATCCAAAAGAGCGGTGAAGATCACTTCATTTTCCTATTTCATAGCGTGAAGAGTGTACCGTAGACAAAAGACCGTGATGACTTTTAACCTTGTCATTGTTATTATGTGAGTATTTCTGTTGTCTATCAAACAGAATTCTTAGTTGGCACTAAGGCACGCTAACATCTAGAAATCATAATATTACGTAAGCAGTGGAGCTTCTTTGGCTCCACTTCACTTCAATCCATCTTCTACTCCGTAATTTAGGTCAACCGAGGGATTACTTGCGCATATCACCTCCGTTATTCTTACCTCTTCATACTGTAGCTATGTACTTATTTTTTTGTTCATAGATGATTAACATCACTTCTCTAGGTTCTTTGATACGACTTGATACAGTATCAGAACTGATCTGTACACACAGGATGAATGCTCCTCTATAAGTCCATGAACATCACATCATATACTTGTTGTATTAGTGATGAAGAGTGACAATGGTATCACAACATACACCGATAGCTAAGATACATTTACAATGAACTCAAACACCCAGAATTCATATTCTTTTACCTTGTGTATCAAAAACAAGTTCGGACTCTCCGCAACTCCATTACCCCGCGGCGTACGGAGTATACCTTGTCCGTCTAGGACAAGGACCATTGTCGCTTACTATTTACCACATTGCGTCAACCAGTTCGACACAACAACCATCCGTCCATCGATAATTCTAGAATGCTAGAGTTACGGAGCAGTTATACTGGGCTACTAATCAACATAAAACGAATCCTACATGAATATACTTTAGTGGATCCACCGGGTCGATCACAATATATATAGTAATATTCCTCCTCACAATCAAAACCCTTCACACAAGCTTGATATATACCACTCTCCAGACAACTACTTATTTCTCCACCCCAAAGACATACATCTATCAACTCCAAAAATCTACCATGTCTACTCCAGGTCCTCTCTTCATAATTGGAACCGGTCCCATGATCGGATCTCACATAGCCCGGCTTTTCGCAACCCACACCTTCACCAAGATTGCACTCTTCGCACGCAACCAAACCACCTTAACCACATCCAGCGAATTCATTACCAGCGCCGCCCCATCCGTTTCAATCCATACCTACACAGCCGACGTAACAGACACACCAGGTCTAACACGGGCCCTCCAAAAAGCCATACAAGAAGTCGGGTCCCCAGAAGTAGTAATCTACAACGCCGCCCGAGTCAGCTATGGAGAATTCGGCTCATACAAAGAAGAAGATATCGTTGAAGATTTCAAGATTCCCAATCTGGGACTCTATACTACAGCCAAAATATTACTTCCAGCCTTACAAACATTAGCAAAAGAAAAACCAGATGCTCATCCGTCGCTTTTCGTTACCTCGTCTCCGCTTATCTATAAAGCTTTCGCGCCGGTTTTTTCTTTAAGTATGGCGAAGGCCGCGCAGGCGAATTTGGTTAGGGGGTTGAGTGAGCTGGTGAAGGATGAGGTTCATGTTGCGCTTGTGATAGTTGGGGGACCGGTTGGTGAGGAGGAACCGGTTAATAATCCGGAGTATATTGCTGGGAAGTTTTGGGAGTTGTGGGAACAAAAGAAGGGGGAGAGGGTGGGAGAGTTTTTGGTTCAGTAGGGTTTTATGTCCAGGAAGGGGGGGTTGTTTGAGTAGATGGATGAGGGGGAAGGGGCCGCTTGGGGGATTGGTATAGTGCTATGATTACATGTTGATTTGTGAAATATGAAATTCAGTTGAATTTATAGCAATACATAATAACATCAGAATCTATCCAAATATTCCAGAACATAATCCCCACAGCCTCTTTTCCCCCCTCACATCACTCTCAAACTGGTGAACTTACAAATCAATGAAAATGCCACACTCTCACCTCTCCAAACCCCCAACAATACCCACACCTCCCCATTCAACAACACATCCATCTCAATAAACATCATCCATCACTCTTCGAAAGATTATAAGATCTTACAAATCCATTACCCTAATGAGCCCTCAAACAACTAATACATACTCGAAGGCCAACTCATAAGTTTATATCTATAATTAGTAATTAGTAATTAGTATATAAAATTCCTTTAGAATTCTCAATCTTTCGATTGATAATCTTTAATCTTAGATTCGAAGGACTAATTGAATATTGATTTTTTAGTTGTTTGTGATGATTGCGTTGTTGCATTCTATCTTTTTATTATATTCTGAAAATAAAATAACTTGGTAAATATATTTTATATTCTAGACCATCATTTAACAACGGAGGGAAGCCTTTTAATAATGATTTTAAATCCAATTAAAGTATTCAGATATTCAAATCATAAAAAAAATTGATGATAATTTACCTGTCACGAATCATGGTTATTGTTGAAACTGAGTTGTTTGGAAGTAGTAGTATTATTAGATGTAGGTTAAACTAAGGATCTAAGTTACATGCAAATATTTGTCGCTGTTCTCCATTTGATCGACTCTTCGTTAAAAGAAAGGGAAACTCGTTTGCTCTTCTTTATCGAGCAGGACCTCTAACTTGGAAGGTGGAATGGGATTTTAAAGAGAAAAGAGGAAGGTTTATGTCCTTATGACCACACCAAAATAGACTCGTTGCAATCTTGGAGATTGTGCCCGGAGATATGGTTGGATACGATGAGATGTCAAATGTGCTTTTGAAAATGTTTTTCTTGACGTCTGACTCTTATTCGATGATGATATCCTGACTGATCATTTGGTAATGCTCGCACGCATTAAAGCATTCCTATCTCTTGGTGAACTATGATAGATTTAGGAAAGCAGAGGCTAAATGATCAATTAGAAATGATCAAGTTTCTTGGAGTAATGGTAGAATTGAAGATATTCCCAATTATGGTCCGTGCACCATAATGGTCATATGACCTCAATTCTAGGCCCATAATGACCTTAATTTCAACAGTTATTATAATACAATAAAAGCAAGTACGGCGGTTTGGGCCGCTGTTTCCGAGGGGGTCCTTATCGATAAGGAATCCTAGGACAAGTGTCCTGAGGCCAATAGAAAATCACGTGATATGCTAGCTATGCTAGCCAGCTAGCATAGCTAGCACTCAAGGAAACGACGAGTATATAGTTAGGATAGTTTCATAGTTTAGGAGCTTCGTGCTCAACTTAGTTATCAATTAGTTTACCTACATTCTACTTGATCTAGTAACGACTTCACTTCCAAGTGAAGACCAGTGATAAAGCCTTAACCCACAACTGCCAACCAGACGAAACTGTCACGATTCACCATTAGGATTGATGGTGTTACGATGGTAGCAAACTGATTAATTAGGAGAGCTTAGGCCTTGTGCAAACACGATCAGATTTCATCGAATTAGTATGTGATCTTGGTCACCTGAAGATCGTGTATGCACGCACCATCAGAAATCACGTGATAAGGAGCCCTAGGAGCTTCGTGCTCAACTTAGTTATCAATTAGTTTACCTACATTCTATTTGATCTAGTAACGAATTCACTTTCAAGTGAATACCAGTGATAAAGCCTTAACCTATAACTACCAACCGACGAACCTTAGGCAGCCGCTGCCTTTAGTACAGTATCGTTACAGAAACCTTAGGCAGCCGCTGCCTCCAGTACAGTATCGTTACATTACCTTTATATTCCAATTATAATTTATATCAATTTATAATATTAATTTTGTTATTTAATTTCCTCCTTTTATAATTCATAGCTAATAATTCACAATTCTCAGTCTAAATCAATTAATACTTAGATGAATAAATCGATATAAATTTTTCCACTTCTTATAAATATATAATCAATCAATCGATCAGTCATACTATTTGTGACCAAAAGGGTGTTTATAGACCAGCAATCGTATTTAACTTAGAATCTACAGGTGAAGAGCACCTGTAGATGGGGATAGCTACTCTGTATATACACAAATGAATGGCCTAGCCGCAATGGCTAGGCAAAAAGAAGTCATATTTATCCCTCCAATGATCTTACTTTACCGATAACCATTGATACCTAGTACTTGTCCGGATCTGATCCTCAGGCCACCTAAATCGTATACTAATCCCGAGTAATCGTATCATGTGTGGACATGGTTAATGTACCTGAGATTTCTTATATAATAAGTGTGGGAGGAAAGCAGGGGTTTCCGTCACACTATTATATATTCATACAATAAATCCCCACCCCACCCCAACCCCAAAACAAAAACTCCTTTTCCAAATAAATCCCTTCTTTTTGCGCTGATATATACAAAAGCAACATAGAGCAGCGATTAAAAAACACACTCAACACCCCATCCCAACCCACCCATTCTATCACAACACATCATTTCACTTCCCCTCCCTCCCCACCTCTGCCTTCCCCATTTCAAAACTCCCCCCTTCCACCCCTCTCTCCCCTCTAACCTCCATCTCCAATTCCATCTCCAACTCCCTCTCCTCCCTCTCCCTTTCCCCCAAATCCCCCGCCAAACTCTCAATCTCCTCATCCTCACTCTCCTCCGGCAACCCCAAATTCAAAACCACAGCCACAAACGCCGCGACCGCAAATCCTGTTTCAAGAACCAAAACAATAGCATCGAAAAATCCCGCTTTAGCCTTATTATCCCCAGAATACGTAAAGACGTATGAAAACCACGTTGGGACGAGCGTGGCTCCATATCCTAGCGCTAGAGATGTCGTGAGGATGAATCTCGTGCGACGGGTAAATGGGACGGTGGAAATAATGCGGAGACCGGATACAGCTACGCTGGCGAAGAGGAAGGTTGTCATGCCGCCTAGGACTGCGTCGGGGATTGATGTAATGGCCGCTGCGAATTTAGCGAAGACACCCATGATGATAAGGAAAAAACATGCTGCGAAGCCGGCTTTGCGGTTGGCACAACGTGTGAGAGCGATTACACCGTTGTTTTGAGCAAAAGTTGACATGGGTGTGATTGTGCAGAGACCTGCTAACATTCCGTTAAGCCCATCAGCTAGAACACCGCCTTGGATACGAGAGTCGAAGAGTTTTCCGTCGACTTGAAGTCGAGAAACGTCGCATGTAGCGGTAATGTCGCCAATGGCTTCCATCATTAAAATGAGATAGATGGCTAGAAGAGGTAATATGAAAGGCCCGTATACGCTCAGAGGGAAAGTTTTAACCCAGATGAATGATGCGACTGGGGCTGCAGTAATTCCACTACTGTCGAAATATCCACATGCTGCAGCGATAATGCAACCTACCAAGAGACCGAGGACAACGGCGAGTGACTTCATAATAGGAGAACCGAATCGTTCGCAAAGGATGATAGTAATAAAAACCGAGAAACCAAGACCGATGAATTCTGCAGATCCCCATGGAAGAGCGTGTGGGGCAGCATTGGAGGGACATAGCATATAATCTCCTGTAGTTGGTCTTGACATACAAGTTCCACTACCACCTGCCCAACCTTGCAATCCCGTTTCAATAAGCGATACACCAATGAGCATGACAGTTGGGCCCGTAACAATCGGAGGGAAAAGTTTCTTAAGAAGTTTCGGTGTCATGAACGAGAGTCCTATTTCGAGAAGTGCGCATAACGAAGCCGTTCCAAGGAGCGCACCATAACCTTCCGGACAAGGCAATGGAGTTCCATCATCTGCCGTTTTGCACATACCATTTGCGTACATTTGTGCAAAGCCTTTCGAAGCAACCGGTATGATGGCAAACGAAGTACCAACAACTGAAATTAAGCCCGTGCCAATATAATAAGGGGTTTTAATAACCTTAAACCGAGTGATCTGGATGGCGGATAATATACCCGATACGATGAGAGAGGTAGAGACAAGATATTGAGTTGTTTCCGTGTCGAAGGATGCCGATCCGGCTATGAGAATAGGAGGTGTAATAACACCCGCTAACATAGCGAGAGCATGTTGAAATCCAAGGAGGAGACCTAGCAGAACTGGCATGCGATCTTGAAGGCCAAAGAATGGTGCTCGTCTTGTCGATTTCTTCATGAAGGGAAGATTGGGTTTGAAGAGAAATGCTATGATCGTTTAGCTCTGGTGCTTGAATATCATAACCATGGTTTCAGCATACCATAATCATAGTTCCCGACCCATCCATCTTTTGTAGTGAAAGCCCTTACGGTGGAGTGTATACGCTCTCCAAATGAACGGTTAGGAGAACTTTCGGGGACAATGCGGTCTGGCCCATCATGTGGTCCACTGTCGATTGTAACCGACATTATGTTGTAATATATAAGGAAAGATAGAAGACTGATCGATAACAAATATCTTAAGGTGACGATTTGACTATATGATGTAATCTCTTCCTTTCGTGATGTCGATGTACTGATATCCGTGAACCTCAAAGTCCAAGTCACAATCCCAGATGGACAATTGAGCAAGCAATTGAATGAACAGTACAAGGCGAATGACAAATTAAAATGATATCAACCAAAGCCAAGATACTCAATTATATATATCGCAACTCACGACGACAACAAGAATAAGAAATGAGAGAGAAATCGGAGAAGGTCACACGTATGAAAGAAGTCCAGACGTAGTTCCGATTCAAGGTCACAGAACACCAACCTAGTAGTGCGTGTGTATCTACAAGCTAAATCAGCTACTAAGACCCCCCTCACCACTTTAAAGTGCAGCGGGAAGACCGACAATTGGATTCCCAGAGACAATAAATGGAGTCCGCCCACGGCCGTGGGAGATAAGGCGTGGGAACTGACATTTGAGGATCCGTAAGAAAAGATTAGTTTCTACCCAAAAAAAAATAATAATCAATCTGTGCCACCAAATCATATCGAGTAACACAATTGGATAGATAAGCAATCGTTATCAAAACCCCCATTCCCCGTCTAGTCGTCCCATAGCATGGATTAGGATTTAACGATCTCCATGTCTAGCCTATTGGGCGGAGCCCTCCGAGATGAACTTTTAGCCGATCACGGACCCGATAGGATTCATAGTTTTCATGGACAAGATTCTGTAGGTAGGAAAAGAAAAACATCAATGTTGCGGAAAGCGGCTATGATATCGATCAGTAGAGTAAAGGAATCAATAGAAAAGGGTCTCAAGAGTGATGATAATCATCTCATCGTTCATCCGGGCCTGTTCGGTTCAGCTCAGCTGTATTTCCCTTCATATTCTTGATATCGTATTCGTACACTTTCGAAGCACCAACGATTAAAGAGAATACCTGCCACCCAGTCAAAGATCCAAACCAAAATTACACGTGCAATCCATGAAAAGAAAAGGAAGTCATTATATTAGTTGCGTGAAAATTTCCATCCAAAGCATATTTGTTCCTCACATCCTTCACGATGTCATGCTATGCAACTGATATCTTTTCCTCCATATAGAAAACATTGCCTGCATCGTTATCTATCGTTAAATCATCATCATCTAGGTTAACCGCTCCAAATGTAAAGGATCCCATATGTGCACCATCGACGCCGGTTCCAATGTGTGCTAAATCCCCCGCGTATGCCATTGATATATTAGGTGTCGCTACTGTGTTTCGCGCTTGTTCTGTCGTTAGATTGGACCGGATATCAGTCGTATCCTTTTCTGAATATGATCGACGTTCAGAATCTTGACGTCGAGTCTCTAATGTCGAGTTCTCTATAGTTGAAGTGTTTTGATAATTATCCCGCTGCTGCTCGGATTGATCTTTGGAGTAATCAGACCCAGAAAGTGATGAGGGTAATTGAATCTGTGACGGCCGGATATTGTGTGTCTTCAAATCTGTAATCAAGGCTTCTGGTGATCTGGATGCCATAAATGGTGGTGAATAAGGTTTAGAACGTGATCGACCTCTTTCTGGTAGATCATTGTCGTGTTCCTCGTTATCATGAACTGTGACCAAAAGTTCCCCTTCATCGGCATGTTTAACATCTATGACAATAGGAGTTGGCGATTGATCGTCATAGAAATCACGATAATCATCAATTTCAGGAAAGATGCTTAGCAAAACTGAAGCTTGCAATCGATTTCGCGGATCCTCGCTAAGGCATCGACCACAAATTTCCAGGAAATAGTTCGGCACATCAGGGGGGAAGGTTGACAATGTTAACGGCCTTAGAGTTTCTGGTTCATCGTGCTGAGTGGCCAATGCGTAGAGAACCATCCCAAGTTGATATAGATCGGATTTGACGCCTATGTACATCGATATTCTCTGATTGCTTTCGAGTAATGCAGCAACCTCTGGAGGTTCCCATCCAACCGGACAACCTCGTCGATTGATATCGATAATTTTGGCATCATCATTCGCATCTATAACAATATTAGATAAAGTGAAATCCCCTTGAACGAAGCCCGCCTCGTGAATTTCGGAAAGTCCATGAACAATTTGTTTGGCCCAACGCTCCCGTCTTTCCCAGGGGATCCCACCATCACCATCATAAATAACGTCAATCAATGCTCCTTGCTCGGCGAAGCTAATCAGAAGACCTTTCACGCATTTTGCTTCATTATCGAGTACGACGCCGCCAAATTGAATGACACTATGAGATCCGGAAAGTTTGTGTAGGGCATTAATCTCATATAAAAATTCTTCCACTTGATCTGGTCCTGGGATTTCTTTTTTGATAAAGACTTGCCCGCCCACGATGACTTTGTAAACGAAGCCGGATAGATGGGAATCAAATTCAAGCTCTGATTCGAGAACTCTGCGACATGGAAGGTGGTTGAGAGCCTTCACCGGAGGATAGTGAATAACTTCGGAGAGATCTTCCACGACATGAACGTGGAGTCTTTCCTCCTGTGTCTCCAACTTGAGGTTTGTCACCGTATCGTAGAATTGTATGTCCGGAAGTGATTCCCGAATAGCCTCGTAAATGCGCGCACTCTTGTCTCTCTGGAATCTTGTCCGCTGTAGCTCCTCCTCCAGGGAATTACTCGGTGCATTTCTATAATCCAGCGAGATTGTGACCCTTCGCCAATGTGTCGGTGTTTCTGCATAGGTAACAAAGAACTTCTCTCTTTTAGATTTGTCTCGGAAATGCATGCTCAAATTCAAGATCCATTTCTTCTCCAGCTCCTCGAGTATTATCTCGTCAAATGTATCTGTAGAGATCGATTGGTCTTCGAAATTTGAGCCCTGCTTCTCTTCCTTCGAAACATCCACATAACCTTGAGATTCATTCTCATGTTCATTTGTGGTTGCCGTAGGTGGTCGCACAGCTACACCATCAAACGTATTTTCGAGAGTCTCCGCCCTTTCCAGAAATTCAGGAGCGCTGGTTCTCGGACCACGATTCAAAGCAGCCGAAGATGAGCGATGCGAATTATTTATTCGACGGTCCACTGAAGCTGTCCGCCTTTCAGCAGCATTTGGCTTGACCGGTTCTAATCTATCTCTCAGCTCGGATTGTTGTCTTTTAAAGGTGCCCGCTCTTGGAAGTCCAGGGACAACCCTTCTCGAAATTCGACGAGCTAACCCTGGCGGTTGAGCCTCGTTCGGTACCGGTGGAGGGTTGGGTGGGGAGGTTGGTGGTGTATGATGCTCATCCTTCTTAGGAAAGATGAACTTTCGAAACCAAGATAGTTTATGATCATTCGATGCTGGCACACCTGGCCTCTTTTGTGCCATTGTCCTTCTCGTAAATTTAAACCAGTATTTTCCCATGAACTGGGATATTTGTCAGTACACTCGAATTGAAGTATTGCGCAAAAGAAATCTATTTCCTACATCTGCAGTAATGAAATAACACGGGGGAAAATGGCAATATGAGTTCTTTTCAAGAAGGGTCACATTCAAAGATTCGGTAGGCTTGGAAGATGACTGTACGGGGTAAATTGTTTGTGTCGCCAGCAGTTATCCGGTAAAATGGAGTAAAGAGACACACGATGCTCTTTCAATGTATTAAGAAGAAAAGGGTATCATTGGGTTTAAAAGCATTAAAAAAGCGGAAGCGCGAAGAAAAGTATCTCGTTCTAAAATATTGACGTCGATGTTTATTGAATTTTTCCTGGAGATGGTCGTGAATAAGATCAACTTGTTCAATTTCCCCAGCCTTGTTCGTACAACATATCAAAAACAATTAATTGAACAAGATCAAATGGGTATATTTCAAGAATAGAAAAAAAGGATTAAAAGATGCAATGCAATTGAGGAAGAAAAAAAGAAGGCTGTACTCTCTCAAATTAAAGGAAGGTGGAAAAACGAGAAGAGCAAATAGAGCATCATCAATGATTTGCTGTGCTGCGGTTTGTGGTTTGTGGTTTGTGTGATACACATGCATCAATGCAGTGCGTGCAGTGCGTGAGTGAGTGCATTTTCCCCAAGAATATATGAGGTGGCATAGATATTTTGACTTTTCAGGGCAGGATGACAACAATAACCCGGAATTTCAGGAACAAAATAGTTAGTAGGAAGTCTAGCAAAGTCTAGCAAAGTCTAGGAAAGTCTTAGATCTTTTGCATTTTTCCATCGAGGGGGGTTGGTGGGATGAAATGTCATCTCTCCACTATTCATTCCACTTTCCCCACTGGTTGTCTTTACGGAGTGCCTAGGAAGAATAGCCTACTACCTGGTAAGATCTTCCTTTCTTTCAATTAATGTCTCGTTTTAATTCTTGAGACATTTCGTTTCACATGTTGAACGCCCCGATCGGACGGATTTGATGATGATGACGAGATTATGTATATCATCAAGTATATCATCATATCGTCAAGCACATCATCAAATCTTTTACACATTACAGTTAGATAAGACTTACGTATTGATCACAATTTTCTCGTCACAATACATCCAACTCACATACCGATCCCTCACACCCTTTGAATCTCAACACGAAGCACAAATTTACTTCATGACCACGGACATACAAAACCGTGTTACGGTAACATCAACCAAAACAGTACTTTGTATTTCCTGACCCCATACAAAATTCCATCTCCGTACGTTCCTAGGATGTAGTACACACATCTATGATCTATCCCCCAAACTACACGCAAGTACAGTACATCGCTACATCAGCATCAGATCACCACCTCCTCGATATATCCTCGTCATATCATAAAAAATCCATCTCATCGAGATCTCGTTGGGCATTAACAAGCCACTCCTTGGGTATACATGAGGCTTCTTGCTATTAATCGCCCACGTATGCAATCATGCGCTTTTGACCATTCCCTAGCTTTTTCCTCAGGCGAGAACCCTAAAATATCCGATTCCAACCTTGGACGCTCTACAAATTGCATACGAGCATGCCTAATGCAGTAATAATAAGAACATAACTACTAGGTAAACTCGCCATGAGATTTGGCTTACTGCATCTGTAGAGGTTCCATGCTCACGGCTATCAACAGGCTAACAGCACAAGGCCGAACAAACGAACGAGCTAGCACTAATAAATTGATTCTTCTCCAATACCTTGGAACTAGAGGGTCGCCCCGCTCACCGTTACGATAACCTGTTGGTCTCTGTCCTGTCCTGTCCTGTCCTGTCCCTCTGTCCCCGCACTACTTACATTTACTCAGCTCCACTGACTGTAACTTATAAGTATCGGTACCACGAAATGTACGGAGGATACTAATCAATATCGCGAGGAACTATGCTAACTTCATCCGAGAACAAGGGAATAAGGGAACTCGCCAGAAAAGTTGATCACCATGAAGATGACGAGGATGGGCAAGATACAAAGTAAGCTCGAGCGTATATTACTGATTATGAGTTAATGATCTGGTACGACATAGGATCATGAGATTATATCAATTATCCGCAATGATCCACGGCCAGTTCCTTCCGGTGAGTACTTCATGAAGTCATAAGGAAAGTAGGAGGTGTATCTACAATTTCTACTTATGAGTATAGTATTGATTGGAAGGCGTGATCCGGTGCGATACAAGACCATGTATCAAATACCCGGAACTCATCCATGGCAATTCCTTTCCGATTAGGACTTGAAACTGGATAAAACCTCACAAATAACAAGTCACAACCACATCACAACCCCATCACATCACAATTCCATAAACCATCTAAAACACATCAAAATCAAACACACCAACCTCAAATATCACCTAGTACCTAGTACCTAGATCAGAAGTAATTCCCCTCCCTCGCCTTCCTTTCTTCCTTCCTTCCTTCCGCATCTCCCATCTCCCCATCCATCTCCCATTCATGCACCTTCGCCATCATTCCACCCCAATGCCATGTCCATGCCATACCATGCCATCTCCATGCATAGAAACGTACATAAATTTGCAGAGTAGAGTTCCATTCATCCCATCCCATCCAATCCAATCCCATCCCCAAACGCCAGAAATGCCCATGGTTCCGCTCGTCAATCATCATGCTTTAAAAGAAAAGAACATGGATCGCTGCATGCACCAATATAACCAAGTTATCACTAACATCACTAGTTTTAACTAGCTTCTAATATATACATCATTCGCCATTTTCATAAGCGCAACTCACTCATCCTCCTTATCCCCCTTCTTTTTCGTCAATCGATCTTTCCACAGACCATTTGCTGCTTCTTTATCTAGATTTGGAAAGACTAGGTCAAAGACATCAGAATACCATTTTGCTGGCTTTCCTTCGATTCCATCTTTGATGTTCTATTTGATTCATTAGTAATCATCTCTACATGGCATGCGATTCGGAAATGGATGCAAGTGATATGTACTTACAGCAGGAAGTTCCAACCAATCACTCATATTGTCATCTGGGAAAATGATCATTTTGCTGCCTGCTCGTCTAGCGGCTACAGTCTTCTCTCTCAATCCACCAATCCTCAGAACCTTACCAGTAACGGTAAGTTCACCTGTCATGGCAATCGTAGGATCCAGCGGACGATCCAAAGCGAGAGAAAGTAAAGATGATGCCATAGTAATACCCGCTGACGGTCCATCTTTTGGAACCGCGCCTTCGGGACAATGAAGATGTAACTTGGCTTTGTCGAAGAAATGATTTTCTGGGAAATTCTTCGCCATGACTGACTTGGCGAATGAATATGCGATGGTGGTTGATTCTTTCATTACAGCTTGAAGGTTACCGGTTGTAGCGAGGCCAGGGGTAGAAGATGGTGACAGAGCGCTCTCAAGGATTGACTCGACGTATAATGCAGCACCACCCATCTGTGTCCAGGCCAAGCCCATTGCAACTCCTGGAGGGGTCACATCGTATAGGCGATCTGAGGTGAAAACGGGTGGGCCTACATAATCCTTAAGGTTGTCCTTGCCAATTGTGACATGCACATCATCAGGAACCTTGAGACTAACTCGAGGTACTTCAGTAGTCTCTTTTTCAATCGTTCCCGGTGTTTCTTTAACATCAGTCTGATCTTTCTTAGATTCTTCCAACGCTGCCTTGCCCTCTTCAGTCAAAGCCTCTTCTTCAGGGAGAACACTCTCTCCAAGATCTTGTACAATCTTCAAAGCAGACTTGCGATAAACCTTCTCAATTTGCTTTTTGAGATTTCTAACACCAGACTCTCGGCAGTAAGACTTAATTAATTCCTCGATAGCTTCTCTACTAAGATTGACATCAACGTCGTTTAAACCAGCCAATTCCTTGGCCGCTGGTCCAAGATAGCGCTCCGCGATCGCCATTTTTTCATCTGCAACGTAACCAGATAACTCGATCATTTCCATACGATCCAATAGAGGCCGTGGGATAGTGTCAGTCATGTTGGCGGTGCAGACGAAAAGAACTTTAGAAAGGTCCACGGGTACATCAAGATAATGGTCGAGAAAAGAAGTATTTTGTTCGGGGTCCAGTAATTCCAGAAGTGCAGATGCTGGATCACCCTGATGACCTCGTCCGATTTTGTCAATCTCATCAATCAAGATCAATGGATTTTCAGTTTGGCATTTCTTTAGCGCCTGAATAATTCGTCCAGGAAGTGCTCCAACATATGTTCTTCTGTGACCCTTGATCTCCGCAACATCTGTAAGACCTCCAACACTGAATCTGTAGTATTGACGGTTGAGAGCTCTGGCAATGCTCTTACCAATACTCGTCTTACCTACACCAGGAGGACCAACAAAACATAAGATTTTACCTTCCACGGTGCCTCTTAGTTTTCCAACCGCGATGAATTCTAAAATGCGATCTTTCACATCTTTCAAACCATGATGATCTTCATCAAGTACAGTCATTGCGTTATTGATTCCGAAGTTTTCTGCACTGCGCTGACCCCAAGGGATTTGCGTCAACCAATCCAAGTAATTTCGGGTCACATTGAACTCAGACGCGGCCGGTTCAAGATGTGCTAGTTTGTTGATTTCCTCATCAAAGACTTTCCTGACTACTTCCGGCATCGCAAGTTTATCAGCCTTTTCCTTGAATTTTTCGACTAATTTGTCTTTGCCGTCAGACTCGATGCCGAGTTCTCTGCGAATACCTTTCAGTTGTTCCATCAGGTAGTATTCGCGCTGACGCTTTTGAATCTTATTCTCAACATCCTTAGAAATTTTGGATTGTAGCTGAGCATTCATCAACTCCTTCTTTAAGACAGTCAAGCCCTTCTGTAATCTTTCCTCGATATTAAGAGTCTCAAGTACATCTTGGAGTTCAGAGACTTCACCAGCAGAAACAGCAGCAGCAAAATCCGCAAGCTTCCCTGGCTCAGACATAACATTGCCCGATGATTGACTCATGGAGAATGTAGAAATTTGGTCTCGGAAGAGGCTGTTAAGAGTTGCCACTTCCTTGAACACATTTACGATCTCATTTGTGACAGCACGGATTATCGGGCTCTTGGGATCATATGACTCTTCCGTCAAATTTTCCACGTTTGCTAAACTGACAGGGTACTTGCGTAGGAACGATATTGGCTCATATGGCAATACGGGGCGTTCCGCACTCTTCTGCGCAACCGTTCCTTCTTCGAAGCTGGCTACAACATCGCCCTTCTTCTCCGAAGTTTCCTCATTGGTAGACTTTGCGGGTATGATTTCAGGAACAGGCGGCTCAGCTTGGGTGCTTTCGGTTTTCTTTGCATCAGCGCCCTCACGCTCGGGGCTGATAAGAGCAGACATCTTGATTCGACGGTGTGGATAAAGTACCGCGGTCAGAGCAGAATCATCCCCATGAACAGGAAAAGCGCTGGTTATTTGTGCGAAAACTCCGACATCATGTACATCATCTATGTTCTCAATGACATCTTTATCCATGTTGTCGTCCTTAAACAAGAAAGCTCCAATATATGGTTGACCTCTCTTCATCATATCCTGTATAGCAGCTACAACATTGGGATCTCGCACAGTGACAGCCTTGTAGAACCCAGGAAATAGAGGCCTTTTGGTTATTGGAATTGCCATCACTTGTGGATACACCTCTGGAACCGTAGCCTTTTGCAAAGCCTTCTCCGAACTTCCTTTGCGGCCTTTTTTTCCGCCATCACCGCTGCCAGAATCACCTGCACCACCAGCACTACTTCCTTTCGCATCAATTGCACTTCCAGAAGAAGCGTTGCTACTAGAGGATGATGCTTCGTTTGTCTTGCTCTTGGCCTCCACTTCATTCTCGCCACTGACTTCCTCAATCGATTCAGTCTTCGACTTCGCCTTTTTCTCCTTCTTATCTTCTGCTGCTGTTATTTCCGCTTGATTAAAAAGATCTTTCGGGAAATCTTTTTGTCTAGAAGGAGATGTTGAAAACCTTGCGACGCCACCCAGAGCTGGACGGATCGTAGCAGGTCGCAGAGACGCCAACGAATGTGCGGTTCCTACATGATGCTGTCTGATTGTCCTCCTCAAGATCGTACCCGATACCTCTGTATTTTGTTTAATGGCTACATTTCGAAGCGCAATCCGCCACGGTAAGTTTTGGCCGTAAAGCATAGCTTTTTATTATGGAGAGAATAGGTAATTAAGAAATGGAATACAGAAGATAAAGAATCTCTAAATTGTATGGGAGAAAAGAATAAAAACTTTTGATTTAGAACGGAGGAAAAGGGTTGACGCGGATGGCAATCGTGAGTCGTAGATGGGTGACAATTATTATTCTATGAGCTTCCCTAGATACCATTTTACGATCTGCTCCGTCATGATGTCCAGAGTGCTTTCTAAGCTCATCGGCAATATCGGTTCCCCGAAACTTCGGTAAAACGTAATCCCGGCGGGCCTTGAATTCCCCTCCATCAGTGGGGTGCACAGACTGATGGTCAGATACGAAATTTGTATTATTACTCGTATTCGTTTATATACTTTTAACCTCATGAATTACTCGAGTATTCATGCAGCTCAAAGAACAAGAATAAGAATTTTGAAATCATTCAATTCGAGATTGTATTAATTACATAATTTGAAGGGTTTAAAACGGTTCGTCAGTCCCTGGCACCCACTGCTAATACTCTCAAACTTTCTAGCAAGTGCTACCCAACTAAGATCTAGACAGGAAGGGCAGATCAAAAGAAGTCCTCCCTCATGTACGGAGTATCAGGAAGACCAACTGACATATCTGTTGGAGTACGCTATACATCTTTTCATGATCAGAGTAATCATTTCCACCATGTTTCATAAACTTTCATATTCTAAGCTTTGAAGTACTTGTAGCCGGGCCACATTTAGCAAAATTGACCACGGGCGTGTAGATTTATTTGCAAAATTGCAGGATTGTACTATCAAGTAGAACAGAGATGGTTCTGTCATTTCAGAGAATATAAATACATTTCCTGCCTTTCTCCATGCCATTGCCATTATGAATTGGTATCACAATCTCCATTTACTAATTCCTTCGTCCTCGGCGCCATATCCTCCCATAAGCCAAGTTGTTATCTCCCTATGTTCGCTCCTTCAAATGTCTGAAATTTTCCAATGTACTCCGGGTTCTTTACTTCCATGCGTTAAGGCCGGCCCAAGGATCATTCGAACTTTGCTGCGACGCAGCCCGTTGATGAGAAGCAGCATTATTTCCATATCCATAGTCATTCTGCCCTGTTATGGAACTGCCGGCTTGGTGAAAGGTTTGTTGAGGGCCAAGGGGTGGTGGCCCTGGTGGTGGGGGCGGGGGTACATATCCAGCTGGGACATATTGCCCCTGTTGTTGCGGTGCCATTGTCGCGTAGTGGTGTTGATTTTGTTGGAATTGAGTTTGCTGCGGCGGAGGTGAGCGCGGAAATTGGCTCTGATTTGGTGGAGGTGACATGGGCTGGGAGGCGTTGCGGGAATGCGTGCTTGGGTTGTATTGACCATATGGTGAAGATCTCCCAGGGACTGAACCATAAGGATCGGCCCTTTGGGGTTGTTGTTGAGGATAATATCCCCCGTTAGCAGGGGCAGGTATAGAGCCGCGTGTCGGAGGTGCAGTAGTAGTTTGTGGGGGTGGCGAGGTGGGTACCTGGTACTGTCCAGCAAAATTTGTACTTGGGTACCTTGCTGATGGAGATGTGTTGCTGTATGCATTGGACCCCCTACGAGGGGGTTTGCCGGATGTTGGCGAGGTCGATGGGTCCATAGACATGCGTTCCATCAATCCTCTGAGACGCTCGCGCTCCCTATCCGCATGGCCATTTGCATTGCTCGCTCGATCCTGCTCGATCTGGTTTAGAAGTTGAGCGCCTTCTGACCTACGATTATTGACAAATGTCTCGACATTCTTATCGAGGCTATTAACGGTATCCTTCATCTCGGTATACCATTGTTTTGCACCTTCAAGACCAGCTTGTAGATCTAGATATTCTTGATGAATCCTCTTATACTTTGACATTACTGATGACCGCTGTCGGGTTATAGTCTCATATTTGCTTTGCTCAGATCGGACTCTCTTATCTTGCAGAAGATCATTGAATGTGAGTGTCAGTTCTTTCATTAGTGATGATTGTTTGTGATTCGCGGATAACAAACGACTCTGATGAGGTCGGTACTTTTCAAGCTCTGCTTGGAAAAGCTGAGTCTCATAATTAGAGATAGACTTTTTGTTGAGAATGAGGACATGAGAAATATCATCATTATGTGCCTACTCTATGATTAGTCACAAAAAAACTAGATCCAAGTTACTTCACGAACCTTTTCTTTTAGATCTTTCAAAACTTGTGATCTCTCCCGCTTCACTAGATTTAATTTTTTGAGAATCTCCTCAACTTTGGCTATCTGTTCTGCGACGCTCTTTTTGCCATCGTCAAAATCATCATCGAGTAGATTTCCTTCTCGCGAACTAGGACTCCCGGCGGTATTCCTCGACTTTCCTCCGACCTGTATCAACGCCCTTTGGAAGAGCACATCAGACTCGCCTAATTCACCAGCAGAGCGCATTTCGTCAAAGTCAACCTCATGCTGGCAAATTTTCGAGTAAAGTTGATTATCACTACGGGCAGCCTCCTCAAGAGCTTCACGATAGTTTCGTATATCATTTCGAAGTGTAGAGGTAAGTCGTGAGCTTGGTTGTTGAGTCCACTCTCCTTCATACTTCGACCGCATTTTCTCACAGACGCTCTCCTCCATATCCAACTGCTTGCTGCTTTTGTCCAATATTGATACTATAGCCTCTTTGCTTGATTTCAAAGAGTCAAATATCGACATAGGAGAAACATGCCCGGCTAAATCGTCGCACCAATTCCTAAAGTCTTCTCCCCCGCTCAGTTCTTGATCAGAACCGCCCTTAAGAACCTGTAACGCTCCAGGTAATCTAAGATAGTCTAGACTTGCAGCCATTTCGCTGTTGGCGGTTTCTACGCGCTCCGTCTCTGCCCGCACCAATTTCGCCTTTTCTTCGTCGTATAAACTGGCTGACTCCGTAACAGACATGGGCACAATCTTTTGGAAGATATCAGGTCCAGTGATACGCTGAATATCTTGCCCAGCGTATAATTCGCTAACCGGTATCGCTTTAGCCGCTGGAAGCTTGGGGATTACGGTGAGAGCTGCTTCGGCTGGTACAGTCTGGTGATAGATGTAGTCATTGTCCTTAATAAGTTCAGCAAGTTTTTCTTGCACATTACTAAGATGACGCCTGTTAATCTCTATTAATGTTGCGCCCGTCTCTGATGTAAAGTTCGAATTGACGGGTACATTTCCGGGGAAACTGTTAGCAAGTTTGCTGGCATCCTTGGATGAAATTTCTGCTGCCTGTAGTCGTGCAATGGCTACACCATGTGAATTTGCATCATCATCTGCAAGAGCTTGGTAATATTGAGCTAGAGATGACATGTAATTTGCTTTGATCTATTTTGTGTTAGTACCGATCTCGCGCTGGAACATCAATATGTCCAAAATGTATTCCAAAAACTAGACAAGGAGTATTAGAAGCACCTACTTGTACCACCAGTAGCCAAACTTTCTCAAATATGGCCTTATTTACGTTGTCCTGGGTCCCCTCTAGCGCCTGAGAATACAAATAACCTGCTTGGCTAGCAAGTTTTGCTAATAGTCCAACCTTTTTACCGTCGGCGATTTGTTTTTCAAGAAATACCTCCTGGCCTTGAGCAAGCATAATTTGAATCAAAGTCTTGACTGTATCTCGACTTAAGTCCGTGGATGGTGCATGGAGAAAGTTCTCGTTGATATAAGTGAACATGCCGGCAGATGCTTGGAACGAGTGATACGCAGTTTTGAGGCCTGAGTCTTCTGATCGGTTTTGATGCGCTGCATGACATGATAGCACGGCAGAAATGTTGAATATAATCGAAGCTTTTTCGTATGCCAGGGAGTATTGTGCAGTGGCTTTATGTGTGAACGCATCAAACCTGCCAACGTTGTAAGCAAAATCCCAGCATCTCTCGCTGGGTCAAATCCTCACCAAGTAAAGGAAATTTTGATATGATTCTCGTCGACCGGGAATCGCAGGTCTAATAATTCCAGCTGGCCATAGTATCTGTAAAGTAGGTCTCTTCCCGCAGCACTGTCCTTGCCAGCTCCTCGCATGTCCTGTCGCAAGCGGTTGAGGGTAGCACATTCCTCCGCATATCGTTCCGGATCGTCACCATACGTCTGTCTGATATAGTTTTTCAACGGCTGTATCCAGTCGATTTCGTTGGTTGCCTTGAGAGGCACTGATATCATCGGTGCTTGCATCTCGAGATTTGAGCGGATGATGCTCGACACCCTGATTGTGGATGGCCGGGCAAAATTAGTGAAGGAAATATGTCACTTTCGGAGGGAATTCAATAAGTTTTGACTGAAGGTAAAAGACAAATAAAATCGACAATATTGTGCACACCGATATTCGTTGAATGTGGACTGGAAGGCGGTGGGGAGGAGGGGTTGGTGTCGTCAGTGGTAAGACTTGTTAACTTGTTAATTTATTTGGGTGCGCAGTATCTTGAAAAGAATGATCCGATCCTTGCGCAAGATTTCACTCATGTATTTCATTCATGGCTATCTCATACCTACTAGTAGCTAGTCATCAGGTATATAATACTGCGAGTTATTATTGTGTAGTTTGACAGTTTGATAGTTTGGGATTGTGATAGTGTGATATGTGATACAATTTGATAGATTAAAGAATTAAGTAGGAAATGTTTGTGATTTCAGATGTGTGAAGGGAAAGTAATATCCGATGAAGCAGCAGGCAGGTAGGCACGTAGGTACGTAGGTAGGTTGATAGGTGCCCAAGCTTTCATTAATTTGTGTGAGCTTGTGGGACTACAGGGCACTGGCTGGTACTACAATACAGGGAATCTGCACTGTTTTTTTCTCCTGCGGCCTTTCAGGAGACCCAGATTTACTCAGATAAGCGCCAGAGCCTAGAGGACATTTCGTGCGACAATGATGATGAATATTATATATGAATGATTTTATTATATTGTTAAATATCGAATACCGACTCAAATATCAGTTTCTTTTCTACTTTTATACCCAGACATAGATGTTATTTCCATCCTCTATCCTCCATCATTAGACATCAATCACATATAACAATCACACAACACAAAGACAGAAACGAAGAAACATTAGTACCTACCTAATTAACAAACAGTTTGTTCTTCAATCACAATTAGATCATGGCCCACCATCACACCTTGATGGTGATGGGATGTCTCTCAAACTATAGGGTATGAGCGTATGTAATAAGCGCCCTGTCCAGATAAGGGAGTCAATCAGCACAATACAAAATGAATGATATTATAACCTCAATTTCCAGCTACTTTGACATTCCATTCCATCATTAATTAGGTATCAACAGGAGTATGAACAAATCTCTCTGTGAAATTCACATGGCACTCTTTATGCTGTGCCTTTCCGTACACAAATGAATGCAGCATGCAAAATAGCTAATATATTCAATGCAGACCGTTGTCTAATCGTCACGACAGCCATATACCTGGTGTACCGGCAAGATGTTCACAATGTTTCATCCAACAGTTAATGATTCAAAACAAATCACCACTTTGAAACCATCATATATCTTTTACAAATCCCAGAATCCCATTCAACCCCATTTTCTTTTCAATTCCCCTTTCTTTATTCGAAATTCCGAATAGCTAAAAAAAATAGAATAAATGAACGAATCGGCTGAAAAGGCAAGCCGCAGCTCCTAAAATGTATTTTTGATTGGTAGAGAAGTTTCGTATTTCCAAGGTTCATCACATCTAGGAGGCTCCAGATTCATACGGCCCGAGATGAGTACTCTCGGTAATGGGATGGAAGCGGGACGTCAGGCGAAGATAAAAGTCCTTTGCCTGGGGAAGTTGAGGGCAACATCAGATCTTTGGTCAAGTCACAGACTGTGAGTTGAGATATCATTTTATTTTACACTAGGTATGCGTCATAAACATATTCTAAAATTGCATTCTAGAGACATGCATTCGTAAATTGACAGCCATCGTTCGTATCTTCGAGACGCGCGATGCTCCATCGATTTACCCTTTCCTCTCTACACAGGGGTATTTCTACTTTTTTGCCATTTACTATACAGAAATTTTTCGTCATTGGCTTCATTTCTTCTTGGATTCGTCCTCCTTGTCGCCCTCCTTGGGCGAATTAGCGCCATCTGTAAATTTTTGCCAGACGGATTTGAGGAATCCTTCTTGCTTGTGATTCTCTTCGGTATTCGATGGGTTTGATCTGTCTCTGTCAGTGCCCAGCTTGGGAACATGACACTGAACTTACGAGGAACTTGAGGCACGGCCAACATTCATGACACGCTTCGCTGTTTTATCACCCATCTCATCGGCAAGCATTTCCACAATCGTTCGCTGGTTAGCACTGAGAGATTTAGGCATGTGGACCTTGAATATCACTTTCAGGTCCCCAGTTCCCCCTTTACGTCCTTCCAACCTTTTCATACCTTTACCCCCTAAAGTAATTTTATCTCCACTACCGGTTCCAGTTGCGATCTTAACACTGACATCTCCATCCAAGGTCGGTATCTTGACCTCACCTCCAAGTAATGCAGTTGTGAGAGGGATCGTTGCGGTATATAAGATGTCAGATCCAGAGCGGCTGAATTTGGGATCCGTAGCCACTCGAACAAGTACATAAAGATCACCAGGTTGTGAAGGGCTGTCAGGGTTCGCAGCTTGACCAGTAGCCGGGGCGTCACCTTCCCTATCCAATCGCAATCGCATACCATCCTCAATTCCTCCAGGTATATCGACGTTGATCGTTTTACGCTCACGCACAACTCCATTTCCAGAACATGTACCACATTCTCCTCCAGATGGAATCACCATTCCGTGACCACCGCATGCACTGCAAGTCGAAGCCATTTGGAACCCACCCATAGAATGCACGCGTGTACCACTTCCTCCACAAGATCTACATGACGACCGCTTCGTTCCAGATTTCATGCCATTTCCGCGACATGTTTTGCAAGTGGATAGTGGGGATATGTTGATGGTTTTGCTCGTCCCTTTTGCTGCTTCCATGAAGGAGATATTCGTTTGAACCTCAATGCTGTCTCCGACAAGTATTTCCTCGGGATGAAATGGATTGGCACCGCCTTTTCTACCCCTTCTTCCTCCAGTAAAACCCTTAAACAAATCTTCGAAATTGAAATCGGCTCCAAACCCTCCACCCGGGAACCCGCCAGATCCACCCCCAAAACCTCCAAAACCCCCCGCACCACCGAATGGATCAGCACCAGGTCCGGGTCCTGCTCCTTGGTCGAATGCTGCAGACCCATACTGATCCCAAGCTGCCTTTTTCTGTGGGTCGGTTAACAGTTCATAAGCAGATTGTGCTTCGGCGAATTTATCTTTAGCATTTGGATCCTTATTTGTGTCTGGATGGAACTTTTTAGCAAGACCATAATATGCTTTCTTAATGGCTGACGCAGATGCGCCCTTGTCTACACCGAGAACATCATAGGGATTCTTCGTGGCTTGATATCTCGCTGATGCATGAAAAGACTAAAAGAATTCTGGGTCAGTACTTCGTGATGCGCATTGAAGTATTTTGAATAAATAGCTACTCACACGTCTCTGCATTGGTTTCAATGACAGGTCCTGCTGAGAATATTTGCATTTCCTTCTCGAGGCGCATATTGTTGAAAGATTTCGTGTTTGACATGACTTGTTGTTATCCCTCTTCAATGCTCGATGTTGGCTTGCTGGGGTAGAACATAGAATTCGAGATGGAGTGGCGGCCTTCGACAAAAGGCCTGTCGTCAGGCCTGTTGTTCCTGTTTTCATTATGATAAAATGATGTTCACAATTTATATGAGAAATATATCAAAATTTGCAAAGGTCATAGGAACAAATAAAGACTGTGAGAGGTGAATGTATCGCTGCAGTAAAACTAAAACTATCATGAATATCAACGATCATTCTGGAAAGCTCCAATATTTTTTTTCTTTGCCGGAGCAAGGCAATCAATTGAGATAGCTAGAATCTGATTGGATGATTAGAATCAACCCCGGCAAACCATTACAAATCGTGCAAGGCTGAAAATCTTCAAATGGAAATCAAAAAATTCGATATGCAAAAACCGAAACCTTCCATTCATAGATGAATTGCTTGGTCCGAAAATGTATTGATATGTATTGGTTTTATCTTGCTGTCCATGGTCATGATCTTCATTATTCCAAATATGCAAATCCCCAGAATTCCTACTCCACAACTCCCTGAAACGAAAAGAATCCTCCCCATAGGTACTTTTGTACAATGTGTTATACAATTCTAACCCAATTACCCCCTATAACACTACTCCTTTGCCGTATGTTCACTGAATCATTAAACATAGAGCTGTTTTCATATCTTGAAGAATCGAAGCCAAGTAGGTCAAAAACCTGTCTGTACGTATGCTATGCGGATCGTTCCACTTGAGATCTCTCCATATGTCGCAGCTGTGGCATAAATCTCATGCGAAATTTCTTATCTGTAAATAATTAGCTTGGGTTTCATTGCCAACTACGCAAACAATATGTCGACTAACCCTGATATCGAACTTTGTATAAGAATTTTACGATAACGTCGTTTTCGTTGACAGATTGGCTGTTGAAATGCTTGCGCACAGTATTGGCCAATTGCTCTTTGCTCTGCCTCTTATGCTCCTTCTTGCGAACCATAGTTGGTGACATACGGCCGATACTCGATTGGGAGAGAACAATTTGATTGTATGAACTATTGAAGGCTGGAGACGTATTCATCCCGTGCTCATATCGGTAACTGTGCAATACAGATGGGTCAAATTCTGACCATTGTATCTATGGAAGAAGTTATATGTTAGCTATTGTGCTCGAGTTGAAATATGATGACGGAAGTTCATACTCCAACATTGCCATCAGTATTGGTATTTCCCGCAGCTCCTGCTACAGCGCTAGGCGCAGTGAGTGTGCTATTTGCGCCCGATGCATTTGCATTAACTGCACTGCTTGCAACTCTCTTTCCTTTCCCATTCGTAGCGGGTGTAGAATTTGAATTTCCTTTCTCCTTGGTGCTTGATGCTTCTGAATCATCAGGCTGTTGGGGACGAGGCGCTTTACGCATTTTGGAAGGAAACGACAGACGGTTCTGGAGCCTATAGTTCTGTATTTTCCGTTGTTGAAAAATTATAATTTGAAGTTGGAAAATAATAATTAATTACATTGGTAGTAGGACTTAAATGATGTGGTGTTGAAAAATAATTGACTGTGAAGTTCGTCATGGGTAACAAGTGAATAAAAAAGTTCCGACAAGACAGTGTGAAAGTTAAAGCTACAGCAAGCTACAGCGTGAAAGTTTATTGGGGCTTACGAAATTGGATAGATTTATTAATGGTTCAGTGGTCAGTGGTTCAGTACCCCGGATTAATTAGTAGCGGGTCAAAATGCTGTCAGAGCCACTTTACTAAGGCACGATGCGGTAATGCACTGATAAGTTACAGAGTTATTAATATTAGATGTTTTGCACGGAGTAGAGACCAGTCTGGCTGTTTTCGAGACTTCTTACCTACCTACCTAGTAGGTAAGGGGTCACGATATTGTTCTTCGAGATTGGAGGCTTTTGACGGTCTCACAGTAGACTATAACATAAGCTCCAAGATTCTGTCCATATTGAGTACAGAAAAGTAAGTGATCAGATAAGAAGTAGAATTCATTTTTCCAAATCAATTGTGACATTGGCCATTCATCAAAGCATAGTCCGTACTTGGAATGATAAGGTTTTAAGGAGTCAAGCGAGCCTTTATCGGAAGACGGCGATGGCGTTAAGCGTACCTTTCTTTCCTCACATCATTCATTCTAAAGTAAAGTTATTATGTTCTCACGAGGAGAAAAGCAACAAAAGATCTCGGCCAAATTTTTAATATGAATTTTTTGATTCCGTCCTAGTAGCTGCAGCTTACAAGGAGTCTCAATAAACCCCTCATTTCTTCCTTGTAAATTTTTTATTTGGCGTACATCTATGGTGAAAAGAATAGAAAAGATCTAATCAAAAAAATCGTGCTCAATTGAATTCGCACAACTTTCGATGAAGAAAAGGAGGACAGAGGGAATTTTGAATGGGAATAACCTTGAGTCTAGGTGAATATATCGATTTGGATGATTTGTAAAGTTGCAATATACATGATCTATGATCTATAATCTATAATCTATATTAAATCCTCCGGTTTCAAGCCAGCCACAACAGTACACATGACTTTCATGGAGACTCGTGACGGGTGTGACTAGAATGTCCCGAACAACTCGAAGTCTTATTAACGTACCTAGGTATATGTTTGGCATTTATCAACAACTAGGGGGTTTGTTACTGAAACTTTCTTCAGGTAACAAAAAGCAAAGAGTAAAAATTTGGTGATGAACACAATTTCTGCTTTTTCAAGATACAACACGGCACAAGAAAGAACAAGCACCATGCAGCTGAGAAAATGAAATTCAAGGTTAAAGATTAACCAACCACTCCAAATCCTTCAATCGCCTTTCCCGCCAAATTGGCACTGCAAGCCTAGCAATCTTAAGCACAATTCGACCCTCATCTGTAAGCAGAAAGACATTTTCGAAGTCTTAACTTCTCTTGATCTCTTGGAAAGCCTTCCATCCTACACAATCTCAACCAAATATCAACTTCACCTAACCCATCGGAACATAATCAATCCCACAAACACAAACGAACGGGGTTATTTTAGAAAAGCACTTTAAACCCTCAACAACGTGTACAAAGAGAGAAGGCCATCCATCAAACAGATTATCCTTATCAGACTTGGGAACGGTTTCGGTACGCATGAGGAACTTTCCTATATCGAGAATCCAAGTGTACCGGTACTCATGCAATTCAATGCGGCCAGCGATTCCCGGACCGATAGAAACCGAGCTCATAAAAAAGAAGTACCCAAGTAACCAAAAGAACCCGATCCAGCCAAGTCTATGGTAACCTTACGATCCCCCGCAAGATCCACAGCTTCACTGATCCGCTAAGAAGAAAAAGCTTCCGGCCCCAGACAACCACCCACCATCCGCCCATCATAAATTCTACGCTTCACCAAGCACAAACTCAAAACTTTAGCACGAAATAAATCGCGGTTTCCCCTCCATTTCTCACCTTATCATCGATAACACGATAACACAAACACAATAACACAAATTTTGAAAGCATGAGTGAGTAATTTTGAAAAGTTCTTATAGTCGTACCTCTTGTTACTTCCAATAGTTATTTCCTTCTTTTTTGCCTAATCCCATACAAGCGCCCTATGCGCGCTCGTCAGCTTCTGGCCACCGCGTGTCTTCTTGCATGACCTAGCCACATCTCACGTTGCGCTCCATCATCTGTCCGACAGAGCACTCTCGTGTTGAGCAGGGAGCGTACAGCACATTTCCCCGCGTTACTTGATGCGTAGGAGAGTCTGGGGACATCTTCTGCGTTTTGCATTATGTCTAGCTTACCACCCATCTCCACTCATTTGCATTGCTCTTGCTTAGTCTTTTTTCCTTCACACATAACATGCTTCATCCAATCTGACCTCGGTCGACGGTAGAGTGACATCGCCACCCTGTGCGCCAATCTCAGCTTTATAAAGCTCTTAAATACTCTCTCAACTTCTCGACAGAAGTGCTGATAAACCAGTGTATCGTACTTCTTGCGCCTTCGTACAACAAGAGTATGAGATTATGACTTCAATACTAGCTGCGCATCCTCTTACCTTGCAAGCATCTAGCATAATGGCTCAAATTGATGCGCCTGTCATGTCTCAAATAGCCGATCCCATGCTACAACGCAGGCCAAACGGAGAGATTGACAACAAGAATCGCGGTAGACGGCGAAGCCGTACCTCATTGCAACCTACAGAGGATGAAGGGGAGCTCTCACATGGAGAAATTGCGGAAGGTCACACTTCTGGTGATGATGGTCACCCAAGAAAGCGGAGGAGAAGTCGCAAAGGCCTGGACAAGAAGTTCGAATGTTCTACGGAAGGCTGTGGAAAGAGTTACTCTAGAGCCGAACATCTGTGAGATTTACACAATCGTAGTTGCATCCGTTGATTCATTGCTGACATCCTCTCCTTTTAGTTACCGTCACCAGCTAAATCATACCCCGAAACAAATATATAACTGCGACTTTGACGGTTGTTCAAGAACGTTTGTTAGGCAGGATTTGTGTAACAGGCATCGAGACCGACATACTGCGAAAGGGTCTCAACTACACAGAAAAGATTCAATTTTGAGTCAAGGGTCACCAGTATCACAGATCCCGCAACCACAGTCACTTCAAGGGTCCACATCTCCTGAAGTGACAAGGCCGAGTCTTATGGGGCCCACAATACGCACAACACAAATTCAATACCAGTCTCCACAAGACATTCGATCTACCTCATACTCCCCAGTGACTAACCCAGCATCTGGAACATATCCCGGTGGTGGATCAACTAATGGCGGAGATGGATATCCCTCGGTCAATTACAAGCGTTCTGATTCTGAGATGATTCATAGGGGCCAGAATACATCATCTGCCAGTTCTAACAGCAGAGGCCAACGGCATCCAAGCTTCGGAACTCCCGATGCCAAGTCGGTAGAGTTCTCGAGACCGCTGCAACCAAATGTTGGCCACTATGGTATGTTACCGACAGCCTCAAATAACCAAAACTACCGTAGCAATCAGGCACACAGCCCGCAGGCATATATAAGTCAACAGAATTTTCCCCCTTTTAGCTTACCGCCTTCGGGGTTTGCGAATGTGGCTGCAAACACGATTAACTCCGGTGAGACTGAGCCACTGCTCCAGACTCCAGTTTCTGCTGAATATCCAAATGAGATTAGCCAAGCCCAACAATCAGGCCCAGACATGATGCTTCTAGATCAAATGGCTGTATCAAACACGATGCCTGTATTTGGCGGCGAAGGATGCTACAATCGATCCCCTTGCGCCATCCCGGAAGACTTCGTAGCTTATCTTTTTAGCACCCAACAAAACGACATGGGTCAAATGAATTCACAACCTTATCCAAAGTAAGTATTTCGACCCGATTTTTTAATCTGTTTTATATTCAACTTACATTTCTAGCACCTACCCTGATGCTACAGCCCAGTATTATGCTCCATACTTCACTAATGATCTCGGCAATGGAGGTTTCTATCCTCCAGCTGCTCAACAATCTCACCACCCTATGGCTGTAACTAGTTTACTTGATACCAGCTTGCCAGAACAGTTTTGTCAGAAGAAAAGAGTCAAGCCATTATTGACTTGATCAAAGAGCGATTCAACGAGACTGGAAATGCACCGTTTGTTAAGCAGAAGAAGGAGAAACTTGTCGATGGGGACCGTAGTAAAGACAATCACATGATGAGTAGAAAAATGATGCAAACATACATCGGTAGTTACTGGTTACATTTCAGCGACCAAATGCCAATATGTAGGACTTTTCTTTGCTCTTAGACGGGCGGTGTAAACCTTGCTAATTTTCCTTACAGTACACAAACCAACCTTTTCTCCAGATAGGACACCAGATCTCCTTTTAATCGCAATGATGGCTATAGGTGCCTCGCTTCTTGATAAGGCTCACGGTCCAGCAGTGACGGAAGCCGGCGCGGATTTGTCGAATTTTTTAGCATGGCACCTCAGATGGGAGATATTTAATGACCATCAATTCCGTCCTCCAGCAAGTTTATGGGTGTTTCAGGCTCTGTTACTACTGGAGATATATGAAAAAATGTACTCGACCAGAGCACTTCACGAAAGAGCTCATATCCATCACGCAACCACAATCACTTTGATGCGTCGTGGTAGTTCATTGATAGGTCGTTCTGCATTGGATTCTCCCCCGAGTGCGAGAGACGACAAACATGGACACAATGATTCACGCCAGTCGTCAGCGTCAGCAGCTAATACACCTGACGAGTGGTGGAATCATTGGATTATAAATGAAGCCACAAGACGTGCTGCATTTGCGGCATTTGTTATAGACTCCACGCACGCAACAATGTTCGGGCATTCTACTGTTATGGTTGCTCACGAAATGCGTCTCCCTTTACCATGCGATGAAGCCATGTGGACTGCCACAAGTAGTGCTGAGGTTGGTAGGTTGGAGTCAAGCCTTCAAGCGAGTGGGATGAAACCTATATCGTTTTTGGAAGGTCTTAAACGGACCCTTAATGCTCAAGACGTGAGGACAAACTCTTTTGGTCGTACAATTTTGATGGCTGGCCTCTTGAGTGTCAGCTGGCATATGAATCAACGTGATCTGCAAGTCAACTCGTTAGGCGTATCGCAGGCACTGGGCGGCCGGGACAAATGGAGAGGATCTTTGACTCGAGCATTCGACCTTTGGATGCAAGATTTCGACTCATCTTTGCTGAAACAATCCGAAAATATGCCAGGGCCATATGCCTACACTGGTAAAGAAAATAATGTTGTATACCAATCTAGGACAGTGCTCCATCATCTCGCACACATGGCCATGCATGTTGACGTTGTCGACTGTCAAATATTTGCCCGAGCAAAACGTCTTCTTGGCCGCACGATCGGATCACAAGACTTAAACAGTGCCCAAAGAAGAATGCAAGACATTTGGGCACCGACTGCGAAAGCTAGGGACGCAACCTTTTATGCCATCAAATTTCTCTGCACTGTCCTCCTTCCCGAGAAACCCACCTCAATGTCTCATGGCTACGATCATGCACAACTGGATTCGATAGTGGATTATTCTGCTCGCGACGATGTTCTTCTCAACAGACCTTGGGTTTTATATTTTGCTGCTCTGATCGTTTGGTGCTATGGCTATGCTCTTGAAGGACCAACCACTGCTCCGGTCCCTGATCGTCATGTAAAGACTGATCAAGCCCGAGATATGCGAGCCTACTTGCGACGATTTGGCTCGATCAATAATCCCGAAGAACTGAAAATTTTGACCGGGCTCAATGGATGTTCTGGATTGCTCATGGTTCTCCAAGGTATCTTCCAGGAAACACGATGGGAGTTATTGCACGAAGCTGCATTATTATTGAACAATTGTATCAATCTTGTCAGTGGCCAGCCGTATCCACCTTCTCGTGATCTGTGAGGGAATTAGTTGGAAAGGAAAAGATAGGCCTTGTATGTAGGTAGATAGCTTTATGATTGTAAAATATAATTAGCGAGGCAAGGAAACTGGATGTTGAGATCGCTTGGGAAACAACACGGAGGGATTATTCCTTTACGAAATTTCAGGTATAGGCATCATGAAGATATCCAGGAGGACAATTTGTGATAAGGTTTGTTGCGTTGGTTGGGTTGGATCGAGATAAGTTATACAAATATATTATTCTGGCGGAGATTTCCGGGTATTAATCTCCTTGGGGTCTTGGTTAATGTATATGATAATTTTAGTTATTTAATTATTATTTATTAATTGAATATATTTATTATTTTATATTATGTTTTTGAATTATGTTTTTATATTATGTTTTTATATTATGTTTTTGAATTATGTTTTTATATTATGTTTTTATATTATGTTTTCGTTACGAGGTTTGCCGTCTAGATCACGTGAAAGTGCTCTAGGCTCTCGAGGTGGTTTATAACTAGGCGTCAAGCAGGGACTTAAAGTAATGACAATAATGCAATTCGTAACTAATAGTAGAGTATACTAACTGATTGATCTTGAGCACGAAGCTCTATACAAAGGGAATCCATCTTGGTTATATAGATGTTCATGCTCCCTTGGATCCTTTTGGATCCTCAAGCTCCAAAAGCTCCAAGTCACGTGTTTTCTGACAGTGCGTGCACATACGATCTTAAAGTGACCCAGATCACATATTAATTCGATGAAATCTGATCACTTTTGCACAAGGCCCAAACTCTCCTAATTAGTCAGTTGTTACTATCGTAACATATGGGCGGACTGCTGATAAACCACGTTATATTAAATAGATTATTTAAATGAAAAAAGATTATAATTTAAAAATAAATTTAATATTAAATAAAACATTATTTACATGTAGAAATAAGCCCCGATCTCAAATGTGATAATTGTTTATAAATAAAGCTTTGATAATAAATATTACATCTAGGTATTAGAGAAATATCCTTCAATCTATAGATGAGGTGAAATTTTGAGCCGTCAAGTTTTCGATTAGGTCGTTATAAAGAATCACATAGTAATCTTACAAAACTTAACTACAGAATGATGATAATTTCCATATCAAGCGTTAACCACCTAATGCGGATATCAACAGGTGACTAAACTCTCCGTACAACAAACCAGCACATCAAAACCCCACAAATCAAAGAACATCCTCCTACCTGCGCCGCTTCCTCATCTCACACATCGCATACCGACTCGGCTACATCGGATCACCGGCACACCAAATATCAGACACGTTACCCGAAGGAGACAAAACAGCCGATTTGCTACAGAAAATCCGCGTTTGATTCGTCGTTTGTGTATGCAGGGCTGAGGAAAATTGAAAATCTATGGAGGCCTACTTCGTATTCTGATCATAATGATCATCCTACTTTGTAATCTCATGAACTATTTTCTTTTTGTCTTCAGTAAAACTGTATTTGTTATTCGTGATGCTACGAGTGTAAGCATCATTGACGTAGGTCAAGAGTAGACGTGTCAGAGGCAAGCAAGCTATGAAACCTTCAGAGTACGAAAGAAATGTAGAGAGAGAGATGAACAATACAACTACAACGCGGCGTCTAAACGGCGTAATTTTGCATAAATCCTATGTAATCTTATATGTGCAAGGCATTCTTAATTTCCCTTATCTTTAAATAACATGGATATCTCTCCATTTATATAAATGTCAGTTCATATGCGCCCTTGTGTGTTTGATTCCGATTCTGTTTGATAGAGCATGATACATGTCGTTGTGTCTTAGGATACGCTCGCTTTAATATTTCCATCTCACCTACGTATCCGTACTGAGATATATATTTGCACGCCGCGGTTTTGGTTTAAATTTCGTTATACGTAAATATAAGTTATTTACGGAAAACTTGATTACTATTTTATATTTTATGTCTTCAGAATCCTGCGTTGTAAGTCATTCAGTTCAAGTCATATACAGTCATATCTCATCAGAGAAAGAGAATTCTTTGCATAGATAATTGACTAATGAGATATCCAGCTCAATGGTGTTCCCAGCAAATCAACACATGCACAACGCTTTGCTCTGGTAGTGTTAATACAAACACTTGTGATCTAGTATGTTTACTTTTCTATTCTACTTCTTCTTCCTCTTCTCACCTCCAATATACTCCCCACCTACTCTATATATTAAAATATCCACCGTAGACAACTCTCTGCTATGACTGCACCTGCAGTTCCAATTCCTCTTCCCCCGCCCTCCAATACTATGCCGAAACCATACCTTCCTATGTATGCGAGCAAGTATTCCAAAACTGTCTTATCGCCGGCGAAAACGATGCCGCTGCACAAAGAAAATGCATAGCTGAGGAATCATCTAATTGTGGACATCTTGACCCCGATTATTTCAATGTATCTGTCTCCTCCTCCGCTTCTGCCTCCGCTTCCTCAACATATTCATCCATCAAGTCTACTTCTATTATACTATCAGTTATAAGTAGAAGTATATCTATACCCACAAACACAGCCAACTCGGTAACTAGCACAACAAAAATCTTAACTCCTTTTCCCATAGCAACAGCTGTAACGACGCTGTGGAGTACATCTACCTCCGGATCAGGAAGTAGTGTGACGACCGGGAGTTCATCAATCGAAACTGAAATGACGGAGAATTCGTCAACGCTGTCTGCGGCGGATAGTAGTAGTAAGACTCAAGCATCGATATTACCGGGGATGACGGATGTAAGTGTTAGTGTGAGTGCTAAAAGTACGGTGACGCCGACGGCGACAGCGACTTCGGCGTCTGTTAGTGTTAATGGAGGTGGGAGGATGGTGGGGTTGGCATTTGGGGGGAGTTAGAGAATGTTGGTTGGTGGGGTGGGTTTGGGTTTGGGTTTGTGATGTAGGTTGTATATTGATGTTGTGAATGAGGCTGTGAATGGAAAGGGAGAAATGACGGGTATTGGGGATATGGAGTGGTGGCGTAGTGGAGTAGTGGATTGATAAAGAGGAGAATGTAGAGGTGAGGTAACATTTGATATTAAGACGAAGACGAAGATGGGAATGAGGATTTCATGAAATTTGGAAAGTGGATATGGAAATGAGCATGAGCATGAGCATGAGCATGGAAGTAACAACGCGAAATTCATGATCACGAAAGGAACACTCGTTTGACCGTACAAATTACGTCTAAAGAATGATACACATGCAATATCTACATCTAATTCCCACCTGACCAATTTCCAATCGTCAAATATTCCATACCATACCCACACACTTGCCTAACAATAACTCCCCCCACATCCAGAACCTCACACCATCTAATATTTACAAACCCCTCAAAAAATGCGCATCAGGATTCTCAAACATGCCCCCTCTAAACTCCACCACCTTCCACGGACCAATTTCCGATCGCGACACCCGTTCCGTTAGTGCATCTATGAAATCTTCATGACGCTCTACATTCGTAACACCATTCTCATTCCAGAAGTGAAAATTGAGTCCGGAATATTGGCGGAATTGGAGGAGGGAGCGTAGCCATTGGGGGTGATTGTCTAGATTTGTTGGGAGTGGGGCGGTGGAGGCGTAGTGGTTTTGAGGACGGAATATGGATTGGGCTGGGTTTTTGGTGAGTGTGGTGTTTGATGTATGTGATATGTGTAGTATATGTGTGAGAATGGAAGGATGGAAGGAGGTGGTTTGTAGGAAGTGGGGGATCAGGATATGGGAGATGGATTATTTACCTGATGCTGGATAGTCCATTCCTATATCCAGTTTTGGTTCCCCTTTGTATCGCAGAGATGCAATATCCATATCCCAACTTGTGTCTCCGAAGCGAATTTGCCATTTTTTATACAAGCGGTGGCGGTTGTGCTGGTAGTAGCAAGAAGAATAGTAGAAGAACCAGGGCTGTTTTAGAAATTGTTTATGGTGTCTATCGTGGACGTTGAGGTTAAGCTAATATGAAGATATATGAGTAAAAGTATCTTGTACATTTCGGAAATTGACCATAGATTTTAATGCAACAAAAAGACTTACCGTTTCTCTCACCCAAGGACAACTAAAATAATTTATAATAGCTTCCCACGCCTGAAACTCCGGACCCGAATCTTCATGTTTCGTCGATAATGAATAGGGGATCGGTAACCTCAAATGCGTAATAGCAGCTCGATCACGCTCTTTCAATCCAAAAAGATATTCCTCTGCATCCACCAAATCATCAAAGTGAAAAACACTTTTAGAGAATAAAGTTCCTCGAGCGTCTGGAAGCTCAAGATTGATTTGTTTGCATATCAGACGATAAGATGGGAAATCCGATGGGCCCGTGGTAGCACATTGTGTATGATCCCCTTTTCCGGAAGGGCAGGCGGAGCTTTTTAGACCATTAGGAGCTACGCACGAATGGAAGGAATAAGATGAGCTATTGGCATCTCGCGAGATGTGAACTATGTTTTCGCTAACAACATCTTTCCAAATTGTATCTCGGATCTCTCTTGGGAGACGAAGTAAGGTGGATTTACTTTGCACTTCGCAAGCTCGGATATGGTCTCTTCGGGTGGCATCGGCGATTCTTTTCATCTCCTCAACTTCCGCTTCCTCCTCTTCGCGTTTCCTTTCCATGTAAAAAGTCTTCGCTTCCTCGAAGGTAGGTCGTAAATTATGATATTCCTGAATCAGATCGTCATGACCTCTAAACAGTACTTCGAGAACCATCTCAAGATCTCCAGATGACATATCCCCATCCTCTTGAAAGTTTTCAGTAAAGTGTATGAATTGTTCATAGATTGTGGGATCATCTTGAAAACGAGACTACATGGTTTCGATTAGCCTTGTTATCAATTTCAGAAGTTTGGAATGTCTTGGTATTTCTTACTTTAATGGTATTCAGATACCTGTGAATCACGAAACGGGTAGCGATCTCACGACTGCTAACTGATGATTCCGGTTGATTGACTTGAGAAGCGTTACCTTCCATGACTGTCGAAGTATGAGAGACTATGTTGGGGTTCCGAGAAAATAGTTGAAAGGGAAATGGGGAGGTCGGCTAATTGACTCTGAGGAAAAGAATATTTATGATGAGATAGATTTAAGTTGGCATGAGCTGTATATAGCGTATATAGATCGATGTATATCTAGTACCTATCTTATCATTTATACAATATCCCACCACATCAATATCCGAAGTGTGGATATTAGTTCAAGGCATCAGAAGCAACTACACAAGGATGTGAAGCTCAAATCAGCTTAGTTTAGGCACCACGGAGGCACGACATCACATGACCTTTTATTTGAACATTGGCTAACGGTACGTCTGTAAGCTGTTGAGTTATTTTACTCTTATTATTAGTACTAATATCCAAAGTCTGCTATCATTTGCTTGTTTATGAGCACAAGTAAACTAAGAATACCTATTTGTAATAGCTAATTATGGATTCAGTAGAAGATATTAAATTGTCAGCTTTTGTACTTCTCAAGCAGATTATTTCATGGACATTCTGGTATCAATAAACTCCTAAACTCCAATTCCCTAGAATGGCCTTCCAAATCCCAATATGCAACTATTGCAATACACGATGAGGAAATATTTTCCGTGCCGCCACATTCACCTGATACTCATGAATACCATCTCCAGCTCCAATATATCTGCGAAAAGGTTAGCGTCAGGAATATGGAATATGGAAAAAGAGCATACAGTAGCCTGCCATCCTCACTCCAGGCGAGCCCCATAGTTTCAACTGGTTCGCTCCTACCCTCCCGCTCTCGCCTCGACAAATTACTATCGTTCCTCACATCGAGGCTGAGCCGAGTAAGTGCATCCAACGGTCGCCATGGTTGCTGCCTTGATCTTTGAGCAGAGGTTCGACTTTCTTCATCTACTCCCTCAGCTTGAGCTGCGGATTGGGCTTCTCGAGGGAATCGCGTTCGATACATCTCCTCAAGCTCAGCCCAAGCGTTAGGAGCGGTCTCATAGCTTATGGTGGAAAGACGAGGGGCGAGTGACAGACGTTCCAGGCCAGAAAACGTATCTGCGCTTGTCCGTAGACTTCCGTCAGACTCAATATCCATTGAGTTATCACCCGATACTAATGATGCTTGCCGTCTAATCTCATTCTGCATTGCGCGTCTTTCTCGATCCTGGTTTTGCCTGTCAATAAACGCTCGGAATGAAGCAGGGGTGCGATCAGAATTCACGAATTCTCGCAAAGCACTTGGCAGACCGGTCGTAGATATGCGGCGTTCTGTGCTGCCAGAACCATCGCGAGATGTTGTGGATGCATTCACCGATCTTTCTCCATCCAAGGAGCCCCATCTGGAGCTGCTTGCTTGCGTTTGAGCCTCACGTGCTGCGTCTCTCTGCCGGCGGGCCATTCGATGTGCCTGCAATATCTCCATTTCATCAAGGGTTGGCGGAAGTTGGTGTCTATCTGTCAAATCGCGGGTAAGATTCCTCAGTTGCTGTCGCTCGAAATCCAAGCCTAGATAGTCCGGTATTGCATTTGCAGAAGCCTCGGAGGGCGACTCAGTACGAAAAGCACGAAGCCTTGCATCAATCCTAGCCTCTATCGTCATAGGGTCATTTGAGCGCTCTATCACCCAAACCCGTTCAACGCCATCCCCGCGAGAATCGATATCGATTATCTGCCTAGAAGTAAACAAATCCCGGACATCTGTTACACCAATGCGTCCGCTGGCTTCAGTCCAAGCAAGGAGATCGAAGGAGTTTGGCGAGAATTCCATGGCTCTGACAGCTCCAGATTCAACATTGGGCCGCGATGTAGTGAAAGTGACTAGTAATGGATCGACATCATCATTAGTAAGGAGTTCGGTCAAGAAAATCGATATGACTCCGTATTGAGTGGCTACAGCAAGATATCTGCCCGAGTGAGAAAAGCATGCTGCGAATGAGCCTCTCATAGAAGTTTTATCCGCTGGTCGTTGCCCTTGGAGCTGAATCCTGCCAGAAAACACCCATTCGTACTCATTCATGTGTGAGCTAAAACGAGACTGTGATACTTGCTTCATCTGTCTTTTGTGAATGTAAAGGAATGGATCATCGCAGCTGTGTAAAGTTAATCAATCGTCATTCTCAGGTAAAGTTTGGAGGCCTACATTGCAACGAGGAGATCACCTTTCGGTGATATTACAGCACGATTCACATAATCAGGGTATTTGAGGGTATCTAAAATCTCCGAGTCATGTAAACTCAATATAGTAACAGAACTATCGTTGAGTGCCGCAACAGCCACCGGATCTGTATATCCCGTTTGTAATGATGATTCTGATGGGAACCAAAGTGTTATGCAGTTTACAACGTCAGAACCGACCCTTTTCGATACATGTGGAGTAGTGGCATCAGGACTAGATCTTCGGGAATCGTTGGAAGATTCCCTCTGAATTGCTCTTGCAGTTGGTTGGAGGATGAGAGGTAAACGAGCATCGGCATCAGCACTGACTTCCAGAAACGAATCGATCTTACCGGGTCTGTCCCCGTCTCCCACATAGAAGCTCGTGAATTGACCCCTATCTCCTCCGGCGCATACCCAATCCTTGGCGGCTATCAAACATCGCGGTTCATATTTTAAAGTCGTGAGAAGCTCTCGTGAGCGAGATTTGGTATTGAGACAGATTATGTCGTGCGAACTTGGGTAGTAAACAATATCCTGCTTTGGAGAACTCAACAAATCGTGCAACTGCCAATGACTATATAAAGTCAGCAATCTCCTCGTTCCATTTAGCAGACGCCAACAACTGCCAAACAAGCAAGTACAGTATCAGGCAGACATTTACAAGAACAGGTTTTTGAATAGACGCCATCAAGGGATCTGCGATAATGCGCAAACTACCACATCATTGCATCCGACTCATACACGAATGCGCACAACGGAGATCTTCCGTACCTTGGACATATGGAAGCATGATAGTATTTTCGAGGCGACGGGCGAATTAAGCCATCTGTAGGATGAAATCTACGAGCGTGCAAGTAATCAGCATATGGTTCAAATCAATTATTTACAAGGTAAACTAAGTTGTACAAACTCACGAGCTTTCTTCTTTGACAGCCATGCTGTCGTGCACTCAAGATGTTGCAACCATGCACAACAGATTGTAAACAAAGTATTTGGATGAATCTAACAAAGTTTAAACCTTGCAAATGTTGACTATTATTTATATGCTAAGATGTGTTCTTTTAAAGATTTCCTTTCATAGATGAAAAAAATAACACGGGGCATACCAAGTGGTAAAAGTGTACAGAGACAGTGCTGTGATTTGCGACTGATAGATAATGTGAAGCATGATGTTTTCAACCGGAACTTGTATTCGAAGACGACGTCAAGCAGCTTACTAATTTCGGGAAACTAAGAGTCTCGTACATTCTAAGTGGATAAAGTGTACGGTGGCCCCACAATTTGAATACCTCATAGGCTCATTACCCTTGCCACATCAACAAACATATTTCTCGAGATAAAATTATCACGTGCTAGTTTCGATGATGTTCTACCAATTCCTATCAATCGAGCAAAAAAAGGACGCTAAAAATGACATTTTTTTCCTTGTGGCCCGCCGTTGATTTATATTTTCTCCCTCCATCCTCTCAATCTTGAGAAACTTCTAATTTATACATTTTTCTACCAATTCCTTCTTCTCCTACCTAATCCAATTCCTTCTGCAATTAGGTTTTTTATTATACAGAAGTGATCAAGATGTTTGCTTCCAGAATTTCCAGAGCTGTAAGTTTCTTGTACTAAGTTCGAGTTAAAAAGCATTATCAACAAATTGCTAACTTCTCTTCGTCAATAGCTTCCAAGGGCAACATCATCCGTCACACGCTCAGCACCTCTTCGCACACCATTAGGGTCATCGTTTACCAGACGATGGAACTCAGATGATGCGGACAAAAAGGTCAAGGGACCAGTCATTGGTATTGACTTGGGTATGTTCATTCTATGCAGTGGCAAGCGGGCTTGTTCGAATTGCACATTAACATTTTATTAGGTACCACTAACTCAGCTGTTGCTGTGATGGAAGGTCAAACCGCAAAGATTATCGAGAACTCAGAAGGTAATTTTTTTGCAATTCGTTACTTTTAACCCAGCGCTGACTCGATGCATAGGTGCCCGTACAACCCCATCAGTCGTAGCTTTCGCACAAGATGGTGAAAGGTTAGTCGGTGTATCTGCAAAGCGTCAAGCTGTTGTCAACCCAGAGAACACTTTGTTCGCCACAAAGCGTTTGATCGGAAGAAAGTTCACCGACGCCGAGGTTCAACGTGATATCAAGGAGGTTCCATACAAGATCGTCCAGCACACAAACGGAGATGCTTGGGTTTCTGCTCGTGGCGAGAAATACTCTCCATCGCAAATTGGTGGATTCGTTTTGCAAAAGATGAAGGAAACCGCTGAGGCCTATCTTACCAAGCCTGTTCAAAATGCCGTCGTCACCGTTCCTGCTTATTTCAACGATTCCCAACGTCAAGCCACCAAGGATGCTGGTCAAATTGCCGGTTTGAACGTTCTCAGAGTCGTTAACGAGCCAACAGCTGCCGCTCTCGCTTATGGTTTGGAGAAGGACGAGGACAAGATTATCGCTGTATACGACTTGGGTGGAGGTACTTTCGATATCTCCGTCCTCGAGATTCAAAAGGGTGTTTTCGAAGTCAAATCCACTAACGGAGACACTCACTTGGGAGGTGAAGATTTTGACATCCACTTGGTTCGTCACTTGGTCCAACAATTCAAGAAAGACTCTGGCATTGATCTCTCCGGTGATCGCATGGCCATTCAACGTATCCGTGAAGCTGCTGAAAAGGCTAAAATCGAGTTGTCTTCTTCCATGCAAACTGATATCAACCTTCCTTTCATCACTGCCGACTCCTCTGGACCAAAGCACATCAACCAAAAGCTCTCCCGATCACAACTCGAGAAGCTCGTTGATCCATTAATCAGCCGCACCATCGAGCCAGTACGAAAGGCTTTGAAGGATGCCAACCTCGCTGCTAAGGACATTCAAGAAGTTATCTTGGTTGGTGGAATGACCCGTATGCCAAAGGTCAGCGAGTCTGTCAAGTCCATCTTTGGTCGTGACCCCGCCAAATCCGTCAACCCAGACGAGGCTGTTGCCATGGGTGCTGCCATCCAAGGTGGTGTCCTCGCTGGTAACGTTACTGATGTCCTTCTTTTGGATGTTACACCATTGTCTCTTGGTATTGAGACACTCGGAGGTGTATTCACTCGATTGATCAACCGAAACACTACCATCCCAACCAAGAAATCTCAAATCTTCTCTACCGCAGCTGATTTCCAAACTGCTGTCGAGATCAAGGTTTATCAAGGTGAGCGTGAGCTTGTCCGCGACAACAAGATGCTCGGAAACTTCCAACTTGTTGGTATCCCACCTGCCCACAGAGGTGTTCCTCAAATCGAGGTCACCTTCGACATTGATGCCGACGCTATCGTCCATGTTCACGCTAAGGACAAGTCTACCAACAAGGATCACTCCATCACCATCGCTTCCGGCTCTGGTCTTTCTGACGCTGAAATTCAGAACATGGTCGATGACTCTGAAAGATATGCCGAGTCTGATAAGGAGCGCAAGGCTGCTATTGAGGCTGCCAACAGATCCGACAGTGTTCTAAACGATACCGAAAAGGCTTTGAACGAATTCGCCGACAGACTTGACAAGACCGAGGCTGATGGCATCCGTGAGAAAATTACCGCTCTCCGTGAGTTTGTCAGCAAGAGTCAATCCGGAGAAGGTACTGTCACTGCTGCCGAGTTGAAGGAGAAGACCGACGAGCTCCAAATGGCCAGCTTGAACCTCTTCGACAAGATGCACAAGGCCCGTTCCGAGTCCGGAGAGGCCAAGCCAGAAGGTACCGAGGGCAGTGCGTCAGAGGGCGAGGCCAAGGACGGCGAGAAGAAGCCTTGAAAGATTTAATACAGGCATATTTCATCTCAACTCTTTTAGCGATATCCAGGAGCACACATAGAGCTACCATTCATTGTATTTTTGTACTCTTATGTTGCATATAAAGCAACGATTTCTCTTGTCACACATACATTTTTTTTTTACTCATCATAGCTTTGGGACAAAAAGGCGTTGGAGCAACCAATGCTGTTCGCTAGATTTCAGCGTTCATGGAATGTGTTACGAGGCAAAAATTATGGAAAATGGCATTACTCTGGCTGTGTACAAAAATTAGGATAAGACGACGACGAATAATATGACATCCCCTCTCATGACTGAACTTGGTAGTTCTGATTTCTAATGACATTGATGTTATTGACCCTTGATACATGTTCAATATCAAAATGTAATGACGTTTGAAGGCTCAAACATATTACATATAAGGTCTAGCCCTGGCGTAGAGGCATGTATATAGATAATACTCGTGATATATTTATTATTAATACATAGTAGGTATAAACAGTTCCAGTTCAATCGACACCTGAGAATGATCTGAAAAATCTTCCCGCGACTTATCACCATAGCTAATTAATGATATCCGCTATTCTTTTCTGTGACTACTCGGTAGACATGCTCATCCAATGAAGTTAAAATCTCTTAAGATAGCGCTGGAACAGTTTTACCAGGAAACTCGTCGCAATAGTAGTACAATATGTCCTTCCAATTCTATACAATGGGATTCCTTTTTGATAAATGAAATATTCTCAAGATGAGTCAAAGAATACTGGTAAAATGCATCGAAAGCATTGTAGGGAAGCGGCTGGGAGAAGACAATATTAACGCACTAGTACCAGAAGTGGTTAGGCTGATTCTTGATAACGAAAGCTCGCCCTAGCAAATTTGCCCACTCAAAGCGATATTTTAAATAAGAACTTCACGTTGAACCTCGAACACCCCACAATCGAAGTCACCATCAACCACTCTGCCATCGAATTTAGCAGAGGAAATTACGAGTGCTTTGTACAGTAAAAGGCTCGCATTTTGGCCGCAGTTTTCATACTAGATACCCCGCCGAAGAAAAAGAGCACACCTACTACACAATGTCCAGAGTCGCAAAGTGAGAAATTTCAATATTTCCAGTCAACCGTCAGCACAATCTAACAAACATTATAGTAATCGGGATTGGGCTGATGACGAGGATCTCGAGGATTCCAACGAGCTCCCACAGTCAACGACCACTACCAACAAAGATGGCACACAAACCATTGTAACCTGGAGATTCAACGATGATGGAAAGAAGGTCAAGACTACACGTCGCATCAGATTCACAAAAGTTAAGGAAATCGTCAACCCAAGAGTGGCCGAGAGAAAGTCCTGGGGCAAGTTCGGATTATCCCAAAAGGATGCTGCGGGGGTGAGTACAACAGGAATTTCGATTAGGAAATTCATTAATAGCTGATATTTATTTTTCAGCCTGCTTCGGATACAACCAGTGTAGGAGAGAACATTATATTCAGACCAAGCACGAACTGGAGAAAGGATGCTAAGGAGGAGGTCTCAGATGCCGGAGCTATGAAGAACAAGTTGAAGGACAAGCAAGTCAAATGTCGTATTTGTAGCGGAGAGCATTTCACAGCCAAGTGTCCCTTCAAGGGCACAATGGCACCTTTGGGTGAAGAAGGCGCAGTCGACGTTGCCGCTGGCCATGCAGATACTCCAGAGGGTCCTGGCGGTCTTGGTGCAGGTAAATCTTCATACGTACCACCTCATCTCAGAAATGGCGGTGCCGCTGGTGGTGAGAGAATGGGTGGTGGCAAGTTTGAAAGGGATGATTTGGCGACTCTACGTGTCACGAACGTAAGTCATTCACGCTCCATAGACCCATTTACCACTTTACTAACATACAGATTAGGTCTCAGAAATGGCCGAGGAACAAGAACTTCGGGATATGTTCGAGCGCTTCGGCAGAGTCACAAGAGTCTTTTTGGCGAAGGACAGAGAAACTGGTTTGGCGAAGGGGTTCGCATTTATTAGTTTCCAGGAGAGATCGGACGCCGCGAAGGCGTGTGAAAAAATGGATGGTTATGGTTTCAAGCACTTGATTTTACGAGTCGAATTTGCAAAGAAAGCCACATAGATATTTTGATATTTATGAAGGATTGAGCGTACCTATGCGTCATGGGATATTTATTGATTCTTTTATTCATGGGGCCATGGCTCATGGAAGTTTATGAAGTTTACTATCAGGAATGGTCTGCCTGCAAAAATGAAAAGTCAGTTAGCCGAGATATCTTGCCTTGAACCAAAATAAGCATGTAGGTATGTATGTATTTGAATGATGGACATTTGGCCCCAGTGTAACGTGAAACAGTAGGACGTTCATGGCGCAATGGAAGGCACAAGTTATGCAAAATCATATTCACCACGTTTTTCTGTCGAGTCATTTGTGAAAATAGAGTCCAAGTTTAGTCCGAGAGCCTTTCCATAGTGCATACACACAGACATGAACCTTTAACCCCCAATGTTCTTATCTGACCTTGCTGACATCCGGCTAAACTCGTCGCCTATCACAATCCCTCTTTCTTTTCAAGTCTGGAATTTCTTTTGCGGTACCTAGTTAGGGCATGTTTCTTGATGGCGCAAAATGTTGTGGTTGAAATCGAACCATCTTTTCATTCCAAGTGGTGTGCTCGCGAGGTCATAGAGCTCTAGAAGGCGGAGGATAGTTATAAATGGGAAACTATTCCGTACTATCTAGATTAACCAGTGGTTGCTAGGTAGACTTGGACAAGGGTACCTACCTACGGTATATCGTTCGGGGTATACTCGTATTTATAGGTTTATCTCTACTCTATAACATCACTGTTATTAGCTCATGCACGTGCAAATCTGACCAGGAGAATCATTAGGATGAATGAAAGTGGGTCAGATTCTTGAGGGATTTCCGGCTCAATCATGTAAATTACAGTACCTCTATTCAACCAATCCCATAAAAAGGATATTCGATTTGATATATTAAGGTACCGGCCGACCATCATGTCCCCCGTCTATATAATTACATATTATCTATCAACATGGGAATAGATGCGCGGCCTTCGAAGTCTGCACGGTTTGTTTTTCTCTTCAAGATAATTACTCCTGCAGGACATGAACCATCGATTGAGTTTTTCCTCTCTGTATCTGCGATTGGACAATGGCCTGCGGATGGTAAGGATTCTCCGCATGCTCTCTCCATCAAAAGAGTCATGAACATCCGTTAAGCGGCGCGCCAAAGGCGCATGTCAAAGAGGCAAATGGCAGGACCAAGTGCAAATGGTGGTTTGTGCTTGATGGACCCGATGGTCACAGCGAGAGTGCTTAACCGCAATAGCTTCTGGCTCTGGTCCCCTAGTGCCCTTTCGGATTGTTTACAAACCCTATCTTTCTCTTTTGGTTTTTACTTTCATCGATTTTTGTCTCTGATATTGTTACACACATCTTTGCTTGACGTATTGATGATATGCACATGCATCCTACTATCGTTTGAACGTTTACATTCTATTGAATACTAGTTAGTGGTATTTTTCACATCACACCCCACAACCTTTTCTTCTTTCTTTGATCTACACTATACTTTCCTTCCTTTCCATTTCCTTTCCATATCGAGTCTCTATTGCGCCTGGAGTCACAAATAGGCAATATGCAACAACCTCCCGCGTGGGTAGTAGCCTCATGGCCTACACCAAATTATATCGATCCAGAAACACATGGGTATGCGAATGTTATACTGAATATCGTACTATACATAATTTTATGTTGCTTCATAGTATTGAGAATATGGACGAGGACGAGGTTGAGAGCCTCGTTTGGGGCTGATGACATAATGATTTTGTTTGCTATGGTTGGTTTACCTATTGTTCTGGCTAGGTTTGGATCTTTAGAGAAGGTGGATTTAATTTAAATGAATGGAAGGCTAATGAGATGGTCGTGTAGATACCCACCACTGGGTTTTTTGTTCTGAGTCTGCTGGCAGATCTCAAATTTATGTGGACTAGACATCAAGTACGGGTCTTCCCTCACGATAGAAACCCCTCTGTTCATCACTAACAAAATGTCTAGTATGATATCCCCAGCAGCCATGTTGAATTCGGACTCAAAATGGTCATGTTAATAGAGATCATGTTTGCAGCCGCATGCACCCTCACCAAACTATCCATGTTAATGCTTGTTCGTCGTATGTTAACCAGTGCCTCGATGTTTTGGAGAAGGGTTACTTTGGGTGCTATTTGTGTAGTAGGTTTACAAGGAGGCTTGTTTTGTATCGTGTTGGTGTTCCAATGTAGGTTAGTTATTAAACGATCTTTCCCGTTAAGTCTGATATGATGAGGAGAGCTAGGAAACTGTGGTTCAATACAGAATGATATACTAACGGTTCCATAGACCCCCACAGGATTACTGGAAAGTGACTAAAGATCCTCAACCAAACTGTATTGATCAGTCTTCAACACTCCTACTCGCCGGAATCGTCAATACCCTTACCGACTTCCTGGTCGTTCTTCTTCCTATCCGTACTGTGGTTAGTCTTCTCTAGCTCCTCTCATACATATCCAAGTCCTAACAGCCTTAATCAAGTACTCAACCAATCTCCCCCGCCGTCAGAGCCTCATCGTATCCTTCCTCTTCACCCTTGGTTTCCTCTCCTGTTTCGCAGGTATCGTCCGCACTTACTACATGTATAAAGTTACACAAGTATGGGACCAAGTATGGGCTTCATATCCCGTATGGATCACTGCAGCCGTGGAATTGTATATTGGAATTGTAAGTCTTCACCCACCATCTTACCCCACTTCATCCTCTCTCACCCTTTCTCCAAATTCTAACCCGTGCTCTCACCAGATCTGCACCTCAATTCCCGCCACCAAAGCCTTCTTCGTAACCTACATCCCCAAACTCTTCAACTCGCATCCATCATGCAGCTCAGGTTCCTCGCAATCCCCCCGAATCTACACTCCCAGATACAATTCCAAAGGCGAAAACCTCGCAAGCCCCCGTTTTGGCATCACCTCTACATCCAAAGCGCCGAAAATCCTCCACAGTCAAAGTTCAAAAACGCCTCTGAGCACCGATGATTCCCTCTACGATCGTACAATTGGCACGAGTATCTTCGAACTATCGAGTTTTACCAGTACGACGAGTAGTAATCGCGCAAAGGGGACCATGGATGAGGAAATGGGCAACGCACCTTTCGTAGTTTTGGAAGAGGATGATAATGATAATGATACCGCCAATACCAATAGCAATACTCATACCAATAACCCTACCCTAAGCAGAGGAATAATCGGATCATTGCGACGGAATCGAGAACGAGGAAGAGAAAATCAAAACCAAAACCCAAATTTCCGCGCAACGGATAATCAAGAATCTAGACGACAGAATGAAAAAGAGAAAGAGAAAGAAGGAGGATGGGATATCCACATCGATGTAGTACGAACCGTAGAAGTAGAAGAAGAACATATTGATGAGAAAAGAATATAATTTAATTAATGTATTATGTATGGATTGGCTGGCTGGCTGGTACATGATGTTTTTGAATCGATAGCTTGGTTCGGTTTCGGTTCGGTTTGGATATTTGAACGTTTCGATTTTCATTTCTTTGTATATATTTACATTTTGCACATTTGTATTTTGTATATAATAAATTTCCACCTAAAAAATCACATATATATACCCTTAATATATACCATGTGCAATGTATTCAAGTATCTGTAACTAAAAGCGAATATATTAATTACTACTGGAAAGAACAGGTTAGGTCAGGACAGATCAGGTCCCAGAGACTTACTTTGTTTCCTTACTAATTTACTCTATATAAATTGAAATAAGAATCACCTCCCCTACCTACCTACCTACCTACCTACCACCTATCTGACCTTACCTAGTTAATAAATGAAACACCTAATACCTATCTACCCACCATAGATTTCCTTCCGATACATCAAGGATTCAATCGATATTGTAATCTTAAGATTACCCACTAGGAAAAGCAATGGGTGGCTGAGATTACCTACCTGCCTACCTACCTTACGATCTCCATCACGCTACACTACAGCAAGCACTACAGCGCATATAACATGACACGACATGATATTTACAGCAACAAAGATTATACAAATCATCACGGGAAAGAATGACGAGACATCATAATGAGGCAAAAACAGAATCCATTTTATCGATATGCCATATACCTGATCTGCCAGTCACACCCGCGACGCGACCTTCCACCGAGCCTTCCAGAAGCTTCATGATTGAAACGCCAGCCAGCCACAAAAGAGTCCAGAAGCCTGAGCAAATTAAGCCCTCCTATGTACACCGCTAAAAAAAAACAAAGCCAAGCCCCATGTATGCATTGGCCTTGCGCCCCATAGCAAAATACAACTAGTGAGCCATAGTAATTAGAGAAACGAGCATGATATGTATTCAGCCTCATGAGATTATGCATATTTGCACTGATCGATATGTGCCTTATTCATCAAAATGTAGGATTCTACCGGTCGATAAGGGAGGCGGTATTTGACTTGGAATTTTGGATAGATTAAAATCGATCCTCAACCCTCTCTAAGTCATCGTAAGACAGTGTGAATTCCCGCTAAAGTCATATCAGCAAATTATACTATACATGTGATGTATGAAGACTTACACGTTGTCTTGACCAAGTCTTGACATCAAAGAAGATATAATAGCCTTGCTCCATTTGTTGAGAAAGTTGTCGGGGAACCATCAAATCATCTTTGGTAAGCCAAACTTGCAATTTTTTATGATAACGCCAGTTTCGATTGCCACTGTCAAGTGATATGAATGTTAGCAAAGGGCCTGGTAAGTGGTGGATACTCTACTTACAGCTCCCTAGCTGCCATGAGCTGCTGCTTGTCACCGGGATTACTGTAGAACATGAACAATAGGGCTTCTTCGTTGAAGCTGGGCATCTTGCTTTCGAGAGGGGCAACATTCAGAACGCGATAACACTCAGGTAGATTAAAACGGGCGACATCTGGTCGCGGTGGCTCGTTATCCCATAGAGAGTAAATTTGGTTTGAGATGGGCCTTGTAAATGTTAGCATGGCTGAGGCATTATTCTAGAAAAGACGGAAGGCTATCAAGCCATAACTTACTGCTCAGAATGTAGATCGAGACCCAGATGGTTGATATCGGTACCAGTAACAAGAGCAGCATAGTCAGGGAAGTTGTTCATCATATAGGAAAACCCCTTAAGTCCAAATCTGTCGGTGTCACTCATGTGAGCTAATGGATCTTGTACTTTAGAATCGGCATTCTCGGCATTTCTCTGCGCAGAACTAGGGTCGAGTTCCTGTGCTTGAGTTAGGGTTGATGGACCATCCGGTCGCGAGCTGGTTGCCGTAGGCATATTGAATTGTTGATCGTTGTCTTCTTGGAGTGGTATGGGACTCGATGAGCCAAAATTCGTATTCGCAAAGCCCTGCGCAAATTGATCAGCAGAAGTTCAATAATTCGAGGAGTCCCGTCTTACCCCAGCTTCGTTCTCTCCAAGATTGGATAGACCTTGACGACTGGAGTCTATAGGGGATCTGTTTGTGGATGGGCCTGAATAATAATCAAAATTAGCCGAGAAGTACAGTAATACATCATCCAATCAATATTATATTTATTCACCTGACAAACTTCCTGGTGAAGCAACTCTGTTACCTGGTGCAACTCGACTACCACCAGATAATGCGCTTAAAAGACCATTGCTTCTGGCCTGCTGGGGTGGGTTGCCAGAACCAAATCCTAATCCTCCACCGCCTCCAAACCCCACATTCTGTAATAGACCGGAACCGCGGTCTTGGCCGATCTCTCCATTTGAATTTCTCAGAGGTGGGAAGTCATCTGCGCTGCTCGGCTGTGACGACTGACCAACTGCACTTTGTGCTCCAAATCTGAACCCACCGGAATTATTCGATAATTGAGTTGATGAGTTGAAAAGTTCATCTTGCTGTTGCTGCTGCTGCTGTTGCTGAGCAGCATGTTGGGCAGATAATCCAGCTGATTGCTGTAATCGCATATTTGCTGATGGACCAATATTACGCGCTCCTGCTGCTCCCCATGTTGATTGATTGTGTTGGGGCTGGTTTCCTGATAGTGAGGGGAACTCGCTAAGACAATGTTAGCAATTTCAACCATGAAGCTTTGCATTATTGAGAAGAAAAGTAATAGAACTGAGGCAGGCTAAACCAACAGCATAAACTGTGCCAAGTGCCAGAGCTACACATGATATATCTGTAACACACAAAACTGTGTTCTCGCAGATATGAAGATCTTTGGAATAATTATACCTTCCGGGAGAATATGGACGCGGAAGACCATCATCTTTTGAGGAATGAGTTTCGTTCATTTTTGAGTTGATGTGGAGAAGAAGGAAAAACAGCAGGAGGAAGAGAAACTTTCAGCGCATCATAGGAGTAAAGTACAAAAGCAAAAGTAGGCGATGACTTACGAAAGATCGAGTGGTGTCGCTGGTTGTGAAGACCCTCCTATTGTTTGTGCAAAGCTTGTCATGGGTCCATTATTTGGACGTGGATTTCCTAGACCCGCTCCTCCCATCGGTACACCTCCAAATGCCCATGTTGCTCCATTGTTTGCTAGAAATTATCGACAAACATCAGTATACATGAAGTCTTCCTGATTGTTTTGACATGGGGGTATGAATCGTACCCATTTTCCCACCCGGCGGTATCCTGCTTGATACATTCCTATTCTGCATTTGTTGCTGATTTGGAAATCCATTGGGTATGCCACGCATTGCCTGCGGTCCTACACCTGAGAAATAAAGGTCAGCACAATTCCGTGAGTAAGCCTGCGGCAGAAGATCTCCGATGAAAGCTTCATGATGTTTGCGGGTTGATGCGACCAAACACTTTCTATCCAAAGAAGTGCTCCCTTCAGCACGGGCGCCAGAATCCAATTGTATTTCCTTAAAGTTGTACCAGTAGATCAAGCGATCACCCCTTCACTGAAGTACTCTCATCTGATTTCATCGAACTGTAAAAGCCAACTACATGCAAAAGCTCCTACAGTATCTACGCGCCCCACGCCCAGCCCAAATCCTACAAATCCAATATATGCCGACTTTTTACAAGGTCCTGTATCCTCTTGAATTCTGTCTCTTCACGCATTTAAGGCATCGTCCAATGCAAACTATCCCCCTTCTCTCTCGCAGCCGTGCAGCGGGGCAATTGTGAGGGAAAAAGAGAGTTCAAGGGCTCATACCTGGTCGATTCATGATTGATTTTGTAAAGCCCAATATTAATTAATCCGTATTAGTTTCCGATATGGGACGAGAACTTGTGCGCTTCTGGATGTGAGGTGGAAGTAGAGTCGTTGGTTCAATCAACCATTGAATTTCATGGAGCTTGGGGAGCCTTATTGCGCGCATGGGCACATGCCTCCCCGTAGTCTACTTTTGGGATAGTCGGTTACAAGGAACCATCATCAAGAACATCACATTAGAACATCACATCATGAATACATCAAGCATGGGGAAGCATGGCGTGGAACATGGAACTTTTCACTTCATCCGCATGTTTATTTTCGATCATTTTTTATCCTATTTTATCCTATTAATAAATAAATATCTAGTGTTTATCATAAACTTCTAGAGATGCGCAGATCTATATTGATATGAATCTTTCTACACAAATGTAAATGTGTGTCCAACCAAGATACTCATTAATTCATCAAATTTCCGGTATTCGATTTTCCACTATGGAATAATCAAATAATGATATATACATTGATATTATATGGCATAAAATGGTTGTTTCCTCGTAGCATCCTCTGACCATCCTTCCACCTCATGGAAGATAGAACTCTGCTCCGAAAACCTCTCGAGGAGTCTAGTCACACTGGTTTTGGGATTCCGTGACGCGGACTCGGCACTGAGGACAAGAATATTATTGTTTGCTTTTCCTCGAAGCTTTCAGAGTATAGTTTCAATACTCCATCCCCGTGCCGGACCACCGACCCCGGTGGCACCACGAAGGGCGCTAAGATACTATGCAGCTGTCCAAAGGCCGTGGTTATTTCCTATGATAAGCTTGGTCCTTGAAGGCTTCTTGTTCATTTATACGCTCCAGCATGATCTTCCCAGGTAGATTGTTCGTTCGTAGAGCTGCCTCCATATTCGTCTTGACTGTAACCCATACTTGTTTGTGCAGGTGACCACCCCGAGTTGCTAGCTACATCCACTTCCGTTGCTATCGATTTGCCCTTGCTAGTCATTTGGGGTGAGCTATCACTCTGGTCACTAACATCCATAGCAGAAAACACAGCTTTCATGTCCTGGACATCTTTACTCTCGGAGTTCTTTGGCAATGACGTTCTGTCCTCGACGAATTTTCGTATTGAGCGAATGATTGGATGATACATTTCGTCATTTGGTAGCCACCAGTGCATGCAAGAATTATCTCGAAAAAGCTCAGCCATTTTGCTCCTGAATGCAAAGGTTTGTATGAAACTAATTGTTGTGTTAGCAGTAGAACATCTGTGAATAGAGGTCGCATTACCCCTGGGACTCTATTGTTGCCAACTTTCGGCGCATCCACATAGTATGTGCCTCATCTTTTGGTAAGAAAAACGCAGCAATACCAAGACCTCCTTGGAGACCTACCGCCGCTCCCTTGGGTATCTCCGGATGGTGCAGAATGGCCTCATACAGCTGACAAAAGTCGGTGGATAATTGGCTCATATGTTCAATATCAGGCAGTGCCTGCATCGCTTGGGCAGTATGCAATCCATGCATTAGAGACATAGCACGCCAATCCATCAGGGTTAGATTGATGAGCGAAAGCGCCCCACTGTAAAGCACACCCGGTATGTATGGATCAAAAAGACCTCTGGCTTGTTTTTTCGTTGGTGAGAAGTCCATAACCAAAAATCGACTATCTAATAATGTCGGGTCGATCAAATCTTCCATCCTCTGCGTCATCTCTGCATTCTCAACAATAAATTGTTCGTGGGTTATTTCCCCTTTTCCCTTCTTCGCAAATAACGTCGACATGTCTCTACCTATGAGACGCACTGCCGAAATCTGATGCTCTATTCTCCATACTAAACTGTTCGGGTGCATGGCGATTTGGTTCTTGAAATACTCTTGTGAACATGAAAACCATTCTCGTGGGATAGAGGCGTCAAAACCACCCATAATTCCAGCCATTACGTCGAAACGTGCATACCAGCCAAAAAGGGCGTGGCCTATACCTGTCTCAAAGATCGTTTGTGGGGTATATAGATCTATTAAGATTTCGTATGCAGCCTTTTGATGGCCTAAGAGATTCGCCCAGTCCCCAAGATATTCCTGTGAGTGATCAGTTCGTCATTCTGCAGTCGTCAGTCTATGTTCTTACCTCGATCGTTGCCAGCTGTAAAATAGCCAAGAGCGTCGCTGTAGTATGCCGAATACCTTTCCTCAGTGACTTTAAAAGTAATGATACTGCCTTGTTGTAGTATTGTAAAAAGTCTTGGATCTTTCCTTCTCGCTTCTCTACAGCATATTGGAAAGCCGAGAATCCCACGACTGCGTAAAGAAGTGGTTCACTCCGGAGGGCAACGTCCAATAACAATGTGTGAATAAAGCCCTCATGGTTGGACCTCAAGCTATAATGCATGAAGGTTATATTCTGACAATAATATGTTAAGTAAAACTGTAGATCAGCTGGCAAATGCGACCAGCTACTCCTTAGTTTGCCGGATTCCAAGTCATTTGCGAATGTCTCTTCTTCGAATTGAGAACCAGCGCCCGCCTGATCGAATGAAGAATAACCAATAGAGCCTTCTGTTGAAGGCGTCGGGGAAGAGCCTTTATCTTGTATCAATGAAGGGGTTTCCGAGCTCTGCCGTGTAGAACTTTTGGTCCGCATGGTAGGATGGGAATTTGGTGCGGCGGCATTAGTATTCCAACCATTTTCCGGTCGCTCGGTTTGGCTTTCAATCTCGTCTTCATCTTGGATAACCTCAAGACGTTCTACTTCTTGGTCCTCGTATTCATCTTCGGATGAACCAGGGCTTTCTGATGGCTTTGGATGTCCAACTTTAGAGGAATTATTTCCTGCACCCTTTGCCGAATTCTGCACATCCGGGTATACACATTCTCGATTGCCCTTTGTGCATCCTATTGTTTTGAAGTTAGCTCTGTGCTCCAAAAGATAAGCTCAAAATCTCACTATCACATTTTGGGTGGTGTTCGTCACACTGGAAAGTTAGCCCGCGTTTATTTAAAATGTAAAATGTCAAGCAGGTACCTTCACTCGTCTACTACGACAAGTATAACAGCCAGATCTTGTCCGACGATGCTTCACATGCTCAGTACCTTGAGATGACTTTCGCCGGTTTGGTTTGGGAATGGGTCCAAGCATGGTTATGTCCTGACTCCCAAAAAGGTAGTTCAGATCCGCGTAAGATCGAGCCGAACTTAGTAGCTGCTGAGAATGCCGCGCCTGAGGGTTGCTTTCGAGTTTGAGGAGATGCTGATCGGGTATTGATTGCTTAGACCGGTCTAGGCGACCTTTACCACTCATGATAGTTCCGCGCTGGAGTGAGCAAAAAGCTCCGCCCACTATTCAAATGGATCGAAATGTAAGTATTGTAAAATTTTAGCTTCCTAAGCACCTTCTACAGAACTATTTGCCCTACTGTGGAATTTAAAGCAGTTATCGGAGACACTCCAACGTTGGCGGGGTTTGAAAGGGTTTGTTGCTCAAGTGCAGTAATGGATGTGTACATGGATTAACAGACACAATTATGGAGCATACGGGAGCTGAAGTTTCGATGGTTCTGGAAGTACCCAGCTTATGCACAACGCTCTTCCGCGGTGATGTCTGGCGATGGAGATTTGTGGAACTGGTTGCGGTGTACAGTTCTTTTTGACATTAGAGTTTAAAACAGGACAAAATGACACGATACTTAATCCATGGAGCTATCGAAGGTTTTTCTAGGCATGCAAGAGCAGCTAGCTGCATCAACTTTGGGAATGGGGATGCAGCAAGGCGAAGGGGTCCCAGTTGTCCAGTGATTGGTATGATCTGATGTCAGGATGTGAATTTCCACCAAGGTTAATGTATAAAGGAAGTGGATTTTAGTCTGCAGGATTTTGCATACATAAGAGTCCTGATAGAAGGAAATGGTTTTGAGGACTCAGATTAGCTGAGTCTTGAGATCCAATTGCTAAAATAACAGAGCGAGACCGATGTGTACCTCATCAATTGTGAGAGACCCTGTGATTCGTCGTAGGCCCAAATTCTGGAAGCTGCAGCTGAGGGTGGGGTCGACCAAGGTGAGAATTCTTTTGGAAAGTGGTAAATCTTTTGTGGATTTTGGAATATGAAGAACGGAAGAGCTTTGGAATTTGGAATTTGGAACTTGGGAGAGCTGCAGTACGATGTGGAGATGGTTTTAAGGAGCGCCACATCTCCCGTCTGTGCAAAGTTCTGGCGACAAGGTCTCGGGTTTTTGTTAGACCCCGTCGAGAATATTAATAAAGAGTGATTTGAGTTCAAAAATTTCCCGTGCTCCTTTTTGGATATTGTAAATTGGAGCTTTAGAATTATGAGATGAGTAACTTCTAGGGTTCTTCGTGACGTGCACTAAGAGAATGGGGAACATCTTTTCATTCCACTACCTACGGAGCAGATGCATGAACCAGACAGGCATGGTATTCAAAGCCAAATCAACTTGGTTACAAACTCCCCACAGAATTATCTAGTGAGTACTTGCTCCGTACAGCTACCATAGCAAAAAGCTGCAGGTTTTGGTCACTAGTTTTCCGTGGACCGCTATCATTAACTCGACAATTATATATATAAATTAGAGCAAGGTCTAAATGCGCATTCCAAGAATTCCAGAATTCCAGAATCCGACGATCCCAGTTTGTAAAAGTCTCAACATAGGTACCATATACATCGGAATATAGGGCATACCCCAGCACATGGACCTGGTAAAAACATATACACTGTATTAAGATGCCAGGCTACTGGGTACATGAAGGAAGACCTTGGTATGCGCAGGGTGATGCTCCAAGCCGGGGTGGAATTATTATTGAGACTGAGTAATAGTGTTTTCCTCCTTGAGTGGTCCGACTTGATTAGCAGCTGCGGAATGGTAGCAGTAAATGTCGAGGGAAACACTGTATCCGTATCGGTAGTTGCGAAAATAATTCACATCCAACGTTCTCCAGAGTCCAGCCAAATATAAATTCGCGTGTTGCAAATCTTGCCTATTGACCAACGTCGACATTCGCACTCTGCCAATGGTTCCATTCAGCCTGTAAATCTCAACTAGGGTGTTATCTCACCATCGGAAAACAATTACCTCAATCGCCCTTACCAGTTCCCAAAAGCTTTCCAGTGCATAGCATGGCCGGAGTTCATACCACAAGCAGTAAATCGGTGGCAGGAAGTCGACAAGGTATGGACGGACCGACAATCGATCATGCCCGAACCAATGTGACGGGACATCATCCATCCGTTAATTAGCTCCTTACAGAACGGAAATGAGTATATATGCCGTGTGAGCTAAAGGACGGCATGAATTTGGAGAGAGAGCGGATATTCAAGTATAATTCTAAATCATGATGAATACCATATGCCTCGGAACTTGGTGTTGATGCCAAACAGCGAAGTAGTATGGGCCCCGAAGTAGAGTACGGAGTATATCATTGTTGCTCTAGCTTGGCGCAACAACAAGGTTGACCTGGGCTTATCCTGCATTGTGTGTAGCAAAGAGGAAGGAGGGGAGCATGGTTGCAGAAGACTTTCATTTATCCGTACGGAGTTAACTCGAGTAGAATCTGTACAGTGTAGATCAATAGAAAAGCCGTATATTCCGTATCATGAACCACAGATGGAAAAAGATGGTGACACAAATGATGATCATTATTTGTTCCCAGCCATTCAATATGTACTAGGTACTTACTAGGTACTCAAAATAATAATTACGGCGTTTGATAGGTGGATGCGATTTTGAGGAGGGAAACTTAGAGTGTATTGATTGGCCTTATGCGCTAAGGTTCAAGTCAGGGTAAGGTTAGTGTTACACATTGAAATAAGAAATTATATTTTCTTTCTACTTTTACACGTAACACCAGTCATGCACCAAACCCAAATTTTAGTCCTGTGTTACCAGCAAGAGTGCATCAAAAGTCGAAACAAAGCCTAGGTAATTATATGTTGTAATTCTGATTTACGTGCTGCTCCTGGCTTGATATCAAGTGGTGAGGTAAAAGACCCCATTACAAATTCTTGACTGATCATTGCAAATTCCTTGAGAGCCAGGATCTTTGTATTTGAGACCCCTTGGAAGATACAATGTAAGACTTCTATAAAGTTAGACAGAAAAGTCTGAATGTTCTATCATTCACGATGGATGGTTAAACATTTCCCAACTCGAAGGTTCAACTGTATCGGTCTGGGTTTATTCCATATATTTGGATCTATCCACTAATTATCTACGGACATCACCCAGCAGGTTTCCAAGGTCAATATGGGTAATTCCACCGGTGGAAGCACTTAGCGCTGGCTTTCCTGTTACCCCAGCAGATACGAAACTACATTTATACTCGTACACATTCGTAATTTAATCCAGAGTCCGTAATAATTGAGACTGGAATATCCCTTATTCCGCTTCCGCCTAATGTATGATCAATTGCATACCAGCCTCTACTTCCAGCCTGCAAATGCCGCGGGAGAGCTCGTCCACGTACTGTTTTTAAAGGCCAGGATCTTTGTGAACACAAATGAAGCCTAAGTGGAGACTTCACCAGAGGATTAGTTCACTCTGTGATGATGCATAGCATGAGCTTGGTCAGATTTCGGTAGTCTATTCATCCTGCCGTACCTGTCATACTCCTCGTCGACACCATTTGAGCGAGAGTGCCATACCATTTCAAGTGGTCCACTTGAAGTGGCAAGGGTTGGCTAACTTTCTTGTCTTTTCCAAATCACCGATGTCATATTGACAGTAAGAAACGCTGGTATATAATACAATACTTCCCATGATTCTGCTCTGGACAGTTTCGATTCCTAGCTGATAGGCTTATGGCCTTGAACCGCTACCATTCATTGAATAAATGGAGTGCAGTCTCGATAACCTGAAAATGGTTTAATACTCAAAGGAATAAAAACCCTGCTAACGTCAGGCATGTAACAAACCTCACTTAAGTAGAGAGCGGGTTTGTCCCTTGATGAACATTACAGATACAAAAACACCACATTCATGTACACACAACACATTCATCAAGTGGTTGCAATGGGGTTGCAATTCAAGTATATCTGCCAACAAGTGTTTTGGAAGGGCTTGTTCAAAATCTATCACAATGCCTGATATCTCAAAAGAGTGAAAGACATCTAAGCGAAACAAAACCACCATGAGCTTCTGAGGCTGGACGATCTTTAAAAGGAAACTTCAATATTCCACCTGTGGATATGAAATGCTGAAATAAAACAAACACACGAGGGAATTCCTCAATCAATGAAAACTCTAACAAAAGGTCTAAAGTGTAGGAAATAGTGCCCGAAATAGCATTGAACCTGAGAACGCGAAACTCCATTGGTGACATCCCATTACCCCTGATCTCCTTCATGAGAGCATGCCAAAAAGAACAAAGAGGATATAAAAATTCTTGGATCAACTCCTAACTTGGACTCCCTCCACTGGTGCTGCCCTCCAGATATAGTGCAAGGCCATTATCTAGAGAAAGATAACTGATTGTTTTGATCCGTGTTTGTGACTTTTGTTGTCTGTTACGTCTCCCAGGGCACGAAATTGCCAAAGTCATCGAGCCATCTAGCTGAAATCGTGTTCTGTGCTATGGGTCCTTCTGTTCCTTGATTTGTGTTGGACTGATTCATCATATCGGTTTGATTCATATCGGTTTGATTCATATCGGTTTGATTCATGTTGTTCGGATCCATGTTGCCTGGATTCATGTTGGCCTGACTCATCTGTGGATTGGTTTCCACAATATCTCCGAGTTTTCCTTTTATTTTGTTGAGGTTTTCATTGATAATCTCCCTCATTTTTCTGTGACGTACTCTCAAGGGTCGATTTTCGTAGAAAAGGCTTTCTATACCTCGCATCCCGCACGGTTTGCCTCTGGTCGTTGACATTTCAACTGCTACATCTGTGAAGATTTTTCTCTTTGAATCACCCGGAGCCGGTGACCAACCACTATCAAATATGCTAATCACGTTGCCATTGTATGAAGTCGTCACTGTACGCTTTTCGATATACACCACCAGCAAATTTAACTCCTCCTCGCTCATTTTAACTTTAGTCATCGTAGCAGTACTTGTGTTTGTTTGGGAGGATCGAGTGGATGATTCTCAATATTGAATTGGTCGGCCGATTGCTGAGCCTTGATGCACTGATGTGTATCTCGAGGAAGTGCTTGATATGGAGATGTGGATACTGAATGGTGATAGTGTGGGAAGTAACTTGTTTGATGACAATTGTGTTCGTATTGAAGGGTGAAGCGTGGGTTGAGATGTCTCCATGGTGGTATTGGTGATAGTGTGGGTTGGTGAATTGTTTTCTGAGCTTCATGTTTGATTATTTACTTTTGATTTTTGAGTTTGAGTTAATTTTGAATATTGAGGGAAAGTGCATACTTTCAAGCACATTTTGTATGGCTTTGGGGAGATTTGAGGGAAGAGCCATGACTGGAAATACACTCGGTTTGTGGCTATGATGAATTATCTGAGTACTAAAAGGTTGGTTTGGCTCCAAATCAACTTGATTACTTCAGAAGGTGACCTTTATGATTTAGGAAAGATCGATAGCTGGCTGGAAATGGCACAACTTTGGTGTGTTTTGTTAAATATTTCGCTCAATTCTCTATAGTAAAATTAATTAAATAGTTGACGTGTTTATGATTATAGGTAAGCTTATTTGTGATTTAAAATATTTGGAAAACTATAAACAATATATATAATATTCTATTAGTAAAGATTTATAAAAATTATAAATAAAATAATATATTAAAAGATTGGGTGGAAGAGGCCTCTATATTGACTATATTACTACGTGTGTAGGCATATTAAGATCTCCTCTTGGTATCCTCGGAGGGGACCAATATGCCTGCTTATGGTTCATCTAATCTAGCCTGTTTAGGTAACCGTATTACTAATCACGACACGTGATTAGTACCGGTAACTTCTATTCCTTTTAACATAATATATAATTTGAAATGTATAATATTCACTATTAATCGTATACTATATAATTATAATATAACGTAACTTGACTAGAAGTGGGTCATGTCATGGTATGGGTCAGGTACCTTTACACCAAAATTTGTATGCAAAGGTACTTAGAACGACTTTTTATATCTCTATGGATATTAAAGATAATTTTATTTTTTTTGATAATTAGGCTTGATATCTAATAAAAATATAGTATTAAAGTTACAAAACACTTTTTAATAATATTGTTCTTGAATTAATACGATTTTAAAAACTCCCATAGTAATTTTTGTTAGACAAAAACGAAAATTTGAAAGAAACTTTAATATCTTTATTAAAAAAAATTGTATCTCTATAATATTGTGACCAAAAGGGTGTTTATAGACCAGCAATTGTATTTAACTTAGAATCTACAGGTGAAGAGCACCTGTAGATGGGGATAGCTACTCTATATATACACAAATGAATGGCCTAGCCGCAATGGCTAGGCAAAAAGAAGTCATATTTATTCCTCCAATGATCTTACTTTACCGATAACCATTGATACCTAGTACTTGTCCGGATCTGATCCTCAGGTCACCTAAATCGCATACTAATCTCGAGTAATCGTATCATGTGTGGACATGGTTAATGTACCTGAGGTTTCTTATATAATAAAGGTGGGAGGAAAGCAGGGATTTCCGTCACAAATATTTTATCATATTAAATATTTAAATTGAATATATCATACTTTAAAATATCGAAACTATATCTCTAGTATTTATAGAGTTAGAAAAATTCGCTCTAAGTATCTTTACATACAAATTTTGGTGTAAAGGTACCTGTCCCATATCATGACATGACCCACTTCTAGTCAAGTTACGTTAAAACAATAATAACACCTCAGATTATAATATACTCACTATAAATGATAAATTGATAGTACTCAAAGTAATCAAAAATTGCTATATATATTACATAAAACTTCACAAGAGAGTTCAAAATTGGAATAATGATACATGATCAAGGAATTCATTCTATTATAAATTGTCCCCCAACCTCCTTCCCCTATACATTAGACATCCTCATTACCTGGTGAACATCCAGAAACGACAAGTGCATCCTGATAAGCTAGCCCTTGTTTCCCTCGCAGTTATTGTAGATTAGGACAGGATCTGGAGCTTATGGTAAACATAGAAACTCAATCCTACTTTTCAACACACCATATCGGCCAGCGGTATACGTCTATCTGACATGTGTGCATGGGGCCTCCGAGAATTCTCAATGTTCATAGCCCATGAAACTCCACCCGGGAAAGAGATTCGATCCCAGTCTCGCTCTTACCATTAAAAGAATATGGGCGAGGGCGGAGGGCTTTCAAGTGAGTGGATTATCACCCACCAAGGCAAACGGATTTTCTATGCTCGTATTCTTCAGAGACTTGTGAAGTCTGTCAAGGAAGTTCAGCCCAGGTTCCTGGAGCATGATGATTAATATATTATACAAGGTACTTGAAGAAACTGAAATTTAGGTTCTAGCAGCTTTCCTCTACAGAGTTTTGAATACTCACGTGCGGTTTAACAATGAGGTTACTATTTTCTGGTCATCACACGAATGTTTCTATATCCGAATACTATTTGGGCGTCGAAGGGAACGAATACCATATACCAGGTGATACATACAAAACTGCCACAAGAAGATATTGAACAATCTAAGATGTCATTGTTTGATCAGTGTTCTTTTGCTCTAGCACCACCTCTCATATATCTAGTAGTCCTCTTAGAAACTCAGACAAGTTCCCGTTATACCCATTTAGAATCTAAATACTTAATTTTACCTCGTCCTGTCCTACGCAACCATGAGGTTCAAAACAGTGATAGACTCAGTATGGAATGCTTCCTAAACTGTTCTCCGAATCATCATGCCAATTACCTGTCTTCTGTGCCATCCTGGCTTATTCTAATTAACTTACCATAGCTGCAGTGAGAGATGTACATAGTACACTTCAATACCGTGGGAATATAACGAATGTTTGCACCTGAGTGATTGATGGTATTCTGAAAGCTGCCGATATTAATAAAAGCTGAAAATATTGAAGCACACAGAGAGGCGTGGAGGGGATTGGAGGGGTACGGAACGGAATAAACAATTTATCCGAGTTGCTGCAGAACCCAATTTCTGTTTACTCTCACGCGCAAATCAAAATATCGATATTTACGACTTCACGACCAACGACATTACGACTCAACGCAGCCATAATGAGGGTAGTAGAAGTAATTATAGATGTAATGCCTTTTTCCCGAAAGTATTGGACTGTTCAGCTAACTCATTAATAGGGTTTCAAATCGTACGCTGTGCGTACGGTAATTTCAGGATGGTAAACAATGCAAACAGAAGGTCATTTTACTCCAATACTTACACCTGAGTTTAGGGACGAGAGTTTTAATTCAATCACTGGTCTCAATGGAAGTGGTAAATCAAATATTCTCGACTCAATATGTTTTGTTCTTGGAATTACAAACATGACAACAGTTCGGGCGCAGAACCTTCAGGTACATCACAATCCCTCACATGGGTGTAATATGTATTGACGGGCCTCTTTAGGATCTTATATACAAGCGCGGGCAGGCTGGAGTGACAAAAGCTAGTGTGACGATCGTTTTCGACAATCGAGACAAGAAGAAATCACCCATTGGGTTTGAGGAATATGCTCAGATCAGTGTTACTCGACAAATTGTCCTTGGGGGTACTAGCAAATATCTTATAAATGGACATCGAGCACAGCAGCAAACGGTGCAAAACCTTTTCCAATCTGTTCAGCTCAATATCAACAATCCGAATTTCTTGATTATGCAAGGACGAATTACAAAAGTGTTGAACATGAAGGCGGTTGAAATTCTTGCCATGATTGAGGAGGCGGCTGGGACACGAATGTTTGAGGATAGGAGAGATAAAGCTTTCAAAACTATGGCTAAGAAGGAAATGAAAGTACAAGAGATTACCGAGTTATTGAAAGAGGAGATCGAGCCAAAGCTGGAAAAGCTGCGGACAGAGAAACGGGCATTCCTAGATTTCCAACAGACACAGAACGATTTGGAGAGGCTTACACGGGTAGTAGTCGCACATGACTACCTGAAGAATCAAGAAAAGGTTGCACAATCAGCCAATGATCTCGAGCTTAAGAAACAACGGGCGATAGACTTGGAGGAATCGGCGAATCGATTGAAAAGCGAAATATCATTTTTGGAAGAAGATATCAAACGGGTGAAGACGCAGAGGGAAAAGGAACTAAAGAAGGGCGGAAAAGCGCAAGCTTTAGAGGAGGAGGTTAAGAAATATTCCCATGAATTGGTCCGGCTTGCAACAGTAATGGATCTCAAGAAATCGAGCATGACAGAAGAGCAGGAACGAAAGTTGGCAACTCAAAAGACGGTCTCGGAGATGGAATCTCTACTCAAACAGAAGACCAAAGTTTACGAAAAACTCCAATCCCAATACGACAAAGCCAAGGAAGATCTAGAGAAACAAAATTCAGAAGCGGAGACGAAAGAGGAGCTTTTACAGAATTTACAAACTGGTGTTGCGTCCAAGGAAGGCCAAGAGAGTGGATATCAAGGGCAATTACAAGATGCAAGAAATAGATTGAGTGCTACATCTACCGAGCAAGAGCAAGCCAAATTGAAGATCAATCATCTTGAGAAGCGAATCAAGGAAGAAGAGCCAAGGGCCAAAAAGGCTAAAGAGCAAAATGCTGGACTACTGAGTGACCTCGAGGGATTGCGGTCCCAAGCGCAGAAGCTCGAAAAAGAGCTTCAAAAATTGGGCTTCGAAGCAGGCAAAGAGGATGACATGTACAAGCAAGAATCGACAATTCAACAAAATATCCGGAGAATCCGAGAACAGTCCGATGGCTTGAAACGTAAAGTGGCAAATGTGGATTTCAATTACGCAGACCCTACGCCAAATTTTGACAGGTCGAAAGTCAAGGGTCTGGTGGCTCAACTGTTTACAATCGATAAGAACCACACAGCTGCGGGAACGGCTCTCGAAATCTGTGCTGGTAGTCGATTATACAATGTTGTTGTTGACACAGAAGTAACCGGTACCCAATTACTCCAAAATGGAAAATTGAGGAAGCGAGTCACCATCATACCCTTGAACAAGATTGCCGCCTTTCGAGCTTCAGCGGAGAAGATTGGTGCTGCACAAAAAATTGCTCCAGGCAAAGTTGATCTCGCACTCTCTTTGGTGGGATATGAAGAAGAAGTTTCGACTGCTATGGATTACGTTTTCGGAAATACCCTGATTTGCGCAGATGCCGCTACAGCCAAGCGTGTAACATTTGATCCTTCTGTTCGTATGAAGAGTATCACTTTGGAAGGTGACTCTTATGATCCTTCTGGTACATTATCAGGGGGTAGTTCTCCCAACTCAAGCGGTGTTCTAGTCACTATGCAGAAGTTGAATGAACTTAACAAGGAACTGAAGTCACAAGAGGCGGAGCTGGCAGACCTTCAGGCCACTATTGCCAAAGAAAAGAAGAAAATGGACCAAGCACGAAAGATCAAACAAGAATTAGATCTTAAATCTCACGAGGTCAAGCTCACAGAAGAGCAAATCGGAGGTAATTCTTCGTCATCCATTATCCAGGAAATCGAAAATATGAAGGCCAGCATTTTCCAACTCAAGCAGGATATAGTGGAGGCAAAGAAGCGACAGGACGAAGCTAGTAAAGATATCAAACGTATTGAGAAAGATATGAAAGAATTTGACAATAATAAAGATGGCAAGCTCGTTGAATTGCAGAGCTCTCTTGATTCCCTGAGAAAGGCACTTGCCAAAAGCTCGACGGCTGTCAAGGCACTACACAAAGAACTACAAAGTGCGCAGATGGACTCGGAACAGGTTGGTGGTGATCTTTCAAATGCTCAAGAACAGCTTCAAGAAGTCGAGCAAACCTTAAAAGCCCAGGAAGAGGAGATTGCAAGTCTAATTTCCGAGCAAGCTCGGGTCAAGGTCAGTAATCATCTCATAGGCACATGTACGAAGCTAATCTTGCCGTAGGATTCGCATGATATATCACAGGCACATCTCGATGATGAACGAGCTAAATTGACAGGATTCGATGATGAATTGCATTCTCTTGAGCAAGCATCACGATCAAAAGCTTCTCGCATCACTGAAGAAGGTCTAGAAATGCAAAAGCTAGGTCATCAGATTGAGAAATTTCACAAGGAACAGCAAGCGGCCGTTCAAACAGTCTCGCAAATGGAGAAAGAGCACGAATGGATTGCTGATGAGAAAGACAACTTTGGTCGAAGTGGAACACCTTATGATTTCAAGGGTCAAAACATTGCAGAATGTAGATCGACTTTGAGAAATCTTACCGAGCGCTTCCAGGGAATGAAGAAAAAGATCAATCCTAAGGTTATGAACATGATTGATAGTGTTGAGAAGAAGGAAGTAGCACTCAAGAATATGATGAAAACTGTCATCAGGGACAAGAAGAAGATTGAGGAAACCATCAGCAGTCTCGATGAATATAAGAAGAAGGCTTTACAAGAGACATGGCAAAAGGTTAACAAGAACTTCGGTCAAATCTTTGCCGAATTATTGCCAGGTAGTTTTGCAAAGTTAGATCCTCCTGAGGGAAAGACTATAGCCGATGGATTAGAGGTTAAGGTGTCACTGGGCAAAGTGTGGAAACAGAGTTTGACAGAACTGAGTGGCGGGCAAAGGTATGAGTTTCTTCACATTTTGCTACTTCTGCGTTTACTAACAATCAATTACCAGATCACTCATTGCACTTTCACTCATTATGGCGCTATTACAATTCAACCCAGCACCGATTTACATTCTTGATGAAGTGGATGCCGCACTCGATCTATCACACACGCAAAATATTGGTCGTTTGATCAAAACTCGTTTCCATGGTAGTCAATTTATCGTTGTCAGTTTGAAAGATGGCATGTTTCAAAATGCCAATCGGATCTTCCGAACTAGATTTAGTGAGGGCACTTCGGTGGTACAAAGTTTGACGGCGGCAGATTTCAATTGATTAGGTTTATGTTTGGTTGGAGTGGATGATTATATGGCAGGTGGTTTGATTGTTTGTTTTCTGGTTGGATGGATGGATGGATGAATGGATGAAGGCGTTAGTGTTGCATGCGAGGCGTATTTGGATTGGGAGCTTTGGATTAGGCGACATCCTTTGATGATTGAATGGAGTAGGAAAGGAAAAGGAATTCGAAGTAATGACTGGATGAATGAGTATGAATCTATAGATACATAACTTTTGTGTAGATATATTTTGGAATGATGTTTTAATGATAAAATTACATATTCATTTTTGAGTTTTTGAACTCTTCCAAACTTGATTTATATGGTCTGTCTTGCCCTATAGGATTTCTTATTACCTATTACCTCTCCTCCATTTCTTCATTCCTACCCTGCCCTGCAATCTTCCACCTTGTGGTATACTTACAGATTTCGTATTATTTATGATGTGAGACTGGAGTTTTGGTATGCAATTCTGTAGTTAGTTAGGTAGATGCTTAGGTAGCTATGGGTAATTCGAATAATCTCGATTGTTTTGTATGTTTGTGGATTAGATTAGATAGATTGGTTAGGTGGGAAGGTGGGTAGGTAGGTAGGTATATATTATATAAGTTTATATGTTTTATGATTTATTTGGTTTGTGTATATGTTTGTATGTAATATATGTATCCTAGTGATCTTCTACCGACTTGATTTGATTTGATCGGGTTACTATGTATGAGATGGTTAATAAAGAGAGAATTGGTGTATGTCGTATATAAGATATTTACGAGTACGAAGTACGAGTAGGGAGGACTAGCTACTTTTGGGGGATTTTTTTGGAGGAGGGGGAATGGGTTATTATGTTGCTTTTTTGCGTAGTTTGAGGGATTTATATGGATGGATATGGATATATACAGATGAGTATAGGGATGTATAGATGTTTTCCGGGCTAGGTTAGGTTGGGAAGGAAGGGACGTGAAAGAAAAGGAGGGGGAAGGAGGAGGGGGGAGGTGCTGATTATCGAGTACTAAGACTAGGTTAGAGATTAGAGATAGGGTTTTCATATGTAAGATTATGTTAGTTTAGTTTTATTTTATTTTTATTTTTAATAATTAATAATATAGTGTGATAGGGAAGTGATAATAAAGAAGCAAAAGTTCGGAAAATGGAATTTTAATTTTTTATAACTCGGATAATTCGGAAATCTTCTCTTTTGCTTTTGCTTTTTTTTCAGACTCGGATTCGCTCTCGTACTGGGACTTGCACGCGGACGCGGACTCGGGACTCGGTTTGCTGATTCTGATTTGCGACTTTACTTTGCTTGGCGTGTGAGGATACTCGGATTTTCGCATTTTGTACGAGAGTTACGTGTGTATATGGACTGGATTGTATTTGATATATGTGATATGATATGATATACGGATGTATGGATGTATGGATGTATGGATGTATGCTATAGGATATAGGATATAGGATGTAGGATATGCGATATACGATACGCGATATATGCTATAGGATAAAACAGGGCAGAGTACAGCACGGTATAGAACGAGATTTCCAGAAGTGCGAAGGATGTCTTACGAGGTGGGGAAGATGGGAGTTAGGAGATGGGAGTTGGAATGATGGAATGATGGAGTGATGGAGTGAGTGAAGAGGAAACGGACATTTTATTTGATAGCCGCTGGAGGGGGACGGGAACGGGAACGGGGATTTGGATTGGATTGGATTGGATTGGATTGGATTGGATTGATGATGGATAGATGGATAGTGATAGTTTTAGATTTTTTCCGATGCTTTGCGATGTGCTAATTGTGTACTTGTATTCTTGTGTGCTTGCATAAAGGGTTGTATGTGCTTTGCTTGTAGATTGTACGTAGACTGTAGATCATAGATACGTACTAGCTATAGATAGATAGATTGAATTTGGAATCGCATTTTCCTTCTTCGAATCGTTGATATGGTAGGTAGGTATGGTTGGATGTTGGATCTAACGGGTTTTGGAGAGGGGTTATTTTAGGGCTAGATATTAGATATTAGGTAGTAGGTAGTAGTTGATACTTGGGTTTGTGGTTTGGAAATTTGTGCTGGGTATGTACCTACTTACCGTAGTGTGCTGGATTGGGTACTCCTATTTTTGGATGTTGGGTATTAGATATTAGATTTCACTAGAATATTAGATGGTTCTTGGGCCCAGTTATTCGATTTGGTGAGTGGATAGGGGGTTTGCGATTCGAGTGGTTGTGTGGAATGGGATTGCTATCGGGGATGATTGTGGGCTTGTGATTAGTGGGCTTGTGATTGTGAATTTGATTGTGAACTTGATTGTAGGCTTGTGATTGATAGAATGATAGAATGAATGAATCCTTGAATCGTACCTTGGAATAGGGGTCCTGGGGCGTGAATGATCCCCGTTTTAAGTTTTGACATCAATGCTGAAATGCCGAGGAGTGGTTCAGTTGATTTTGTGGTTTGTCTACACCACACCCCTATACCTACCTATATTGTTATATGACGTGTATCGTATTTCTTGAATTGAGCATGAAGATTATCCTTCCCAATTCGTAGCTATTTCATGCTTCTCCTGGAGGTATTCTCTTGTACGATAACCTGTCACATCATTCATAGGTATGCACTTCACATCCACATTCACATTCATATCAATCATTCACAAAATAGTTTCAAATGTTCCTCACAATAATTAGTCAGGAAATTAAAAAAGCGTAAAAATACATTGTAAACCCCTACTTTGCTGAAAATCTCACAGGGGTTACATTCGTCTAGAAGGTCACTAGTGTGAAACTAATACCTGCAGACTCCAGAGATCTGGAAATTTCTGGGCAGGGAAGGTAGCCGAGACCCTGGAAAATGCATAGGTACGTTGGTGGAGAAGTATCAGATTGTCAGAGATGATAGGAGAGAAATACATAACGTCAATTTGTATTGTGGAGGATTACATAAATCAAGGAAACAGGAGAGAGAGTACTTGATTGATATATATACGAGAAATAATAGCACATACACATTAATAGTATAAAATGTATGGTTGATTTCTACTGGTCTATAGCTACCTACCTACTGTTCATACTCAATCACAATGAAATGAATCATTCATTCACCCATAAAATAATAAACCCAACTCTTTGCACAGCCCATATAATCTATAGATGATCCAAAAGTGGAAACGCCCTCAATTGTCCTCTTGGCCCTTCTTATTCTCTTGGCTTTATAAATTTGAGTTTTTCATCTCCTAATTTCACTCCAATTATCCCGGTGCATTTTAAAAGACTTAATCTAAGTTTGGCTGAAGAGACGTTTGAACTTTGGGTCATCTGGATCATCTGGGTCTGTAAGGTTGCGCAGTATCTATCAATCATAGATGATAGAACGAACTTGGAAGGAATATCGTTGACAACTGACCGAATTGGAACTCCTTTCTCCAATTGTAATTGCCCCTCTCATTCAGAAAGGGTCCCGTTTGGAATACCTTGGACCCTGAATTGAATGGAAACGGACTCCTTTCTTTAATTGTAGAGTATTCAACGACACCCATTCAGTCTCCATCAAATCCTCCCTCGAACCCTCTTTACTCGTAATCTCACCCTTTAAAACCCCACCTGAGAATCACGGTAACGCAAACCCTAGGCAATTATATTTGCACGGCTATCAACATCTTCCCGAATTCTTAAAATCCTCCCTATACAAGTGGTGTTACTCTCTGTACCACTCTTGTCCTCCCTCCATAAGATATTACGTTCAAAATCTATCCTATCTCCAAAACCCCCTGTTTGTGCACAGGAAACAACCGCGCACCATCTAAGTTCTCTCTCCACCAACTACGAATATCAAACGTGTGTCTGGCTGGATCCAAGTCTATCCGCAAGGAACTTGCTCCGACTCGGTTTAGCGCGAGATTCAAAATTAACCTGGATTCATACGATAAGTACGGATACGCTCTCTTATTTTAATTCATTTTATTATTATTATTACTACTAGGAGTACATCATACTATTAAGTAACCCACGAAATAAAACTCTAAGAGAGAAACTTTGTGCTTAATTCTTAAATTGATTTGATTTGGAAGATCTTGTGTTCCGACTTGTTCACACTAGTACGATCTTACCTAGCCAGAGAAAAAGGGCTGGTGCGAGAGCTATCTCAAAGTCAAACGAACGATACCTCTCCTCTCCTCTTTCCGCAAATTCATTTCAATTCACTCATCCTCTTTCGAAAGTTAATTATTTTTTGTATTACGAGGTGCTGCTTCTTCTACTGCTTCTATTACAACTTTACCCCTTCAGTTTTCATTCTTCTCTTCTTACGCTCTTTAACTGCATCTTCCATGTACATTATCTGGTAATACAAACCCATTTCATATCATAAAGGCAATTAATAGCAGCAAGTTAACATTTTTATTAGAATTTAGATAACACAGAAATTGTGTTTTTATTTCTCAAATCAAATCAACTCACTCACTATGTCTTCTCTCATTCAACCATATCTCGAGCTTGCCTTGGAACAACTAGAAGTTTACAAGGATCAATTGCTCGAGCAAATGTCATTGATCTCCACGACCACATATGTCCTTACGATCTTGGCCATCTGTGTACCTCCTATTGCCCTCTTGACTTTCTACGAACTCGAGCAGTCGCGACAACGTGCCGAACAACCCAAGGGTTGCAGAAAGCTCGGCTTGAAGATCGATAGTAATCTTACGAATGAATTCGATCCCAAATTTTCCGAAGGTCGTCCTCCAAGTACGGAAGAAACATCTGCAGAATGGTGGAGATTAAAGAGCATGTGGATTTATCCAGTCAAGAGCTGTAAAGGGGTTGAATTGGGTAGAGGAACCGTTATTGCAACTGGAATGGAATACGATCGTCAATTTACTTTCGCACAATTGAAAAGTCCATTCCCCGTCTCCGAAAATGATCCCGATCACAAAAAGGCCGCACACCAATGGGAGTTCATCACTCAACGACAATTTCCATTGCTGGCAAAAGTTAGGACTGAGATGTGGGTTCCAGATCAAAGTGTCGACACATATGCTCCTCATATTGATGATGTTGAGAGTGGAGGAGTTATAATTATGAGCTTCCCATATCAAGAACCTGGATGGAGAGGAACCGTCGCAAGTTGGGGTGCCAAATTTATGGGAACAGTTCCTGAAAAACAATTCCGTGTGCCATTTGATCCATCACCAGTACAAATTGAGAAAGCAGGTTATACTGTCGAGAAAATGACGATTTGGAAAGAAAGCGTTAGTGCTTTGAACGTGGAAATTGAAATCCCAGAGGAACTTAGATATTACCTTGGTATCAGCAACAAGTTGGGTTTGTTCAGAGTCGACAGCGCGAATCCTAGAGAAGTTTTCAGAAATGCGCCTGCAAAGGAGCAACTTGGGTATCAGCCAGTTACTGGATTTCAGGATGCTGTAAGATCTTCTAAACCTCAAGATCTGATGTGTGAATTATTTGCTAATTCATTCTAGTATCCCATTCACCTTGTCAACCTTGCTAGCATCAGAGATGTTGAAAGTAAAATGCCAAAGGAAAAGGGGGCACCTAGATTATCTGCAGGAAGATTCCGTGCCAATTTAATCAGTATGTTATTCTCAAAACTCTACAGATGATCCTTTTCTAATGCTAATACTTTCCAGTTACCGGACCTCCAGCTTACCATGAAGATGACTGGCGAAGAATTAAGATTGGTTTCTATGAATATGATGTTTCTTGCCGAACAGTACGATGCAAAATGCCCAATGTCGATCAAGAAACAGGAGTTAGACATCCATCCGAACCAGATAAAACATTACGAAGCTTCAGAGCTATTGATGAAGGAGCTGGTCAAAACCTTGGTTGTCTGGGTATGCAATTGGTACCAACCACTAAAAATGGTGCTTTAAAGGTCGGAGATGAAATCACAGTTCTGGAAGTGGGTGAACATCATTACCAGAAATTGTTTCCGGAATTGAACAATTAGGCGAACATATACTAGATTTGGTAATGTTTGCTTTGTATCTCTCGAGGATAGGAGTAATGGACATATAAAATAGGACCTGGTAGCAAGGAGTTTTGGTTTGGCTGGGTGGAATTACATACAAATACTTTCTTTTTTGTATTTGTTCTTTTTTTTTTTCTTTTTTGAGCATCATCATCACATACATATCTGGCAGACGGGAAGGAGGTAGGGAAACTTCTTCAAGATGTGTATTTGATGGTTTTTTTCATTCGATTGTTAATTATGCATATACAGTTCTGCTTTTTGCAACTGGGAATTGGGTGGGGTGGGGTGGGGGTGGAAGTGGAAGGAAACGAGAGGAGAACAGGAATGTCCTTTGGACATTGTGGTCCCTGAGATTGGGGGACTAAAGGGGAATAAGACTGAGGTGGTTTATGTATGTATGTATATGTATATGTTAATACGATATTAAATATACGTAATTTTTTGAGAGAGTATGAGAGAGAAGATGACTGGACAAATGTAATTTTTCAATTCAGAGGTGCTAGATGCTAGTTTAGGAAATTGAAAAATACGGTGAAGCATGCTTCTTCCGGGTTTATATTTTTATTCCCCCTAACCCTCTCTTTCGTTTCTCTTTCTCTATCTGTATCCCTATCTCTATCTCTATCTCTATCTCTTGATATATTCATCTATATCCTCTATACAGCCCATCTGTAATATATAACAAATATACTCTATTAATCCTCTATCCTCTATCTTCTGTTCTCGTTCTTTTTCTTCTTCTTCTTTCTATTTATCTCTCTTACAACATCTATCTATCTATCCACCGACTCATTCACTCATCCTATCTATCCTTTCCCCTTCCTGCCCCTTTACCCCCGCAAATCCCAAATCCCAAATCCCAAATCCCATCCCATCACACCAAACAAACAAACCCACCTAACCTCACAACTTCGCCTCTTTCTCCTTTCCCCCCTTCTCTTTCCCGTCCTTTTCCTTCTCCTTCTTTATCTCCTTCTTCCCACCACTCCCCGGTAACTCTACCCCTACGATATTTACCTTGCTATGTTCACATATAGCTAGGACTTGTCCGTTGCGGCGTTTCATTGTTCCTGATGGGTGGTTAGTTTATTTGTTTGTTTTTTTAGTTTTTTTGAATGTCTGGTTTTGGGGATGGGGGAGAGGATGAGGGGGATGGTGGGATGGGGATGTGAAAGCGGTATGCATTATAGAGGATCAGCCAGGCTATATGTGATAAAACACACAAAAGATAAAAAAGGACGACCTGACAAGAGAACAGACAAAAAGAAACAAACAATCCTCCTCCCCTCCCATTCCCCAATACCCAAAAAGAAACAAAACTTAAATAGTCAACTCACCCCTCAAAACCACATTTCTCTTCCCCACTCCACCCACCACCTCACACTCAACCAAAACATCATTTTCCCCCTCTCCTTCCCCTATCTCATCTTTAACAATAATACCCTTTAAATACGTAACGTTTAATCCTCGACTTACACCACCGCCGCCCCATTTAGCATCGCTGTATCTGCCCATTAGGGCGACGGATGTGCAGGCGTCGAAGACGGTGGAGATGCAGCCGCCGTGGACGGTGCCCATTCCGTTGCTGTTGGTGGAGGTGGGTGGAGTTAGTTGGGTTTGAGTTTGGTTTTGGGGGTTTGAAGGGGGGTTGGGATTAGGGGGATAGGGGGGGTTTGAGGGAGAAGGGGTGGGGAGGGGTGGGGCGAGTAAGGTAGAGAGGAAGAGGGAGGGGTAGTGTGATGGGAAGAATGGAAATGGGAGGGGAAAGGAGAGGAGAGGAGAGGAATGTGATTCGATGACGAGAAATTAAAAGAAAAGGAAACAACAAACCAATGATGCACCGTCGGTTTAAAAACAAACGTAGTAATATTCTCCGTATGAAGCGTCTCATCCACTGCAAGTGAAAGAGAAGGTAAGAGATCATGTCCCCATCCCTATAGTTAGTCTATTAGCTTATTTTCATTTTTATATCATCTTTTTCTTTTCGCTCTCTTAATCCTCATCTTCATTTCCATCTCCACCTTCATCCTCATCCTCGTCCTCATCTTCATCATAATCTAACTTATCTCTCTCTCCATCTACATCGTACAGCAGCAAGAAATGAATGGTATGGAGATATATAGATGGAAATAGGAGCGAAGAAAGAGAAAGGAGACAAAACACATACAATATAACCCCCTTTACTATCCTTCCACCCTTTCATCAAAAAACTCAACCGTTTAAGTCCCACATCTGTTTTTGCGTTGAAAGATGATGGGGAGGACATTCTTTCTCTCTTCCTTCCTTTCCTTCTTCTTTTCCTTCCTCTTCTCTACCCTCTAACTGTAGATACCTAATACCTAGGTAGACTAAATCACAAAACCGATTGATCGATCGATCGATCGAATGACACAAGCAACACGGGCCTATCTCAATTTCCAATTTAAAGAGAGAGAGAGAGAGTATTCCGTAAAGATATCGATATCGATATACTCCACGAGATAATAGTAATCTTACTATCTCAAAATCCTAAATAATCAGATACCCAGAGTATATATAGAAAGATGAATAAACAAAACAAAAACAAAAGTTACGCAACCCAAGGAAAAGTCTGCGGTCGATGTCTAATTCGATTCGTGGTACTATTCTATTGTAAGTAAGCCTTCGATGTTGATTGTGGGAGAGGAGAATATCACCATCTTATCATACTTATCAGGGGTCAATCAATGACATTTGAACCTCGGCATATCATATCACATATCACATCATCACATATATTACACATACTACACATATACATCACTGCACTCGTATGTTTCTAGTAATAGCACCCGCGGAAAGAAATCCGGGGTTAAGTTAATGTCATCTATTACAATTTAATTCAATTCTTCTTCACATTCTTTTTAAAAAAAATCAAAACCAAAACTGAAAAAAAAAGAGGAAAACACCCAACTAGTAATAAAAGATATTTATTTCAACTTAAAGAATTAACCTTTTTTAGAATACTTATTTAATTATATCTATTCTCTAATTACCCGAGTATATTCTAGATAGTTTTGAAGTATCTCCATCTATTTATCTGGTACAAGATCAGATTGAGCTTTATGATGACCTCAGAATTTAAATTGATATAGTATTGGATACAAATCCCCTACTTCATATCACAGCAAAAGTAAGAGACAAAGATAAAGTGAAGATGATGTGTTCAATTGCTAGTTGGCTCAAATATATGAGCCATTAACCTTTGCGAAATTAATTTTTTTCCACTCATTCTTTCTCTAAAATACATAATCAACACTCTTTATTGTGGTGCGTATTGCAATGATTGATCCATCCTACCATTCCTTGACTTTAATGAAGTCATCCTTTGACCAATTTCCCAACGCCCCGGGTCTAATAGAGACACACAAACCCACGCTCATAAAAACAAAGATGCAATTTTTGATTTGCCATGAGACAGTCTAATCATCCACTCATTAATGAAAATGCTTATGCAGCATCAGCCGATGGAACAGGTTCCGCGATGCGGGTAACCTGACTACCAGCTCGGATAATCTTTTGACCTGCTGTATCGCTGACAAAAGAAATATCTTTGTTTTCACGTTGAGCACGCTTCCAAATCTCAACTTCACATCCACCACGTAAAACACCGACACGCATAGTTGAAAGAAGGTTGTGAGCGGCGTTAGAGTGATTGTAGACACCACCATTGAAGATAGCGGTTGCATCTTTGCCAATACCGGATGTGATAAGAGCCTTTCCACCTGGATGTTCCTTTACGAAATCGGTAACGTCGTGAATAACACCAGCGACGGCAACAAGAGCACGTCCATTCTTGGCTTCGGTTTGATAAGTGTCCCAGTCGATGATTGGCAATTGCTCAAGAGGAATACCCCAGTCAAGAGTTTGTCTCTTTTGGTCGAGCTTCTTTTGGAGTTGTTGGAGACGACCCTTCTCGATTTCATTGGACTTGAATTGCTTGAGATCATATGCGAGACCGAGTTGCTTCCACATCCAGATAGACCACTTGGTTGGGTCATATTGATGCCATTCAATAGCATTACGGTAATCCGAAGGGAACTCGTGGTGGAAGTTGTGGTAACCTTCTCCGAGAGTAACGAGAGCAGTGATGACGTGATCACGAGGAGAGTTACGGTCATCGAAAGGTTGGTCACCGAGCCAATGAGCCAAGGAGTTGACACAGAAAGTAGCTTGTTGAACGAAGAAAATTCTGAGGATACCGGCATAGATGAAACCACCAAACCAGTCACCCCAACCGAGACCAGTGACGAGACATGGGAAGATCATACCCATGAAGATAACAGTCTTGATGTAGTTGCGATGTTGCCAAACGACGACTGGGTCATCATTCAAGTCGGAGATATCGGTACGGCCAATACGCTTTGGGTTTTGTTTCATGACCATCCATCCGAAGTGAGAGTATAGGAGACCTTTTCGAACGGAGTATGGATCCTTGTCGGTATCGGTGTATCTGTGATGAGCTCTGTGATCTCTGGACCACCATCTGATGGAACCTTCGACGGCTCCACCTCCAACGGCTGCGAGGAAAATCTTTAACGGGAGAGTGGCGGAGTATGAGGAATGTGCCCAAAGTCTGTGGTAACCTGAAGGAGAAAAGGATTAGATGATATCACTGCAAAGTAATAATTTGAAGACTTACCAGCTGTAATACCCAAACCGGTCATGAAATAGTAGGCGACTGCCCAGACAGCAGTCTTCCACTGTAGAGGAGTCCAGTAGGCCATGATGAGACCATAGATAGGAACTCCCACGATGAGAGTGACGTTAAGCCAGTTAACATGTTTGTACCAATTTGCCCTGGTGATTGGTTCTTCGGTGATGTGAGTCTTCTTTGGGTCGTACTTCTTATTACGATTTGGCTCAGTGGTCTTCGCCATGCTCGAAGGGTGTGAGGCAAGTGAAGCCATCTTGAGAGAATGTCGATGTTTAGGAAGAAAGCGTGAGGGAAGAAGAAAGGAATTGGAGGTGGAGGAGTAATGAACTTATAAGTAGATTGGCCCTGTTTGGAAATGTACTAATTGTACTTTCCGAACAAGGATTGTAGGGATATGGCGGATAAGGGAAGCGTATTGGCAAGGAAGTTCAAAGGACTGGATTGAATGGGTAACTCCAGTTGGGTGATCAAACAAGGCAAGGGGATGGGAGATTTTTCGAATATTTTTTGGTGGGAAAGCCTAGGCAAGAGCTAGTAAGAAAGCGTAGAAACTTCCCCTCTAAGCTTGAATTCGCCACTTTGAAGGCAAACTAGGATTGAAGCTTTATTATTATTAATAGGGTGGTGGAAAAGAAAGAGAAACGTCTTTAAATTAGTTTGGGATTTGGTTTTAGTCTCCTTTGATAAAGCATTGATGCTCGCTCAGGGTGCATGTGGATCGAAGAATTTCAAGACAATTCTATCTACGGAGTAACCAAAAAGAGGATAAATATTGAATTTGGTGAGGATTGTAAGATCACATGTAACTATGATGCTCCCATTTACCGTAAAAATGAACTGAGTTTGGAGTCTTTCCTCGGTCATTCCCCAGGTACTTTGAATTATGTGTGTTACTATCATCGCAACTGACAGGCTGTGAGTGATATCAAAATCCTCAACGTCCCAACAGATTTGGGAGCAATCTTCATTTTATTGGGTGCTTAACCGAGCTTAGGTGCATTTACAGGAATCACCCAGCGTCTGTTCGCTCCATTCCAACAACATCCATTCAACATCACCGGATAAATAAGGAAGACGAAAAGTTATTCTTTTTATGTTACGCTAAAATGTAAACAATACTTTTGATGAATATACTTACTAACTCGGGAGTCCGTACACCGTACCCAAACAGAAGTTCTATTCTTGAAATGTTTTATAGGGGATATCTTAAATGTTTCAACCAGACAGTAAATTCAATTACAAAATTGAGATTGGTTGTACGCAAGGCTACATATGAAACCTTGATTGGACCCCTAAAATAACTTTTTGGTGCCCCTCAATCCCCTGCCAACCTGAGCTCTTGGACGTTTTTTTTGGACCTGCATTGTCGTTAATACCAAAAATGGAAACCCTCTTCAGGGTGACGTTTCGATCTTTTCTTAATAGGGGAATTTATGAATAATTTACGGATAATAAATACCTGGTATTAAATTCATTTCCCTATGGCCTCTCTGCCTGGAAGCTCAATAAACTGCCTCGTCTTCACAGCAAACATCACGAACACTACTCCGTGTAATTCACTACACCACGGAAATACCGGGTGGGAGGTAATGGTGGTATTCATTCATTGCCAGTGTGTGCTCGGAAGTTCAAATCATTCTGAACCAATCAAAATATTAGAATTGAAGATTTATTAAAACCTGACACTTCACTCTCCCCAACATGGAACACGCGGGCCACGTCCGGTTTTTGCCTAGTGGTGGGCCTAAACAAATCATGAATATTTCTTCCAAATTTTTGTTGGGAAGCGGGCAAAACAGGAATAAATGTCATCGATAAGATTGTCGAGGAAAAATGTATCTTTTCTCCATAAATTTCATGCATCTTCTTGAACATACCCATGCATGCCACCTCCACATTCATTTTCACCCACACAACATGCATTACCGAGGCTGGAATTCTCGTGATCTTGCCACCAAGCCGCTCTTGCTGCATTCCTTTGAGTAACAGCTGGTTGGTCGATCCTGAGCTTGCTTTGCTTGGTTCAAACTTCATGGCATGTTGACGGAACGTGTGGGGAATTTTGTCCCAGTGAGGCAGTCAAGTGGACATCGTGAACCCACTATGCACGGCGTGGTTTGATAAGATCGTAGGGATCGCGAGGGCAAATACTTTGTTGGGCATTACGGAATAGGTATTCAGTATGCGAAAACGAGAAGCGGGGTCTCCATTTAATGCAGATGCTGAAGCTCTTTTGCAAGGTGCACGACAATCTCACGACAATCCCTCCTTTGAAAGTTTGAAGGAATTTTCAGAATCTTCTTCGATTTTAGGGAAGCTGCTTGGATGGTTGAGATCTGGAAAGGCACTGATTACTTTCAAGCGCTGTGGGTATGTGCACAATTTTCAAAGTCTTGATCGATAAGACTTGATTAATACTTGAAGTAAAGTTACGAATGATCCAGATTGCAATAGGTGGATTTGTCAAGGAGATATCCAACCCACATTCGCAACCGTAATCTCTTTAATCTGCAATTTTTCTGATGCCGCTGTATAAAGTGGTTGCTGTTCCACATTGTGTCAATCCTTCCTTTGCCATCTTAGAATGTTCACGTTCTTATCGGAAACAGATTTTGCAAACACTTCCACTTCAAGCCCTGTACTTAACATCTTGATCAGACATGTTTCAATTGATCGTTGAGACCCCGATGGAATCCTACAAGACAATCCACAACGCCAACTCTTTCGCTAATGTTATGTATTTAGAATTTCTCTACGGTTTTATGCCACCAGCCTAGGATATGATTAAGCACTTCCATCTGCATCAACCACCTTCTCTCCAACATTGCTGGTGTTATGGATGTCATCGTCGACTGCGTCAGGCTTCTTTATTACACTCTTCCATTCCAGCATAGCAATGCAAAGAGCGGTAAGACAGGACAATATTAGTCCAATCTGAAACACCCTTCGCAATGCTTCATTATACTCCACAAGGCCAGTCTCCCGTAAATTCGCAGGAAGCGAGCTAAGAAATGATGTGACGCCACTCGAGGTGATGAGACTAGGCTCAAACCCAGGGAAATTGGAAAATCTCTGTACAAGCTGGGTGTCTAGCACGTTCTGTCCAGCGGAAACGAATACAGCGGCGCCCATGAGTTGGCCGAAGAACATGAGTGCTACTCCGATTGAGACATCTTGTGTTGGAAGGACCGTCTGAGCAGCAATATTTGGTGCCTGAGAACACATGCCCGTGCCAAAGCCGTATAGGATTTGATAACCGATCCATTTCCCTTCACCTGTGTCAATTTGCAGCGTCATAAGAAGCCCAGCCCCAACACACATGATGCAAGAACCAGCGATTGCGATCGGTGTATAATAGCCAATCTTTTGAACTGCAACTCCTGCAAGGATCGTCGCAACCACCGTTGCTAGCATCAAAGGCAGCAACCGAGTGCCAGAGTCTACTGCAGAGACTCCACCTATGGCTTGAAACCAAACTGGTAGGAAGTATACTACACGAAAGATTAGCTTTTAAGATAATACAGTACTAGTGACATGCTTACTATAGATATATTGCGAAGAGCCTGTGAAGATAGTTGCCAAGAAGCCAGCAATAATACTCCGCTGATTAGCAATACGCGGAGGTATCGTGGCCGTGTTTGGAAGTAGTATTTGAACGGCGATAAAAGCCACAAAAGCTACGGCCATGAGAACTAACAAAGCTATAACTCGTCCATTATCCCACTACCGATGGTCAACAAACAAGAAAGTACAAAAGAGGATACGCTCACTCACAGCATACGTCTGGCCTCCCCATTGGAGAGCTAGAAGAAGACAAACCACTCCAGGTATTAGGACCATGTTGCCAATGACATCCAGTTGCGAAAGTTTCTTCATCAAAGCAAGCTTGGTGTTATCTTGGTCAGGAATGTTGAGGCAGAGTGAAATGATGATCACTGCCACACCACCAACGGGGGCATTGATATAGAAACACCATCTCCAGGTCACTTTCGAGGTTAAGGCTCCTCCTACTAGAGGACCCACTACTGATGCAACTCCAAAGATGGCGCCGAACAGGCCCAACAACCTGGGGCGCTTTTGCAATGGCACCGCGTGAATAATACAAACAATCTAGCGACATGTGTCAATAGCTGGGGCTGGCGGGAAATGGCAATGGTATGTCTACTTACAGCCCCATTGAAGACACCAGCAGCGCCAATTCCCGAGATGGCTCTTCCAACAATAAAAGCTGCGGAGCTCGGTGCTGCCCCACATATGATGGAACCGACTTCGAATAAAAGCACACTCAGAAGGAGGACAGTCTTCACAGCCCAGAATGTGTAGAATTTTCCGAACAATAGCTGGAATGAACTGCACGTTAACAAGTATGCGCTCCCGTACCAGCCAACATCTGGTAGAGAGCTAAATTCATCGGTTATCTGTGGTATAGCCTGATTGAAGTGAGTTAGCTCGGCTTAGGGAGCAAGTTTGAGGATTTTCTGTTGGTGTTAAATCGTGGAATTGAAGACGCACCGTGGAGATAATGGTACGGTCTAGAGCTACTAGAAACATCGTCACAAAGATCGAGACTAGCAGGGGAATTATCTGACGGGAAGATTGCTCTCGATAGGCGTCGTCAGGTTCGCTCGCGGCATGATCGCCACTCGCGATTATATCTTCAGAGCTTTCATTGTGCTGTATAGTGCTCATACGCCATGAGTTCTCACTAGTCGCCTCTCCCATTGTCTAATTTGTCCGGGTTTGTAGCGGCAAAGTCAGTCTATCGATCGCGAGTAGGAAAGGCGGAGACGTGGAAATGGACGGGTGTCGTAACAGCTAGGTTAGAACTCACGAAGTAGGACATTAATGATCATACCTCAGAAGAGGTGGAAAGGAAGCATCCTTATAATCTCCATACTAGATGGGTGTGGTTTACTCGCCAGTGGGTAATTTTGTTTCATCAAACGAAGGTTGCTCTTCGGCTTCCGAGAGATTCGCAAGCTGGGGATTGATTAACATTACCCGGAGCATCTAATATCAATGCCGTAGCTTTATTAGAGTAGCAGAACCCGCGGTGGCTCTAAAGGTATCGCGGGCAGAAGGCAGTCAATTAATGATTGGGTTTTGAAGAATGATTTACGAACTGCAGGTCAGCTGCGGGCAACGTTGCTGCAACATGATGCCGACATTGGTGTGTGTTTAAGGTCGGTTTCTCAAATATGCAGATATATACTCACAAACTCTGCATTTTAGTAGCTATATATATTACTTCTTTTCAATAAAGATGAAAGTTTTTTTCGAAAAGCAATTCGTCGAAGTAACTCTATCATTGATGAATGTCAACACTAATACCTGCTTGTTGCAAATAACGGTCAAGATATCACACCAAACGCGCATGAAGTTCTCATAATCAATGATCGCGTTAGGATTTTTAACATCTGAAATTAATCAAGTACATCCTCGTTTAAGATTTAGCATTATATTATTGAATTTAGATTTAAATTCAAGGCATTCTATGAAATAGTGATGGCGATTCCGGGTTTGTCTGCGTCTAAGCATCAACGGGTGCTGCAAATTTCCGATTGGCCAAGAATCTCCAGTTTTGGATGAGTCAGCAGATAGATCCACCTCGGCAACTTCATTGCACGTAGGTACAGCCTCAAGGCGCTTACCGCATGATTTTAAACATTTACAGTGTTGCTGAGGTCGTGAAGCCATTGGACTACATGTCAAGGTCTAACTATACACACACGCTTCCAATATCATCACATATCATCACGGCTATCATCTGATGAGGCTTTCTCTTCCCTGGTTGCTGCCTATTGCTTGGCCATCGATATCAAATTTCTGAAATTGTACATATATTTGCTTCAAAAAAGTAAATCTCGTTGTTGCTTAATATTACATCCCTGAAAATCATGTCAGAAGCATCACCTATTCCACCAGATGGGAGCATCTCAGATATGTCCCCCGCGACGTCGACCGCCACCTCATCCTCAAAACCACGACGTGTGCTTGCCTGCGTGCTTTGTCAACACAGAAAGATAAAGTGTGATCGCAATCACCCCTGTTCTCATTGCGTCAAGTCACGAGTAGAATGCATACCGGCGACACAACTTCCACGCCAACGAAGACGCAGATTTCCAGAACGAGTACTGCTAGATCGTCTTCGTGAATATGAAGATCTCTTGAGACAGAACAATATTAAGTTTGAGCCACTTCATAAAGAATCAACTGCGGGGAATGAATCTTGTCAAATGAAAGATCATAATGATTCCAATGATGAACAACTGAAAACTGCAGGGGCAAATGCTTCATCTCCTTGGCAAGCTATCAACTTTGAGAGAGCATATGGAACTACGTATGCAACCCTCAAGAAATTATATTTGATTCTTACTAAATTTGTCAGGAACATCTGGCACGCCATGAGTCAAGAAGTACTTCCAACTACATCTATGATTTGAGCTTCTTTGACTGACAGATGAATTAGTTTCGAGAACCTCATAACCATGGTGATTCTGAGGATGATGATGTGCGTGAAGTGGACGTGAAATCTGTGTGGGATCATATGTCGGAAAATGATAACTTCCTATTCGGCTCGCGTGTGACAACTGTCGACATCTCTACCTTTCATCCAGAACCAGTTGAAATATTTAGACTTTGGCAAATTTACCTGGACAATGTGGATCCGCTGCTTAAGGTCACACACACACCCAGTCTCCAGGGACTCATCATTGAAGCCGCTAGCAATGTCCGGAATATTAAGCCCAGACTAGAGGCGTTAATGTTTGGCATTTATTGCATGTCAATTTCGAGTTTATCTTCAGAAGATTGTCAGCTTATGTTCAATTCATCAAAAAAAGATCTTTTGACTAGGTACCACTTCGGTTGTCAGCAGGGTCTATTAAACAGTGGTTTCTTACGGAACAGGGACGATCGGAACTCCCTGACTGCATTATTCTTCTACTTGGTAAGTCACTTGATACGAGACACATCTATTCTTTTAGTAAAGCAGCTATCGCGTTTTGGACTGTTTTTTAAGGGATATTTATTTCTTGTCTACATCAGATCTACTGGAAAGTCGTAATGTATGCAATTTCTAACTCTTCCAGCTCTCTATTAGATCTAATTCAGTTCCTCAATCTTTGTCTTCCATGCTTGCCGTTGCCATCCGCATTGCTCAACGCTTAGGTTGTCATAACGAATCAGTATTATCTCAACTTAATCCTCTAGAGGCTGAATTGCGTCGGAGACTTTGGTGGTCACTCGTGCTTTATGATTCTCGTATGGGCGAGCTCGCTGACTCAAAAACCACAATTCTGAATCCTACTTGGGACTGCAAAATTCTACTCAATGTGAGTGATTCCGACTTTCATTTAGTGATGAAGGATCCGCCAAAAGTCCAAGGAAAACCAACCGAAGCAATTTTCACTGTTCTGCGCAGTGAAGTGGGAAATTATATTCGAAACACGAAGTTCTATCTTGGCTTCAATGATCTGCCGATAAAGCCTGCTGCCAAAGATATGCAGTATGATCCTACTACAGGAGAAAGCGAGCTCGCTGACCTAGAGAAACTGGTCGAGGAGAAATATCTCAAATTTTGTGATCCAGAAAACCCAGTACACTTCATGGCAATCTGGATGACACGAATGAGCCTTGCCAAATGGCACTTGGTAGAACACTGGCACTTTTCCGGGAAGAACCGCTCATCGAAAATAGGTTTAGTACGCGAGGCCACAGTCGCCTACGCCCTCAACTTACTCGAATGTGACACTAGACTGATGTCCTCTCCCCTCGCCAAAGGTTTCACATGGATGACCAACATGTATTTCCCTTTTCCCGCCTACTTTCAAATCGTACAAAACCTCAAACAACGTCCCCTCAGTCAACAAGCAGAACATGCTTGGCAAATCATGACGGCTAACTACGAGGTTCGATTTCGTACCATAATTGATGATCAGATCCCGGAGCCTTTCTTTAAGATTTTCGCAAAGATCATTCTGCTAGCATGGGAGGTGCGCGAACAGGCTTTCAAACAGATGGGACAGGTGATTACGGAGCCGCAGATCGTGATCAATATTCGACGGGAAGTTGTGAAATTGGGAGGGAATACAAAGGAGAGTGAAGAGGAGTGTGAAAGAACGGACACGGATATGGACGTTAATAATTTTTCTATCTTGGCGCCGATGGGCTTTTTTAGGATGGCCGAGGATGAATATGGACATGGATATGGATATCCTGGAACCGGAACCGGAACCATAGGAACGGGAGCTTCTTACACTGATACCCCCGGAATTGGATTCGTTGATGGAGGTATTAGTCAGTTGGACTGGTCGGCTATGGATTGGAACGCGTTGAATGGGAATACGCCGGCTCATGGAACAGGAACTGGAACAGGGTCATTTCCGTATTGATGGCGGGGAAAATTGGATGGATGGATGGATATTAAAAAGCAACGTTTATTAAATAGATTTATAGAAATGGGCTGGCAGTGCCAGTTTCCTGCACTTTTGCATTAGATAGAATATCACGAGATATTTCCACATGAGTAGATTGAGTAAGGGTTGGGATATTTAAATACCTAAATACCTGTTATATTATATTATATTAGATTTATACTATACTATACTATTACTATCCTGGTAATTTTATCCTATTCTATACTCAATCTTAATTCTGAAATAGGTAGGTAATCTTACCTTTATCTTATATACAAATGATCATGATAAATATAACTATTCCTATACTCATACTCATAGTAATAAATATTCTCATCAAGAAATCTCTCTAAGACAATCATAAATTTATAATTATAATATGCAGTCGTGTAAATTTTTAGTAAGATTGTCATTTCAATAACTAGCTAGTTCATTAATGATTAATTAGTTAGTTAGGTGGATGGATGAATGTTTTCTTGCGGTTGCAGAGGATGTAATCTTATAGGTTATGATATGTTGTTGGTTATGTAGATGGGAAGGGATTTGGGATTTGGGATTTGTGTTGGTTGGATTTTAAGGGGTTGATTATGTATTGGATAGAGGATGCTTGGGAGGTAGATATGTACTTAACCATAACTTAAGATAAGATGATCATCATCATCATCCATCTCATCCAAAACCCAAAATCCGCAAGATCCAATCCATTCGTGCACTTATTCTCAAAGCAGAGAAAGGATTCGAACGAGACTTTCCACCTCCTTCACAATCACTACGCTGGGATGTATCATGTCCTCTAACCTGTGGATTTGGGGGGTGGGGGGCGGGGGGGAGGAGAATGAGTGGGGCTTGGGAGTGGGTTCTAGGTGTTTATGTATATATGTATATATTCTTCTGTTTATTTTCTTAAATATATATATATATTTTGTAAAAAGGGGATGAATGGGGTAATGTATGTATGTATGTATGTATGTATGTATGTATGTATGTAAGATCTTACTATATACCAAAAATGAAGGAATGAACTAGCATAAATCATAAATCACAGTACAGAACAAAACAGAATAGAACAGACAGAAGAGAAAAATATATTCCCCTCTCAAGAAATACTCCTAAGAGCTCAAAAATCATAAATAGGGGACCATTTACCACTAACCCCAAACTCAGTATTAATGCATGGACTTCGCTGCGGAATTTAACTTGGTAACGGGATAGATATCTTTTCTCCTTAGTATAAAAAAAATGCTTCACATTTCCGCTGTCCTCCTTTGCAGCTATCATCATCACTCACTCAAATATATGGATATGGAGATACAGAAGAAATGCACAGGTTTTATCCACGTATCCTCCACTGAGTAGATATTACTTCTTTTACCTAAAACCTGAGTTGAGACGTAGACGGACTACTATGAGATGAGGCATTAACCGCGATTCATTTCCCGGGAGGGAAGGCTTGGGGGTTTTGGGGTAAATTAACACGAATAATATAATAAAAATGCGCGACGAAATCAAGAAATCACGCACTATCAACGTCCTACGAAGCAACCCGCCAGGATGTGGGAGAATCAGCTCGTCGTAATTTAACATTTGCCCTTGCACTGTGAGATTCCCAAACATGCATTTTTCTGAGGAGAATGAATATCTCACCGCAATGTGCATTTCCTACATTTTCCTATCCTATTCGCACTTCTTATGGCCAGGGTAACAAAAGAAAATTATTCTCGTAGTTGGCGGCTCTTAAAACTCCGCAAGTGCTTGAATTATCTGGGATTGATTCGGCTTTTTTTTACTGAGAATTAGATATTCCGATTATGACAAGATTATAATGAGAATGCAGATGTAAGCGGAAACCTCCAGGGTTATATCAACAGCGTGTTTGGTTTCGAAGTGGCAGATGGGGTGAAGACGATGGATAGTTTGACTAGGTAGGATGGTGATGCGATTGAGGCGGCGATGGGTGCTTAAAGCGAACCTTTTGCTACGGGGGGAAATTTCGCTGGAGGAACATTGCCCGTGATGGGATTTCTTGAGGAGGGAAGAGAGAAAACTCGAGGGTTTGTTGCAGAAATCTGGCGATGATGACGATGCGAAAGCGGATGTGGATGATGAGAGAAACATCTAGGAAATCTCATGTGTAGTTGGTTCACTCACTTCTTAGGACGCCGTCGGAGGGAACGGGAGGGTTCTTCCCTTGTGCTGCGCTTAGGAATTTCATTCCGGAGACGGCGCTGGTGATATTATCGGGAAAGAAGTACGGAAGAAAGTACGAGTTTAGGTGAGAAGGATGGTAATGTTTCGTCTGGTGATTATCTTACCCTCGCTTGTATGTTGCTGCTGTACTGTACATCCCTTATCCGGGGAAACACACACATGAGCAATTCTCCGCCACCTACCCTCCCAAAATCAATTCTAAATATCTATCGCATCCTCTTGATCTCGAGATACTCTCTCTTCACATCTGATACATTCTCACAAACAATCGTATCACCAGCTCCTCTTTCCTCGCTTCTACCAACTAGTGGAAGAAAAACCACGGGGTTCTAGAGAATATGATCCATCTAGATGCCATCAAGAATGTGTGAAGAAAGCCACTCTGAGTGCATGGCTCCCAACAAGTAAAAATTCCATGCGCCATGCTATCTTTAAAGAAAGTACGGGTGATGATCGAGAAAGTAGTTGTGTATAAGACGAGGAACTTGAGGATAGTAGAGAAGAGTATCTTTCCTTGATCCACGAGGGGTCATTGTCAGACTACTGTGTATGCGGTAGCTAAGAAGACGGCGGATTTGATGAAGAATGATTGTGCATGGATGCTTGAAGTGGATCTGGAGAGATTGAGGAATAGTTTACATTTTGATTGTTTCAACGTCATTTTCGTCGACGTTAATTTGTGGATTTTGCATAAGTGAACATTGCTTTCAAAAGCATCCTCTGTCAAAAGTTAACTGCGAAGTGAAAACACAATTCTGGAATATAACCAGCTCGTAAAGGAAGTCTCAAATCGTTGTACCAGAGCCATTCAGTTTACTGAGCTTAAAGCTTTCAGAAGTTTTGTACAGGTAAAATACTCTCCCTACGCTTGGAGGTCGAGTATACCTTGAGATTCCAGACACATTGCAACTTTGATGATCCGTGAAATTCAGTAGAAAGCACAGGAAGAAGAACAAGTAGAGAGTCAAGCAACCTTCAATAGATAAGAGATATCATACATTAATATCGTTCATTCATGTCAATTAAGATGTCTAAATTGACTAATCCATGTGAGATTGATTCAAGACTTTTCTCGTTATTTGGAATCTTAATTCGCAGGTAATCGCTCCACAACAGCTGCCATTTCCTCATCTGTGTAGATTCTGAAGCCCTTCTCCTTGGTAACACTAGCCAATTGCACATTCTTCGAATCTAACTTCTCTTCCATGACCTGCTTTAATGTCTTCAATACCAAAGTTTCTGCCTCTTCAATTGTGAGTGACTAAATCTTACGGTTAGTGATATCATGTGTATGTGGGTATCTTCTTATTATACCTTGTGAAACTCGTTCTGTAATTCAGCTTGGGCTCCTTCTGAACCTGAACCAATAGCCTTTGCATCATATCTATAAAATGTTCCACTTGGCTCAGCGTGGTATAATTGTGGTCCGTCCTCATCGTATCCAGCGATCAAAAGAGCAACACCGAATGGTCTACTCATAATACTCTCCTCACCATCTGCACCTTCACCAAATCTCAATGCCAAATCGCAAATAGCCTGAGTGCAGCTCTCGACTCTTAAAGGTTCGTTGTAGTGGAAGCTGTGATTTTGAGATTCGACTCGAGCGTGTTCTACCATTGATCGTGCATCTGCTTGAAGTCCTGACATGGCACATCCAATATGACGATCAATCTCGACAATCTTCTCAACAGACGACGTTTCGAGTAAGGTGGAAGTTACGCGCTTTTCGACACCGAGAACTACTCCACCACCAGTTGCAACTCCTATTGCCGTTGACCCTAACTTGATAGCCTCTAGAGAGTATTCGACTTGGAACAAACGACCCTCCGGGGAAAAGGTACTGATGTTATATTAATATTGACCTGAATTGTGAGATATTGGCTGTAGCTGGGTTTCGACATACTTGATACCCCGATCTGCAAAGTTGTTAGTCGATATAACGAAGACATAGGCGCCCCAAGAATGCTTCAACTAACTTACCATATTCAGATCTTGCAATAAACATCTTGGGAAACAGCCGCTGCAAAAGTAAGAGAGGGTATGTGCTGGTCGATGAAGAGATAGTCTCGAGGTAGAATGCGTTGATTGAATTCAAATACGTAAAGTGAGGGTATTCGCGGGGAGGTAAAGTCAGAAAGTTGACGGTATGAACAAACAGCTTGTTCTAGAGGGTTGGTAGCTATCAGATTTCGGAGCTACTTTAGGCAAGCACAGGCATGCGAAGCTATCGAAAGGCCCGTTCCTGAGGTTGAACTCTGAGTGACTAGATCTAAATAGGTTTAGCTTCATCTACACGTCTTTCTGGGAACTCAATTATATCAAAACGCGTGAACAAATGGAGTAGGACTTGGAGAGAATAAATTCATAGTAACGGCAATGGAGATATACGGTTTACTTTCGCATAGGTACAATTAGGTTACCAATCTCAATTCAATATATTTTCGGCTTCTTCGTGCTCATAATTTTCAAATCCAGATGTGATAATTATGTCTTCGCAAGCTAGAGTCTCTTCACAACCTGAGCGGAGGTCGAACAATGATAATGGCAGTGGCAGCTCCAGATCCCGCCCACCTTCTGCACTGGCAGGCACAAGATCCGAGAGACCAGATGCACGCCGGCGTCCTTCACCAGCACCGGCAGCTGGAGAATCAAATCACCGACGAGCACAATCGAGCTCGCAACGGAATAATAGAGGGGTAGTGGAAGAGAGAAGGACTGAACGGGTTCATGTCGGAACTCGAGACACAGTGACGTCGAGAACAAGAAGTCCTGATCGTCGCGCACCTACCGAACGTTCTACGACTAGTAATACTTCTAGATCCCGCGGGGAAGAGTTTCCATCCAGAACATCGAAAGTCGAAACCCCACCTGGTAAGATCCTTTCTGGGGTAAAATGTACAAAGTCATTCTAAACATCACGATTCTAGTATTGTCATGGGATCCTCAGGTATCATTGGTGCCTCATACGACCGCGCCATTAGCATCCAGAATTTCTATTCCACCACTTGCTTCTCAAGCTCCCCAAGCCCAACAGCCGCAGCCCCTCCACGAATTGTCTTTAGAAGCTCAAGAAGCAGCTATATTGGAGGACCTCCTGTTTGTTTTCATGGGATATGAGGGACAATATATAAGATTCGGGAAGAGTTATGACCCCCTTGTTGAAAAGGATCGTCTCGCTGGCCCCAGCTTTAAGATATTACCTGGCTTGGATCCTAGTTTACAGGACCTCACCACGACTATGCTTAAAATGGCGACGAATTACGGAGCAACTGAGGCTTTCGTTGAAGTGCAGAGCCGGGAAGAGTTTGGGGCTGTGAATCATGCATTATGTGCTGCCATGAGGAAACTCCTACATGATTACCTCATTTTGATCGCTCAGCTCGAAACCCAATTTCTCACTAATCCATCTTTTACTTTACATGTTCTGAACCTCCATACTCTCCCTACGAGTCACATGATGCTTCAACTATCTTCACTTGCCCATGAAATATTGAAGAGAAATTCCATGCTTGAGGAAGACGAGGAAGATGGGGATGGAATGGATGATTTCGAAAATATTCTAGAAAGTCTCCGGGAAGGTGGAGACCTTGGGCTTGGAAATATTCCAGGTAAAAAGATCTGCAAAGGTGGAAGTGTATTAGGTCTCATTACCAAACGATTGGAGACAATGTCCGGTGATCCAGCTGCTAGGTCTCTCCTAACCTCATTGTTACGAGATGCTAGTCGACCTTATATGGTGATGCTGAATGAGTGGTTACATCATGGAAGCATCAAAGATCCTCATGCAGAGTTCCTTGTGAGGGAACAGAAAAGTATCAAGAGGGAAAGGCTGGAGGAGGATTATACCGATGAGTACTGGGAAAGGCGATACACGATCAGGGATACTGATGTACCTCCTCAATTGGAAGGTGTGAAAGATAAAGTCCTCTTGGCGGGCAAGTATCTCAATGTCGTACGTGAATGTGGAGGTGTTGATGTAAGTAAAGAGGTGAAAGATGTCCCTCGGTCATTTGATGACAATCGATTCTTGGAAAACGTCAATAGTGCCTACGCGCATGCCAACGAGTCTTTACTTAACTTATTACTGACTGCTCATGCTTTACCTGCACGATTGAGGTCCTTGAAGCATTATTTCTTCTTAGACCGCTCGGACTTCTTTTCTTATTTCCTGGAGCTCGGCAATTCCGAGTTGCGAAAACCTGTCAAGGCTGTTAACACGAGCAAGCTTCAGTCTTTACTCGATCTTGTTCTTCGACAACCTGGAAGTGTCGCAGCGCAAGATCCCTTCAAGGAAGACATCAAAGTTGAGATGAATGATATCAGCTTGACAAATATGTTGACGAGGGTAGTCAATATATCCGGCATTGAACAAGGAGAGTCGCTACAAACTCCTGCTCAACCAGTCACAGAGAACGACAAGGCTGCTGTTGGCTTTACCTCCCTCCAATTAGATTATTCCGTCCCTTTTCCAGTGTCTCTGGTCATTAGTAGGAAGACAGTCTGGAGATATCAAGCACTCTTTCGATATCTGCTATCCTTACGCTATCTTGAGCAACAACTTGTTTCCTGTTGGCAAACACATAATCGAGCCGCTACTTGGTCTCACAAAAGCTCAAATCGGAATCTTGAGTTGTGGAAGCGAAGAGTATTTACATTGCGAGCACGAATGCTTGTATTTGTACAACAACTTCTTTACTTCTGTACATCTGAGGTCATTGAACCAAACTGGCAGGGATTGATGGCTAGGCTCAATGCGAAGGAAGACGATAAAATTGGAAAAACGCCAGCTGTGAGAACTGTCGACGAACTGATGCAAGATCACGTTGACTTCCTTGATACTTGTATGAAGGAGTGCATGCTTACGAATAGCAGACTTCTGAGGGCATGTTTATTATAATTATTGTTAAGTTAAGCTCTACTAACCACTTTGGCAGATCCACTCTAAATTGATGTCAACCTGTACTATGTTCGCAACGTTCACTTCCTGGCTCTCGAGAGAATTGGAGAAGATCGACACGGATTTGCTAGGTGCAGAAAGGCCCAGTACCATGAACGCACAACAATGGACTCGCTACCAGCGTGATCGAGGCGCTAGAAACGGCGAATCAAACAATGTGAACCCACCTCCGGAAGGGGGCTTTGATGAAACACGACTTGAAAAGATGTATGAGATCATCAAAAAATACGAGTTCAACTTTAGCAAGCATTTGCAGATTTTGCTGGATGCTCTCAACCACTATGCTGCTACAGAAACAGTAGTATTATTGGGATTATGTGCAAGGTTGAGCACTGCCAATCAAGGTACTCAGTTTAATGGCTTACGGACTGATGAAGATGGTGCGGGACAACATTAATGTTTTCATTTGGTTGGCATTGTCGTCCGTTTAGAATTTGGTATGGTATGTTGTGATGATATCCACGGAGGGGCAATATGGAGCACGGGCGTTAGTTAACACCTCCCTGTTTTATGGGCGGCATTATTGAGGTAATGAAAGAAATCCTTTGTGGTGGTTTGCTTGTATGTAGAGATATAGGGAAATACCAACTACATAGTACAACACAATTAACAAGACTCCCAGGCGATGATTGCTTGATTTTGTAGGAAAACATTGTTAGTGGATAGGTTCTGATTTCATCTAACCCACAAACTATGGAGATGCTAGGTCTTTCGTCTCCATACAGCCGGAGCATTTTAGTCAATTGTGGCGGGTGTACCGTGCCGTAGCGAGGGGCAATTTCGTCGGCTCCCGATGATTTTTGTGACCAAAACTAACCTCCACGAATTTTAAAATGTCCGGACTTGTTGGGTAATACAAACAAAACGCCGGGAAAGAGGTAGTCAAAGTACTTAGGTAATTGGTCTTGATAAGATATATAGATCATGTATTTTCCTTATCAATCTGCTTGCGTGCTTTCAACCAGACAAGTATCCCCAGAATGAAGAATTCATTGTTCAATTGTTCATTGTGAAATGTGGAGTTAATATACGATCAACCATTGGGTCGAATTTATTAGTCCTGATCATATAATATATTCTCAATTTTCTAGCCTTCTTGCATCGCTCTCGTACCTACCTTCCTGCCTTTGTACTTCACCATCAACTTTTTCCTGCAAACCTTCGTAGCACAGCCAATAAAACAATTGAAGTACATGCTGCGGGAAGTAGCAGATCGTTGGGCGCGTAAAAGGTATTTTGGCTAGTAACCTTCTAGTCCTCTTCATTCTTTATTATCACTTCAAGGATCTGGTCTAGCCTGCTAGAGAAGGGTATATCCTCACAAAAGGCAACAAAAAGGTACCATACTTCACTACTCGCCCTTACATTAATCTGCCAACCTATGTAGCCGTTACTCAGGGCCTTGATTTTGCCATTGCTGAAGGCGTTGCGGGGTTGATGTCAAATTTGACCATCGACAGGTTCTTTGCAGCCTTCACTCACCGCCCAGATATCTCTGAACTCACAATGAAATTTGCTAACATCATTGCTTTCAGGTTACATCCATTCGACTGCACTACTACTTAGAAATCCAAAACCCTCAAGATGCACATCAAAGACATGCTCGCAGAGGCCGAGAGGTCGGGCAACCCCTCTTTTTCCTTCGAATTCTTCCCACCAAAAACTGCTCAAGGTGTGCAAAATCTTTACGATAGAATGGACCGCATGCATGGACTAGGGCCTAGCTTCATTGATATTACTTGGGGCGCAGGTGGTCGCTTGGCCCAATTGACCTGCGAGATGGTGGGAGTGGCTCAATCGCAATATGGTTTGGAAACCTGCATGCATTTGACTTGTACCGATATGGGAAAAGAAAAAGTCGACGAAGCTCTCAGAAATGCCTACAAAGCCGGATGCACAAACATTCTTGCTCTAAGAGGAGATCCTCCGCGTGAAAAGGAGAAGTGGGAGGCGACCGAAGGAGGATTTCAATATGCGAAAGACCTTGTTCATTATATTCGTCAGACATACGGCAATCATTTCGATATAGGAGTTGCCGGGTATCCCGAGGGTTGCGATGACCAGGACGATGAAGATTTATTGCTAGACCATTTAAAGGAGAAGGTCGACGCCGGTGCTACCTTCATTGTTACACAAATGTTCTACGATGTCGATAATTTCATTGATTGGCTGGGAAAAGTTAAAGCAAGAGGTGTTACCATCCCTGTTATTCCAGGTATCATGCCCATCAACACATATGCAAGCTTCCTTCGAAGATGCAACCACATGGGGTGTAAGATACCGCCTAAATGGAGCGCGTCTCTCGAAGCTGTCAAGAATGACGATTCTGCCGTGCGTAACATCGGGAAGGATCTGGTCGCTGAAATGTGTCGTCGCATTATTCAAGCTGGAGTACATCATCTACATTTTTACACTATGAACTTGGCTCAGGCAACTCGCATGGTGCTTGAGGAACTTAATTTAACTCCATCGACGCAACGTCCTTTGAAGCACGCACTTCCTTGGAGACAATCACTTGGTCTTGGTCGTAGAGAGGAAGATGTTCGCCCAATCTTCTGGAAGAACCGAAACAAGTCTTATGTGGCTAGAACCCAGGATTGGGATGAATTTCCTAACGGTAGATGGGGAGACTCGAGATCTCCTGCTTTTGGCGAGTTGGATGCTTATGGAATTGGCTTAAAGGGCAGCAATGAACAAAACATTAAACTCTGGGGTCAACCAAAATCTATCAAGGACATCGCCGAACTCTTTGTCAGTTATCTTGAGAACGGGATAGAAAGTCTTCCTTGGAGTGAAGCTCCAATCTCAAGCGAAGCGGATATCATTAAGTCTGATTTGATTGAGCTCAATCGACGTGGATTCCTTACCATTAACTCTCAACCTGCTGTTGACGGTGTTAAGTCATCTGATCCTGTGTATGGTTGGGGACCTACAAACGGTTATGTTTACCAGAAAGCTTATTTGGAACTCTTGGTCGCTCCGGATATGATGCCCGAGTTAGTGCGTCGTATTCAGCACGACCCTGACCTAACATACTATGCTGTTAAGAAGACTGGAGATTTGCAAACGAACGCACAGAGTGATGGACCCAACGCTGTCACCTGGGGAGTATTCCCTGGTAAAGAAATTGTGCAACCTACCATCGTCGAGACCATCAGTTTCTTAGCTTGGAAAGATGAGGCATTCCGTCTGGGAACAGATTGGGCTCACTGTCATTCTGCACTTAGCCCAAGTCGTGGGCTCATTGAATCCATTATGGATTCATGGTACCTTGTCAATATTGGTAAGTTATTCTCTTCTGTTCAATCCTTAGATGGCCACTGATTTAACGTTAATCTTAGTTCATAACGACTTTCACAAGTCACATGGGCTCTTCCCACTTTTCGATGGGCTCACTGTAAAAAATCTCCAAGAACCTTTCGAGACTTCCGAGAATGGTGACGTTGATGGTGTACGATTTATCGAACCCCAGTCTGTCCCACTAACAAATGGGGAGGCCAATGGTCATTAATACTTTCAACATGATTATACTTTTTCAACACGATTTTACGATTCAACATGTATGAGGATGGGTCACTTTGGTTTTATGGCATTTAACATTGCATTTAGCGCTGGTGTTTAGGAAGGGCAAACTTCAACAAGTTTGGCGTTCAAAAAGGATCTCAACGATCCAAAATGGTATGGGCGGGGGTTTAAAAAGTGACAGCCGATATTTTTAATGGTATACGGACTTGTGATATCACTGCCTTCAACGGCCTTTTATAGATAGGGCGAATGTTTATTGTCCTTTTCAGTCGATTGTTACATACATCATATATGATATATCGATTAATTAAAGATTTTATCTTTTAGAATGATTTGAGATGGATGGTCTACTTGATATATTCATGGTGTGTGAGTTAAGTTTATGACCGTCTGGTAATGATGCTGTCGGTAGTTGTTAACATGGCTTTTATTGGGGTTTGTGTTTGATGTGGGCTTATTGTGCGCCTAGGTTTATTTCCATCTAGGATTCTTTCCACTTATGTGTTTAATTTATTTATGTCTCTCTCCCACCTAGGGGATTTGAGCAAAGAAGAAAGTCCCACTCGAAAGTACTCAGTATGAGGAAGTATCAAAGTATACTAACAACTTATCTACCTACCTAAATATCTCATCTCACCTGTCTTCTATTCATCCATCCATTTAGTCATCACAGTACAATCCATCCAGCCTTTGATTTCATCTAAATATCCATCACAACTCACAAAACAAAACACAAACACACACAAAAAATATCCCTTTTATAAAATTTTGATTCTTTTTTTGATTCTATCTATATAATATAATACCAACGACTTTCGCAATGAAAGAGTCATGTCGAGTACCAATCAATCATTTTATCCCATGTATCCCACCACACCCCCCAAATTTTGACCTGAGCTATGTAACGCAACGTGAAAAAGAATGAACACCTGAAAAGAGCAAAGCAACTCCCCGGAAAAGGCAAGTTAGGAGAAACAGAGAAATATGTAAAGTACAAATCCTCTATTTACGCTCCCTTTCCTGCCCCTCTGACTACCTCATCCAGCAATAAGCTGCAAGAGGTAGCAATACCAAATGTAGGTTTTTGGTCTGTAGATTTTTAAGTAATTTTCATGCTTTTGTCTTTTTGCGTGAGCAAATGCCAACCCTCTTTCTTCCGCCCAAATCGTCTCAAATGCTTTTCATCATCCCGGTCAAAGGACATCCCATCTTCCTTCCCAACAACCCATCGCAACGACGCCTCTATAAACAAGGTACCAATCAAAAAAAGCAAAGCCATCTAATGCAACGCTTAAAAAAGCTGGTATCCCTCTATAAGATTTTCTTTCATTTCCCCGCTTCCAAACTCAGAACGAAATGTGAGCTCGTCCTGTTGAGCGGGGACAACGAATGCGAACAAAATGGAATCCCAAGCACAAGTCAGGTGCTGAGGCCTCTAATCACAACTCATTCCTTTCGCCGCCAAATGCAATGCTAATGTATAAAAAACCCAACGCAAACTTTTCTTAAACCGAATATACTCTGTAGGTCTCGACGCTGTCAGATAGAGCAAAATGAATTAAAGGAAAATGCAACAACGCCCGTGCAATGCAATGAAAACCATCTATAAGCTATCCCACCCAAACGTATAATTCGTATGATTCCGCTAAATGTTGGTATGTACGCCCTGGACAGGGGAATCAATCTTTGCGTTTACTGGTCTAAACAATTGGGCCATGTCTAGTGTCAAGTTCGATACGCCGAAGTCTTTGTCAATGTCACTGACCGATCCAGGCTCCTCTCCTCGCTTTGATGTATCGGTGGAGGCCCATCGCTTAGAAAATTTGAGCAATTGAATCACATGTGTGAACCTTTGATCCGAAGGCATTTGCCAGTCAAGCTTTTGAGATAGCATACACTTCTGAAGCCAGTAAAAATGTGCACCATCGCGACAGAACCCAAAGCGGCGGGAATAAGAAGCTCCTGGGGGGTATTGAACGCTGATATCCTCATCCCACGCTTTCTTCCACTTTTCGAAGGCTGTCGTGACAGATTTGAGAAGCTGATGAGAAAGTAGAGATTGGCCATCGACAGGAGTTGCCCGCCCACTGTTATTTGCGCTTGGTGCCCCACTGCCGTTTTGATCCCCGCTCCTGATCACCCAGTCATTTTGACTTAGTGGTGTATTTGTTCCACTGTTCAAGGATGCAGCGATTTGCCCAGATTCTTGTGACACCTGTTTCTGAGCAGTCCACAATTGCACATGAAGAGCATGAACCAGAACGAATTTGGAGAACAAGTTCGTGGTTCCGGGTTGCATGTCATAAGTATGATGCATCAGAGTCTTCAGGACGGTGTGCATCTCGGGCTGCTTGCGTCGTCGGTTGCCTTCAGGGTTCTTTTGGGCTGATACCGCGGCACCATTAAGACCGAGAGCATCCGCGCACTCCGCAGAAGAGCGAGCCTCCCACGCAGCGTCATCAGCAGGAAGAGGAAGTCTAATCTCAAGTGCATCAAAAGAAGGCGCAATGTTGAAGAATATAACCAAAGCAGAATCCAGTAAGAAGATCATATAAAGTAGCCTAGATCTTTTTTCCTGCTCAACCCAAGCATTCCAATCAAAGTTTGCGGCAACAAAAGCATCAACATTTACATGGGCTTGGTGCAGAACGCTGAAAGGGCTCGTGGTCATTGGTTGTGTGAGACCAGCCCTTCTGGCTAGAGAAACAACCATGGGGAAGTCACGTCTGGCTTTCTCGCGCTGAAGTGGTGTACCATGCCATGTGAAAAGAACTTGCATCATAAATATAGCTGCGATTTGCTCAATTTCAAACTTGGAAGAGCCAATTGAATCGTTGGGATAGTCACCACTTGGTCCTCGGGAAATGATCGAATAGACTTGAGAATTGGATTCTATTACCATCTTCATAACTTCCATCATCTCGCGGACCTGAGCTGGGTTCATGCGATCAGAGTAAACCGCGCCAATGCAGATCATACCTAGTAGAAGACCTTCATAGGAATCCGTGATACGGAACGTAGGCATGTGGATGATGGGGAAATGCCCTTGGAAATTGCTGAACTGTTCAAGGAAGTGCTTAATGTTATCTGCGGAAAGAAATTTTCTGATTTCTTGACTGCGAGCATTGAGTTGTGAATGTGCGTTAAGGCAAAAGTTTAGCAATTGGCTTGAAATTTGCTGGAGTGGGTCGTTTGGAGCTGGGATGTTCCAATTGGAGAAATCAGAACTTGGGATATCGGGAGCACCTGGGTAGACAACACCATTGAATAAACCGTGGTTAGAAGGTTCTTGTTTTATTTGTATTTGTGTGTTCGCGAGATTCGAGTTGTAAGGTTCTTGTTTAATCTGCATTTGTTGGTTCGTGAGGTTCGAGTTGTTGTAGGGAGTCATGAAGTTGTTTTGACCGTTCGGTTGCATGTGAGGCCAGTCGAGTATCGGATGTTGGCTGGCGTTCGCTCCTGCATAGACAGGCATCGGAGGTCTTCCGTTAGAAACAGTTGACATTCCCTCCATCGACTGCGCATGCAAGTTAGCAGTGTTGCCTTGAGAAGCAAAATCGTAGCTCTGACTGTAAGAATGACCATTCTGACCATTTGGCATACTGAATGCCATGGCAGGGTTCATAGCGGAAGACATAGTACTCGGCATTCCTCCTCCATAGCCTTGATCAAAACTCGATCGACTCGAACCGCCCGCCGCAGGTCCATTAATCCTTCGGTCTCGGTTATCGGGGTTGCCGAGTCGCTGAAGATCGTTCGAAGCTTTCGAAGCTTGATCATCTGTTAGGTTAGAACCAGCATCGGCAATACTTCCATCGGGAACCACACCAAATGGGTGCATTGAGCCATCGTTTGGCATACCATTCATACCATTCATACCCATAAGATCAGACTCTGGGCCCATTGGCTGATGTGCTTTTGGTCCCGGATGTGACTTCTTCAAATGCGCTTGCGCATGGGACAAGTGACTTGCTCCTGTAGGGTTTCCACGACGAATTGAACATTTCTGAAAATGACGCTTCAAGATATCACTGCGGGAAAAGGTGTCACGACAAAGTACGCACATGTACGGGCGATCTCCAGTATCTGAAATGTGTTAAGGTTTTATTCCGCAATTGACTGATGAAATGTGGGGGGAATACTTACGTCTCAATAAATGACGCTTGAGATGCTTGGCATGAAGGTATGTTTTAGTACAATGAGGACATGGGAATTTTCCATCAGCATCCTTTGCGGGGATCATGGCATTTTTTGTGGATCCAGGACCAGTGGCAGTGACCTGGGGGCGACCCGGTGCACTGGGCAATATTCCTCTTCGACCCTGAGAACCCACTACATGGGTAGGAGGTTCTTCTGCAAGCACTTGCTGAAGCATATTGTTTTGAGGATAACCTCCATGCATTGAGAGGTGTTGTGGGACATTACTCGCAGGCATAGGTCTCAATGGGGGACCTCGACTAGTTGCAGGAGCCGGCGCAATAGGCTGGTTATGCGATAAAGCGGTTGAGGATTGGGGCATCATTGAGGCCGAAGTGCGGTATTGATGCTGCGGAGGTTGCTGCTGGTAAGAGTTTCCATACATCATCTGTGCAGGCCTTGATTGTGCTCCAACCTGCGAATAACCTAAACTAGCAGACCCCGGTGTGTTTGGTGTGCCAGGAGTGCGTGGAGTGTGAGGCGCGCTCCATGACTGCTGTTGCTGCTGCTGTTGTTGCTGTTGCTGCTGCTGCTGCTGTTGCATTGCAGCGTGCTGCTGTGGTTGCAGAGGTGGTAAAGTATGAGGAGGCAAATTCGAGTTATGCTGGAGCTGGTGAGGAGAAATGCCAGGAAGTGGAGAGTATGGTGAGTTTCCGTTGCTCATCGCGTTTGAATGATATTGGGCGTTGTCCATAACGAGTACGGAGTTTTTGATACGAACTTTCTTGATGGGATGATCGACTACTCAATCATAAGAACTTTTCGCCGTTGTATCACTGTGATCGAAATTGTTGATCCGTAGTTCTTGAGGTTGAAATGTAATGGGCTTCAGGAAACCAATTGGTCTTGTCGCGTCCAACTACTCAAAGCTTCAGGTGTCGAGTCTTCTTTTCCGTGAACGGATGGATGTACGTATTCGAGGTCTTGTGAAGCAGATAAGACGGTGGAAAGTTTAAATGGACCCTGCGTCAACAACAACGGTGATGCGCGCCGTAAGCAGTATGATATTGAGGCCGTTATGGAGAATGGATAACTCTTTTGCGGGTAGCTTGAACGAAGCGCGACGAAGCTTTGCTATGAGGCTCAAGATGTTCACAGTGAATTGTTCGTGTTCGAAGCAATAAGTGGATCCGAAGAAGACTTTATCCGTTCCAATGATCCAAAGATGGGCGCAAATAAACGCGGTGGTGGGGAACTTAATATTTTTTTTTTTTTTCGCAAGTGTGAGGATGCGGTCGATCAACAGGGTCCCTTCAACGCTTTTTAGGAATCCAGGAATAAAATAATAATCCGCCCACGAATATTGAGAAGCAGCAATTCCGTAGCACGGCGTCTATTAAATTGGAGATTGAGGGGGGCTTGCGGGAAGGTATGCTGGTATGCTTGTTGCCTTTCTACCTTTCCTCGAAATCTCCCAGGGCGGATGGAAATGTTAGATGATAGAAGAGTGGATAGGTCTGGTGGGTGGGTTAGAAGGGAGAGGTGAGAACTTAGAAGGTAGTATGATGGAGAAAGAAAAACGTCGGACGTCTGTTTTGAGTGGAGGCGTCACAAGAAATTCTCTCACTCTTAGATCTTATTAGACTACTACTTTTGAGACTCTTGAGGGAAAAAGGAAAAGGGAAAATTTGAATAGTACTAGGTAATGTCGGTATTTAGTGCGGTGAACGAGTAAGGATTTTTCTTCCCTGAATCAACAGATAATGCTGCTTTAAGAGACGTATGTGTTCCCTTTTTGGTGATAGAATGAATCGAAGTGAACGGACGGATGGATTTTGAATGGAATATTTCTCGCGTTCATGGATTGAAATAGAATAGCTCGTTTTTTTTCCAACGGTGAGGAATCCGAGGATGGGATATGGGATGATGGTTGAGAGCAAAACAAACCTTACCCTAGATTTGACAAAGCATTGACATGGCAAGCAGGAACGAGTCGACAGGACAAGGTAGAGGAAGCAGAAACTTCCCAAGATGATTTAGTCGCCGTACGAAGGATATCAAATTGCGACAGGCAAGAAGGTTTTCACGACGATACTCTACGGATTAGATGTGTACACTGTAGGGTCGAGTCTCCAATTCCTATCATCTACGACCGGCATTCTACTGATCTCTCAGTACAGCACAGCGCCGTTGCTTACAAAGAGAGGGCAAGATACATGTCCTGTGCCTCGGATCATCTCATTGCTCACTCGACGTATCACGATATCTTTGACAAAATTATTTCAAGGGACCTCCTCTACTTCGAATAACTGCTAGCTTCACCTGTTACAATGTAGAAAACTCTAATGAATGCCAAGGGATGCTGATTGTACTTGGTAGCTTGGTAATTATTTCATGGGTCACTGAGCCTACACTTCGATACCTTCGAATGACTTTCCCCAAAGTTACTTGTCCCAAAGTCAACCTCTGATCGAACTCTTTTGGCTGTTGGCAGAGAGGCTTGAGTCGTAATGCTTTTGATCCTAGACTTCAATGCTACCTACCGATGTGTATGTGTGTACATGACATGGTAAAATAGACGATTGCTTGGCTACCATACTTTCTTGTAAAGGGGTTTATGCCATGGAGAAAATTCATAAATTTCTAACTCGACTTAGCTAGATGTGATGTTCAGCATTACCATACAATAAAATCCACCCCTGTCGCTCTGCTTTACCGTTTGAACAAGAAGCTGAGTGAATTTTCTATGCTCAAAGTTTCACCGAACTTCCTGCGTAGGCGATGAAATTGATGAAAATGGCATCATCTCCTGATTCATCTCAAATCAACAAACTTACTAGGCCTACATCTACCGGCCCGGCATATGGGCAAGGTTATACTCGCTGTCCTTCATGACGATTCTTGTCGACTCCGTAATCTTTCTATAGCAGCTTCACTGTACAGGAGCTAAATAGGTAATAGTATCGATTCGAGGGTCAGAAGTTTAACCTTCCCAAAACTCTTTCCCACGCATTCGTCAACGCATCCCGCCATCCAGCCATCCAACCATCCAACCAAGCCTCCCAGCATCCCATCCATGGTGAATACCGTTAGTTTCTTTGCATGTCAAACTCGCTACCTACCACTCCTCAATAACATGTCACCAACGCACCATCTGATAACACAAGAAAACGGTTTGCTCCGTGATATCATTTACCTCAAACAGCTTAGACACTTTGCAAGCTAGATGCAGTATCTGTGCTGTGTACAACACATTCAAAACACTGTCCTACTAAGTCCTACTTTGTCTATCAACTCACACGCTATCGCCAGCTCAGGCCCTGATGCATTTCATCACTTTCAGAAACGGCCACGCTGCCTTCGCACACTCGTCCACGAATTCTATGCGGCCAAGTATGATCTCGAAAAGCAATGAAACTCAACCAAAGCCGCACCTCCGGCTGGTGACAGGCCATCTTCCGGATACAGGCACCTTACTCCTTTACTGCTCAATTTTCTTTTCTAGGTAGAGTTTAATCAAAATGCGTTTAGAATGTTTAGATGATCTCCCCAATCAAAGCAAGAATTCCGACCTTCCGAACTGCCGCGAAAATCCCAAGTTTTCCAGGGCTTCAACGATGGCAACAAATTGAAAGGTGGTAGTAGAAGTCGACGATCCCTTGTTTTCTACTTTCGGACGTTGGGGATGTTTTTGATTTTAGAAAGATTACTTTTTGTCAACAACAGGGTTCTCAGAGCAGCCGATAGAGTGTTTCTGCTTGCTGCTTTTCATGAAAAAGTCCCGGCATACTTGCCGATTGTACGTCTGACATGGATTTTGGTAAGCAAATTGTTCTGCGTGCTGCGTCATCAAGCACCAGAGAGGAACGCACAAACGGTGTGGCGGTACTGGTCTTTTATTTTTGTCTATGGATGAGGAGTTCCACCTATCAATTCGAGTTATCAATGATCGATCATCAGTCAGTCTTGAATTGGATTGATCTGATTCGATTTGATCTTGATATTAAGTTTAAAACTATCAATCTTGTTGGTTATCCCGAGATTGGAAGTTTATTTACTACTGTTGTTGTTGCTGTTGCATCAGCATCAGCATGCATCATCATCGTGACTGTTTGAAGTCTTGGATTAAAATTTAAAACAACCTTCATTCTGCGATCAAGTACGACAGCGGCTATGTACCAATGCATCATCCAATCAGGTGAGGCTTGTGATATGATTTCCAATTAGGGTAGCCTTTTCTGTGTGGCGCTACGACTGCGTTATCGATATTCAAAGCGAACCCACCATGTTCAAGGTACCGTAGTTCCAAATCGGTTACAGGCTGGATAAAACCTTGGCCCTCTGCTCGCTTCTCTGCTTTTATGCATTTGGTGCAACCATCCGCTTCTCATCCATGCATAATTTCATTCCATCCATCCAGTACATGCAAATATACATCCATCCATACACCCATACATAGCATTATCATGATAAATCAATTCCAATTTCAACCTCTGCGGAGTAAGGTGTACACAGATTAACCGTATCTTGACTTATCAATAATGATAAAATAATGATAATCATATGGTGCACAGCTCAGAAGGTGCTTGCTTTCTTGTTTGCACACTGCAATGTGTGTATTATTAATATTTTGTTCAGAAAAGTGAAACATCAAACCGATGTTTTAAGAACATTTCTCGCTGACAGATTCCCGACGCGCACCAATCATAGCAGCAATGCTCGCACCTAAAGGCTAAAATACACTCTTAATCTTAGCTTATAGAAACTATGTAACTATGGCACGATTCACGACTCGCGACTCGTGCAATTCGATTCAATTGCAATGCTATTGGAAACGCCTCACAACTTCTCCAAGCGATGCGATATCATACTACGCTGTACATTCTCTACACATTGTGTGAAATCTGTTTACCGAGGTTCAGGCAACGAACTGCTTCTTCCTAGGCAAGTCAAAGAAGTCCAAAATCAGACATCCTCCGTACGCGTGCGTGGCAGCCAGCGATCGAATATCTACTCTAGCTTCATTATCGTGAGCGTTGGGACATGCGGGCCCATGCTATCCGGCAAAACATCCATCATCAAGCGCCTTTTTCGAAGCACCGACAAACTACACGTTGATAATGGCGCCGAAGGAATTTTACACCGCTCGCCTCCACATGCTGACTTGAAGATGTCTTCATGTATGATATCATCTACAACACCTGGTGATTCAAAAGGATTTGTATAAAGTACTTTGGGTAGATGTATCATTCGGTTAATTGGAGCATGGCCTGGTTGAAGATTCGAAGGGTTTGATGCAATGGAAGACCCGCGTACGAGCATCGAGCCATTATGCGGTGGAACAGGAGCTTTTTCCCTGTACAGAACATCAGCAACATTCGATCTCTCGAGCACATGATTCGTTAATCTGATCTGACCGAAACTCAAGGGTCGGATCTGAACAAATTGCATCGTGAGCTTCGTGTCGCAGAGGATTGAGCTAAAAAGTCTCACTAACACATATTTGGGTTGCTAAATTGCCGGACAACTCATTATTTAATGGAAGAGGCTGGCAGGTTACATTCAAAACGAGATCTACAAGGATTTATGCTTGATCTTGGGAAGTTGGGAGGGAAGTCAACCTGTCAAGCAGCCTGCAGGGGACGAAGAAGTTACTTTGTGCTTCCATGCCCATTTTTTTATTCTTCAGGCGCGCCGTATCCGCTATTGCTACTTTTTCCGTGTCTTGCTGTTATAAGAATATAAGAATAAGTGCCACGTTCCTATGTTCTTGCGAGTCATGCATGGAAAGGTCCGTGTTTCAATGCATCAAAAGTGGGATGCTGTGGTATTATTCCGAATAATAAGCGTTGTTGATGTGGTTCTGTACGACAAAAGTTGTGTATATCAATCCTCGACATTCCACCGCCTCGTATCGCGGCATCGTGCTTCAAACTTATTTTCAATTATCCTTAATGTACGCTCGAGGTAATTCGATTGAGATGAGGATCACACGGCCTTGATATACCTAATTTAAAATGAGGTGTACATTCTCCTGACCTCCCGACTTCAAGTGAAGTAATTTCATGGATCCATCGAGCCTTTCATTAATGCTATTACCTCTTCCCAATCTCGTTTCCTTACTTTATTAGAGGTCTGTTATGACCGCCATGATCAATGAAATTTGATTTTCGGGGGCTAGATTGAGTACCAGATCATCGTTACCGATAGGTCGAAGAGATCTGTTCTCTCTCATTTGCTATGTCTTCGTATGTAAGATGAGGCGGATGGAGGAAGTTTCAAACCATTAATTGAAATGCAAGAGATCTTCGCTTCACCTTGTCTGATTTTGAATTTCACGTTATAACCCTCGTAGTTCATATCACATGATTCACGCTGCTTCCAGAATTCTAGACTGTTGATCGTTCTATATATAAATCTTACCGAGACAAGAAGTGGTGCCCCTTACAAGGCTGTGTAATTTCCTGTTGCCACAAATAAAGAAGCTTGGTATTTGAACCGTCTGATTCTCTTCTCCATCTTCTCCAAGTAAACAAACCACATTCGTTTTATTTCATTCAGTTCTTCAGGCTCAGGCTTCCCGATCTCGAAAGCATCCTCAACTTCGAAATAATATTTATCGCCTTTCCGATTATCAACACACATAATCACGTGCAAAATGCAGCCTTCCATCTTCGTCTTTGCTTTCGCAGCTGTTGCAGCAGCCACCGCTTCTGACGCCTCAGCTGCTACCAGCGCCGTCGCCCCGGCCACCACCGGCACCTTCAGCAACGGAACCGCAACCAACGGCAGCTTCGTTTCCCCAACAGCCACTGGCGCTTCTTCGACAAGTAAAGCTGCTGCTCCTGCCAACTTCGTTCCAGCAGGTGCTCTTGCCGCTGCCGCTGCAGGCATGGTTTACCTCTTGTAATCTTTCCATCGGGCGTTGGCTTTCAAATTGTGATACCCGGGTTTCTGCATGCGAGAATGTCACCCTTCTGATTACTTTTTTTTTGGCATGCATGGCATTGCTTGGGGTACTCTTCCAGATGAGATTAGGCGTGCATTGGAAGAGCTTCGGGACGGTGGAGGACACAAGACGATCACTTAGACGGAGGCCTACATTCGGACGTGGAGATTTTATACCTTTCCTGGCATTGATTCTGCTAGCTTCAATTCAAACATACCCTCTTCAGAATACCATGCTGAATATAACATCCCATGCCGTGATATCTTCTTTTCAAATGCTAGACGTTTCTAACTGTCTTCAAACGGTTAATCTTTACGCGTCGCTACATATATCTAACTTTGGAATTTCAGAAGAATAAGACATCATACGCGATGCCCACTACCCATAAATTGCAGAACACAATACGTCTTACAGAAACCTCTATCCCCAGTTCCCCGGAATTCAATACCAAACACTAAACACCACTGTAGAACATCGCACTAAAACAGCCAGCCATGCAAACGAATCTAGATCCAGCTCCTGTGACTACAATTTCATGCATGTATTAGGATCTGGATACTCTAGACGGATCTATGCATTTTTTTGTACGAGTCGCAGGTAGAGCTCTTTTATTGTACTACCACACTGCAAGACTCCAAGCTGATAGGTATCCCAAGCAGCCCTCACATGAATCACTCCATCCCGAAGAAATGAAAGCCGCGTTTTCGGCATCGGCATGCTGCATGTGCCGTTTTATCTGTTCAAACAGAAGCACTCGTGTAGTACAATTCGTAGTAACCCGATCATGGATATGTAGAAGTCATGATATGCAATGCTAGACAAAAGGAGAAAGGGGGAAAGCCGACGGGCCTAGAATATCTTGAGGTTGGTTCTCGGGTTCGGGATGGTAGGTTGGGAACTTGGGTTGGGCTTTTCTATTAGAGCATCGGGCGCAAATTCTGATATGCAACAAAACTTTTCGTATCACACCCACAAGGCCGTTTGGAGAGTTTTGTGTAACTGGTGGTTGTTAGTCATGTGGTTGTGATAAATTTTGGGATGGAAACATAGACAGACTTGCGCTTTGGGTCTTGCTGCTTACCCCACCTCAAATTTATACGGTAGCCGAATCAGTTTATTGATTTTTCGAGATTCTCAACTGAGGAAGTAAGTAGTATGAAGGCGGCAATTGCATCGCCATTGACAGCCTCAACATAAGATGTCGACATCTACAGTTATTCAGCCTGCAGTCCGTACTCTGCTACAACTGCGAAAAGCAGGAAGCACACCCCCAGCATTCCTCCTTCCATGTCTACAAAGCTCCTCCGCAACCTCACCATGCACTCAATCCTCCTCCTTCTCTACCAGCAGCACATACTTATACCCACGGGATATGAACCGTTTGCGTGGAGTATCTACACAGCGACGAACAGGGCCGCGTCAACCCCTTTCGGTATCTAATGCGAAATTGCCCAAACCCGTCTTAGATGAATCGAAGCGAAACAAAGTTAAGGTTGATGAGGATCACGGATTATACGAGTTTTTCAGACATAAGGACAAGGCACTCAGTACGCCAGCTGAGGAGGGAAACCATGGAAGACCATGGAGTGCAGAGGAGTTGAGGGGGAAGAGTTGGGAGGATTTACATTCACTTTGGTGGATTTGCTGCAAGGAGAGGAATCGCATTGCTACGGAAAGCTACGAGAGGGACAGATTGGAGGCGGGGTATGGTGAGGAGGATTCGGAGAAGAGGGATATGACTGTGAGTTTTGATTTCGATTTACATCGTATTTGGCTCATGTGCCGCGCAATTCAATAATTATACGAAAACTAATACGGAGGATTTTAAAGGTTCGGAGAACACAAAGGGCTATCAAACAGGTTTTGACTGAGAGGTACTATTCTTGGCAAGAAGCCCAGGTTGTTGCAAAGGATGATCCAGAAATCGATCTTTCAGGTCAAGGGCCAATATATACCCCTAGAGATTTCGAGGAGGATATTGAGGAAGAGGTTTTAGCTGAAAGCGAAGGGGAGGTAGAGCAAAAGCCTGCTCAAATCACAGCTTAGATCATGGAGGATGCATGATACAAAATCATATCCCTAGGTCAAGAATAATGAGTCTTGGGGAGTGATAGATGTTTCCTAATTGGCATGAACGATTTAGGTTGCTACAACCATCATCATCTGTATAAGTAGAAACGCATATGGGGCAACACGGTTATGGTCGCATTATGCGTTTATGTGAATCTGAAAAAAATGATCATCTTTGTCTAAAACAATTGAAGAGTGTTTTGGTAAAAGCCAAGTCTTTCGTTACTTGGTACTTGTAGGTAGATATCAAAATGAAGATTCAATAGTTCATAAATGAACACCCAGTAGAATACAAGTCAAGATTCAAGTACTCCATACCAAATACATATATCAATTTGTCAAAGACCCAAAACCAATGGCAACAATTTACAATGAACTCCACAAATTTGCCCCTGAGCATTATTACACCAAGACAAAATCTACCAGCAGCAACAACAAAGCGGTAACTCCAGTTTCCTCTTTAGCGAGGCCAATCAAGGGAATTAGTGAAGCAGAACGACGTTGTACGTCTCACCGACCCTTTACGGAACTGCCCTTGCAATTTTCAGTATAAACCACATTTGCGATTTTTCTCACCAGCAAGCTCTCCATATTCTCTTCTTCTTTACAAATCAACCTACCTAATCAATACAAAGATTCTAATATCAAGATGGATGAAATCGCCCCAGAGTATGATGTTGTCGTTTTGGGCACTGGTAAGCTTGCTTAACCCCGCACTGGCTGGAGGGGCATGGATGGGAGGGAGCATTATGCTTTTTGTTGGGGAAATGGCTAACGCTGGCTTATAGGTTTGACGGAATGTGTTCTTTCTGGGTATGTGGATTTGTGAGATGATGGGGATTGCATACTGATGTTTTGGGGGATAGAGTTCTGAGTGTTAAGGGACAGAAGGTCTTGCACATTGATCGAAATGATCATTACGGAGGGTATGTATTTCGAGCTGGCAGAAAGGAAATAAATCAACAATCACTAATTTTTCAATAGCGAAGCTGCGTCCGTCAATATCGAAGCCGTGAGTACGATTTTAGGGCCTGCAAAGCTTTATTCTGACAATTTCGATAGCTCTTCAAGAAATATGGAAACTATAATCAGGGGGAGGAGCCATGGAAGAAGTACGGGCGTGCGAATGATTGGAACATCGATTTGGTTCCTAAGCTTTTGATGTCTTCGGGTGAACTCACAAATATTCTCGTTTCGACTGATGTTACGAGATATCTCGAGTTCAGATCCGTAGCTGGAAGCTATGTACAACAGGGGGCTGGTCCAAAGGCTATGGTTGCAAAGGTCCCATCAGATGCTGGTGAGGCTTTGAGATCATCTTTGATGGGCATCTTCGAGAAGCGAAGGATGAAGAGTTTCCTTGAGTGGGTTGGCACATTCGATGTTGCCGATCCTGAAACTCACAAGGGTAAGAGGGTTGAAATACCTCCTTTTCTGGAATCCGCTGACAGAAAGAAGGACTCAACATGAGCACCTGCACCATGAAGGACATTTACGATAAATTCGGACTCGAGACTGGTACTCGAGACTTCCTTGGTCATGCCATGGCTTTATATCAAACTGATGACTATATCAACGAGAAGGGCTCAGCTCCAGCAACCATCGATCGCATTCGTCTGTATGGAAACTCAGTCGCCCGTTACGGAAAGTCCCCATACATCTACCCAGCATACGGTCTCGGTGAACTTCCTCAAGGTTTCGCTCGTTTGTCTGCTATCTACGGTGGTACCTATATGCTTAATGCAAGCATTGACGAGATCAAATATGATGGAGATAAGGTCTGCGGTATCAAGGCGACTATGCATGAGAAGGATGCGCAGGGCAATGACTCCACCATGACTTTCGAGACCAAGACAAAGAAGATTATTGCAGATCCATCATACTTCCCAGACAAGGTTCGCGTGGTCGGTCAACTCTTAAAGGCTATTTGCATCTTGAACCATCCACTTGCTGGAACAGAAAACGCGGATTCCGCTCAACTTATCATTCCTCAATCTCAGGTTGGACGCAAGAACGGTACGTTCTTATATATATCTGAATACTTGGGATTCATAACTGACATATTTATAGATATCTACATTGCTGTCGTTTCCAACGTCCACAGTGTCTGTCCAAAGGGTTACTATATCGCTATCGTCTCTACCATTGCCGAGACCGACTCTAACCATCATTTGGAACTTGCACCTGGTCTTGAGCGTCTCGGAAAGATTGAAGAGAAATTCATGGTAAGCATTTCTCCTTCTACCACTATCATTCTTGCTCATTAAAATCATTCGATACTAACATAAATCAACCAAACAGGGTCCACCAATTCCTCTCTACGAACCTATCGAGAGCGGAGAGAAAGACCGCATCTTTATCTCCAAATCATACGACGCTACATCCCATTTCGAGACTACTACAGACGATGTTAGAGATATCTATCGTCGGGCTGAAGGACACGAATTGGTGGTTGAGGGTTTGAGAGAGGGTACTAATTTGGTTGGTGGTGAGCAGTAAATTTTGACAATGGAGATTTAAGGTTAGATATTCCAGACCGTACGTACATAGGGAAGATGAACGGGATTGAAGGATGGATAGGAGATCCTCGCCGTTGAGAGTGGTCAGAGAGTTTTTATGCATAGGAATGGTACATGGTACCTTTTGCCTGCTTTACTTTTAATAAATTTGATGTTTGTGGTGTTGCCTTGATTTGCTATATACAATTAGTTATTGATTATGTCTAGTGTGTTATTATTAGGTAAGAGTACAGAATGATGATGGCTCGAATAATTCTGCATGCATGCACGCACGGTCTTTGTCCTCTGTCATTGTCAAGCTGGCTTCGGTTTTTAAGAGGGGGGATTTGTACGGGCCGAACAGAAAATTATTGCAGTTGCATTTCTATTTTCAACTTCGGCCGAGACCTTATGTGTGGGGGGAAATCTTGAGTTTCCAAAAACGTCCGCAGTACATTCCTGAGCCGATTACCGTTGATCATGGTGAAGTGCCATATTTCGCACATTGGTTTGATTCAGCCCCACGGACTTAGGACTTAAGATGATTGGAAATAAGGTGAAAGGGATGGGATCACTAAAATCATGATGTAAGTAAGGTAAGTAAGTAAGCAAGTTTGCTGGTTGAGGCTCGTGATATTGTAAGTATAAATATCAATATAAAGAAAATGAACATGGAAATTAAAAGAGATTCTCGGATAAGTTGTAAAATATTCTCGTTTTATTCATCTCATTTCACTTACCCTCGATTACTACTATATCGTCTAGTTCAAAAGTCGTTACACAAAAATAGATATAAAAATGTCGACGCATACAGCAGTAGTCACCGTCTCAATCGGAGCTCCATTACAGACTCTACAAGTCCCAACTGTCAAACCGGAAAAGGATGAGGTGAGAGTGAGGGTTGAGTGGACGGCTTCTAGTCCTTTGGATTTACATCAGAATGATGGGGGGTTGCTTGTTACTCATCCGCAGATATTGGGGGATACGATTGCGGGGAGGGTGGTGGAGGTTGGGAATGAGGGGGATGTGGGTGGGTTGAGGGTGGGGGATTGGGTATGTTGTTTATTTTCCTGAGGGGAGGAGGGATGGATGGATGAATCAAAGGCTGTGGCGATGAATGATGGATGGTATGGATGGGTAGGTGCTAAGAAATGACTTTAGGTTTTTGGCTTTACATATCGATCGCAAAAGGAAAAAGCACAACAGGAATTCGTTACACTTCCGTGGTTTCTTCTAGGAAAGGTTCGTCTGATTCATCAATCCATCTTCAAAACAGGAAACATGAACAATAACAACCTAACCGCCTTAGATCCCGGACGGAATTCCACCTCAAGAAGCAGTTGCGCTCCCTAGCAGCTTCGTCACCGTCTTCCATACTGCTACCGCAGAGCTCGGCTTAGAATTACCGTGGCCGAAACCTGAAGGTTTTGTACCCGTTCATAGGGATAAATGTATTCTTATCTGGGGAGGTTCTTCCTCCGTGTACGTATTCTCCTCCTCTATCCCACTTCTCCAGAATCTAATAAATACATCCCATAGAGGCCAATACGCCATACAAATTCTCACCTACTATGGCTACACCAATATAATCACCACAGCCTCCAAAACCCATCATGCTCTTCTCCGGAAATTCGGTGCAGTTCATACATTCGACTATCGTGATGATGATATCACGGACGCGATTCTTCGTTCTGCTGAATTGATCAATCAAGAACGAAAGGAGTCGTTGATTCCCTTTATTTTAGATTGTATTGGTTCGAAACAGGGGAGTTTAGCACCTTTAAGTAAAATTGCACAGAATGGGGCTAGAGTGGCGATTTTATTACCGGTTATCGTTAGGGATGCAGGTGTGGATGTGTCGCCTGAGTAAGTAATTTTTATTGTTTTATACAATTTGAAATTCGATGGACTTGAATGTGGAATAGAAACACTGATTGATTGACTTGAAAATAGATATTCAATGGATGTAGATGTTTCAGCACAATGGGTCGAAGGCGTAGAGACACGAGGCGTCCGCACGCATTTTTATCTTGATGTGAGTTCTAGATATCTCCAGCATGAGGAATTTAGATGAGTGTTATTGGGTATCGAGTGTATTAACATCGTCAGAACAAATTTTTCAAGGAGAAACTGCAGCCAGAAATCATGCCGGATTTGTTGGCGAAAGGTGTGGTCCAACTAAATAGGATTAAGGTGGTAGAGGGCGAGGCGTTGTTGGAGCGTGCTCAGAAGGCTTTGGATGCTCTGAGGAGAAGGGAAAATAGTGGTGAGAGATTGGTTTGGAGGGTTGCGGGGGGGGGGGTGTGAGGGGCGAGGTGTGAGGGCGAAGGAGTCTGAGTGGGTTGTGGGTAGTGGGTAAGTAGGTAGATGGATAGATGGATAGATGGAGATAGTAAGATTGAGAATAAGAATGAACGAAATATCTTTTAAAAGTAAGATTGTATCTTAAAACTTGAAATTATAATTGGGATACCTAGTAATTTATCATATCAAAAATTCGACCGGGCCGAAAGTTATAAATCTGAACGTTGCATACCTAGGTACGGCGAGTACATAACTGAGAAACTAGAAAAAGAGTAAAGTGATCTCCGTCGACTTCTTTGCAGAATTTCGAATATTAATATTATCCATCTCTCAAATAATCACATAATGAAAACCCAAAATTGGACTGACTCTGTCTGTATACTTGCGGAAAACAGCTTAAGCGAAATAGAAATTTACAAATAGGATAGTTGTAGGCCTTTCTGCTTTTGTCCATAATAGCTCCTTGGTTCTGTCTGCTTTTTTCTTTTCACCTTTAGGGTGTCTGATTTGTATTTGGATATGAAGTTGAAGTTGAATTGATAAAATAACTTTGACTATATATCTAAGTGATAAAATACTCACTTGTTAAATAGATATTAATTATTTGACAATTTAAGTATATATATAAAAACCAATATGAGTGTTACGTTGTAACATTAAAACTATTATCACGTGTTATAGGATCACATGAATAGTCTTGTGAGGGAGCGAGATTCGAATCTCGCTCCCCAGCTCCATCGCTCTAATGTTGGAATACGAAGGTCTATATAATCAAGATGGATTCCCTTTGTATAGAGCTTCGTGCTCAAGATCAATCGTTTAGTATACTCTATTATTAGTTACGAATTGCATTATTGTCACTACTTAAGTCCCTGCTTGACGCCTAGTTATAAACCACCTCGTTGATAACGTACACTTCCACGTGATCTAGACGGCAAACCTCGTAACAATGAGGTG